TGGGTCTTAGTTTTGGCATGCGAGCCGCTTCCTCAAATAAATCGCACGGCATTTGCATGTTGAGAAACAATTTCTCAGGTCTTGTGTTCGGTCGATCTTGCTGGCTGACTTGGATTATCTGGCGGAGGCCTTTGATATATGCCACACGACGATGGTCATAATATTTTTGCGCAATTCGGTGTGTCGTCGAGTGGGGTTTTATTTTATTTTTCTGGCTTCGATTTATCGATCGTTAAGTAAATGCATTAATTTTTCTCACCGCCGTGTTCGAAGAATTAAGGTAGGCTGGCTGCTCAGCATGCAATTGATTTATATGACCGGAGTGGCTATACGAATTCCCAGCTTGTCAATTAATTATGGTCATGTAGAGTCGCGGTCTTTAATTTCTCACTCAATTCGGCTGCAATTGTCGAAATGTCCGCGATCGTCTGACAACAACTTTATCTCTTTTGGCTTTTATTTGCCATGCAGTTTCCCAGTTTGATTTGTTTATTCAACTGATTAATGTACGGCTCTTGTTTATTGTCCGTTCGGCAAGCTTTTCCACTTACCAAGTGGCCATTGGAAAGCTTTCACTTGACTGCAATTGAATAGCAGGCCCATTTTAATGACTCCCCAAGAAATCCCCATAAAATTTGGTATTCAAATTGCTCTGACATCAGTATAGCACACACAGTACAGCCTAATGCAAAATCTTAATTAAACAAAGTCTTGAGAGCTGTTTGTCTTGGCTCGGATTTCAGTGCACTCTTCACACTCCACACACACACTGGGCAAAAAATGTTGATTTTAATACAACAAGAAAAATCCATTCTGCCAAAGATTACAATACAAGAAATATGTTTTAATAATACCAGCTTCGAGATTTGGCAATCGTAAATGTTGGCCAAAGTGCTGCTCAAGCATTAGGTCCCGATTTATACTAAAAGTATATCCAGCAAGCACGACGACTTCCATTAGACGCCGCCACCAACTCCAAAGTGGGCGATTTTTACAGGCAATTCTCAAATGCCAGCGCGTTTAAAATCGCACAAAAGGCTTTTTGCATGCAATTTGCTAATGATTCTCAACTAAATGATACTCAAACATACTCATTCATATGCAATTCGTGATCATAGACATTTGTTATGGATGAATAACGTCGAGTTTGTAAAGTTTTGCAATGTTTTTTCAAGGTTTCGAGGGCGTTACAAGTACCGTGATGAAAAAATATGAATTACTGAGAACTTGTAACCACTTTCTATTTCAGTTTATTACCATAATTAAATATTATTATTTAATTACCTGCTCTTTAGTTGGCTTTAATTTAAGCCACACCCCAGTGCGATCTTAATAATCTCAGGCATTTAATTAATCTGTAATGGAATCTAACTCTTTAAGATAATCCATTAACTCGGTTTACTTTGGCGCGTTTCCAATGCGATTTCTGGGGGTCTCCTCCGCCTCTTGCTCCTCCTCCTCCTCCACTGACCCTCCGCTGGGTTAGTGTTGTTTATTTTATGACATTTAAACAATTATTTTTCAACACAAGCAACGCTTGTTGAAATATCATTTGATTTAACCAGCCGGTTGGCGGTTGGCTCTGGGTCCACACCCTCGGTGGAAATGGCCAAAAACGAGTCTTGGCCTGGGCTGGGAGCTGCAATTGCTGTCGCTGCTGCTGCTGCTGCTGCTGCTGTTGCATGTTGCTGGTGTCACAATGTCTGGGACCGCCAAGTTCTGTGACGCAGTTGTTGTTCTTGCAAACGCCCCGCGGCTAACCATGAGATGTATATTTTATTTTTCATAATTTAAAGGAGAAAAAAATGCCTGCTTTTGATATGAACCTGCTTTTGTTGTTGTTGTTGTGGCCGAAATCGAATTCTTGAATGAACCATTAATCTTGTTGCCGGCTCGGTGGACTCGGTCATTAAATGCCTCCACAGTAATACACTGAAACCAGATTTTTTGGGGAGTAAATTCAGGGAAAATAATATTTAATAAAAAAAAATACTTATTATATCTGATAAGTAACTCTTTTTAAATATTTCTAAAGGTCAACCAAAGAAATTCCTTAAAAGGGAATACCCTAAAATCCAAGACTTTTATCAATTTTCTTTTAAAAAATCACCTTTAGAATTTTCTCTGTGTGAGTCTGATTTTCTCAGTTTCGGTTTCGTTTCAGTCTCAGCTTTTTTTGCAGGCAAATTAATGCGGGTTTGTCATATTACAATTACTGGATTTTTGCGCTTTTTCTGGCCCGGCTCCGTGGCAGCTGGCATTATTACACCTGCGCCTCAATGCGACGCAAAGTCTCCTCCGACTCCCCTTGAGCTCCCTGGGCTATGCCAATCCAATCCAGTCCGGTTTTCCGCTCGATATACTATAGTTTCTGTTAGCTCTAGTAGTAAGTCAGTTGGTCAATTGGCTCGTTCTGCTCATTTGTTTGCTGCCGGAGGAGCGGCCAGAGTTCGGAGTTGACAGTTCCATGAGTTTCCAGCATGATTTGTTTTTTCTAAACATTTTTGGTGTGTTCTCACGATTATAATTTGTAATTTTTTGGCATTATCGTGAATTGATTATAAGATTATAAATTACCAGAGCTTCTAGAGAGTTTTAAGAGCTCTTAAACAACATTTTCCCATAAGCATAAGCAATAAAAGAAACCCATCCAATAGTGTTTATTTGCTCATTTAGTAATAAACAAAGCATAAAAATCACAGAAATGCCTCGGATGCCCCTGCTCATTTATTTAAACATCATGATCACATAACGTGTAATGGACAATGACCTGTGTGTTCCTTAACAAATTACACTATTTAATGGCATCCTGTTTGCAGCAGCTCAGTATCTGCCAGCCATCCAGCGGTGCAAATTTTATGGCAGTAGCCAAGGCAACTCCTCTTTTCTCCCTCTTTCTCTGTTGGACAAATTGCCGAGCGAGAAAAGTGAAAATCACCAATGCCAGAGATGTGATTTTTTTTCAATTTTCAAATTTTCCACGGGCCCCCATGTATGGCAGGCATAATTTGTTAATTATTTTCCGAAGCACAGCTCGTGTGCCGGCTACAACTTAATCAAAGTGATGGGGCCAATTAAAACGCCGCCGCGGGAAGCGATAAGAGATTCGAGAGATCCAAGATCCGAGACCCGAGACCCCACGACGAACTAGTTTAAAAGAAAGCCTTTCTACGGAGGCATTTGATGGAAGAAGGGGTTGGGTTCGGGGGGCGTCTTGATCTTGGCTTGGATTGGGTTGGGCTGGGCAACGGCTTGAAGCGCATCGAAACGGACCAAAGCGAACCGCAGCTTAATTACGACGCGATAGAGGCGGAACTCTGCCCACGGATCCATTGATCCGCAAATCGATGGATAGGAGATCAGCTCCATGGAATTCCCCAGCTGATCCCGGTAGCAGTCAGAGTCAAGATTGAAGCCTGTCGATAAGATAAACTAAGAGGAAAAGGCTTCAAATAATATTATTTTATTTTTAAAAGACCAAAGATAACCATTCCTAAAAACCTTAAATTCATAAAATATTTTTTTGATAAATTAAATAAATTTTAACCTAGACAACTTCATCAGTCTCTTTGAAATAGAAAAAGTCTAGTGGAAGTAGTTAGTAAGTTGACACCGTCTTCTGTGGGCAGACTGGCTCAGCCCCAACTTCCATCCTCCAGCGGAAGTGGGCGAATCGTGGTCGTGACTACAGAACCCAGACACATCCGCTGGAGGAAGACAACCAGAACAGACCAGACATCCGCAGGCGGTCCAACTTGTCAGAGAGTTGCTCCAGCCAAATCACAATCATCAAAGTGGTCCAAATTGAATAGCTCCAAGTCCTAACCATAATTTCAACAACTCTTTTAGGAACCCTCTAATCGATGATCTACAAAAAAAGTTCGATCCTTCGAATCCTGGGGTTTCAATTAATTTCATAACAGTCCCTCCATAACTTTTGGGCCGGGATCCAAAGTCCAAAGATCCTCCCCAGCCACCTGCCTGCCTCCACACACACACCTCCTACCTCCTGTCAATTAATGGTCTCCGTCTGCGTCTGGCGGAGCCAACCAATTTCGCCTTATTATCCCACACAGCACAGAACATAAACTGGTTCTCAGGTTCTGCGGCCTGGAAATCACGTTTTGGAGCTTTTTTCTGTGCCACGTCCAGTCTCCCGGCCTACCCAAAAACAAAAAGCAAACAAAAATATTGAAGGAAAGCCAGAGAAGGCGCAAAGCCAACGCAGACAGAAAATGATTTGCAGTTCATTAAGACGAATCCCCTTCTGTTCCAAAAGGAGGCGAGGACTAGGCGATGACTAAGACCTGGTCGTGGAGCATGTGAATGAGATTGGTTTCGGGTTGAGGCCCGCCAGATTGGAGGACAACTGTCCAGAGACTGGACAAGCCCTGAGCCTCTTAGGCGGAGACTTCACTTAGGGAAAAATATTTAAACTAGAATGTGCTAAAAATTTTTCTTTAAAATAAAGATGACATAGAAGTAGAATTTATGTATCCTTTTAAAGGTTTTTTTTATAATTTTTGTTTTTAAATTGCTTTAAAAAACAATTTAAAGTTTCCTTAAAATCCTCTGACTTAGCAAGTAACTATTTCTCTTAGTGTTACACTAGAAACCCACCTAGGCAGCCTGAACTTGACATGATAATTATGCCCGAACCCGAGGGACTTTGGATTAGGCTGGAACCATTTCAAAGAGATACCTTTAATGCTTAGCTGCTCCACCTGGTTTCCTCTTAAATCTGTTCCCATTTGAACGCTTTCATATTAGGATGGCCCACACATATGTGACCAATGAATATGCAACGGCTCTTTCCTTAGAGGCCTGTCCAGCACCAACGAAGTGTGCTTAATTTTTACACAGAGAAAAAAATATATTAGAAAACCTAAAAATATCTTTAGATATTCAAAACAGCACCCGTGAGATTAGGGTTATTTTTCCAAGTGCTTTAGACTTTCATCATTGATAAGTTTCCAACTCTATTCACAAATTTTTTGCAGCAGCATCGGCAGGAGTCCGAGTCGCCGGATTACCACCACCGCTATGCGAGCAATGGCAAACTGCCCCGGGCTGCGGCCTCTGCGAATGGCATTGGCACCACACAAACCGTAACCGTCGATGTGCACCACCAACATCACAACGGAGGAGGAGGAGTTGGAGGAGCTGCCGCCAAGCAGTTCATGGCCAACAGCGCTATTGGACACAGTCGCAGCAGCAGTTTGAGCCACAACATCCATGGTGTCTACAGTGAACTGAGTGCCGCACCACCGGCCTTTGCCACACCGCCGACGCGCAGGCGTTTCTTCAACCACAAGAATCTGCGCAGCGCCCTCATCGGAGGAGGAGGAGGAGGCAGTGGCTCAGCTGGAGGAGGAGTGAGCGGCGGCCATCGACGCACTGCCTCCAATGGGGGCTGTCCTACTGACACGGCTTCGATACTATCGGGAGGTAAGTTCAGCTTGGGGTTTGGGGTGAGAGGTTACCAGACAGACCAAGTCTCTTAAGAGACATCATTCCTGGATGAGAATGAGTACTACCTGGCAGGAGATTATTTATTTATATTATATATTTTTTAAAGTCAAAGATTTAATAGTAAAATTAGGAATATAGGTTATATAGATAGTGTCTCTTATCAAGCTTATTCGCAAAGATAACTCACCCAGCATCCATCATCAGATCATCCCCATCAACATAACCACGAACACGATCATCAGGCAACCGGCAAGGAGTCCAATGCTCTTAATACATCGACCTGCTCGGATTCGGCGGTCACCCGAAGGCGGCGCAAGAACGTGAGCAACCACAACCTAAAGACCTCCGCCCGGGATGGAGCGGGCAGCGAGAACCGCCTGAACAGGCTCAGCCTGGCAGGGACCTCCGTCTATGCGGGGCATCTGTCTTCATTGGTCTTTGGCAAGATCAAGTCGCTGTGGAGTGTCAATTCATCCAATTCCAGCGAGGCGGGATTGAACCAGCTAGCAGGCACGGAACAGCATTCCTTCATACTTCTGCATGATGCACTCTTATTGTTGTCCATTAACCCAGTTGTTTCTGATCCTTTAGGATTCGCGAACTAATTTTAGCATGTTATTAATATTATTTTGATTTATTTTTATTTGAATTTTGGTTTCTAGCATGTAAATCCTGTTATGACCTACTCCTAATCCCTCTCCGTTCTTGTCCCTACAGGTAGTGACGCCCTCGATCATCACTCCTCTTTGCTCCTAAACGAGAAACTGCAAAAGGACCAGCTCCATGCCCGACTTGGTCTGCTGTTGAACGATCCTGGAAGCAATGGAAACAGCAGTAGCAGTGGCAGCGGATGCGATCCCATCTCCGCCCACTCCACCACCAGCACCACCAGCAGCAGTGGAGTGGGAGCGGCCAGCACCACCACAAGCGGCGGCTCATCGCAGAACGTAAGTCCAGAGCAGACGCTGGCCAGCGGGGGCGGATTGCTCAGCGGCAGCCAGCTGTCAGTGGCCACCAGTCATGGCATCAAGGAGGATGCCCTAAGTCTGTGTGGAAAATTCAAGACCGGCGGCTCCATGCTCCATGTCTACGAAGCCCTTCCTGGCAAGAGTCGCAAGGGAAATGTCAGAAGGTCAACTCGTGGTCAGCAAGGATCCAGTTCCAACTCATCGGCGGCGGCTTCAGGTGCCTCGAGGGTTGCAGCCTCCACCTTGGCGGCTGTACAACTGGCCCTCAAGCCTCTCTTTTTCGAGGTGCCACTGCAGGAGCCCGATCCTCCATATGTGGGTCGCCAATGGCTAGTGAAGCAGCTGTCCAACATTCTCCTAGGAACCGAGACCCGGGTGGTGCTGATCAATGGTCAACCCGGCACTGGAAAGACCGCCTTTTGCCTACAGCTGGTGGAGTACTCCTGCTTCGGCCGACGACAGATGCAGGAGGATCCGGATGGCATCTACAGCCAGCTGCAGTTGGGCGCCCACTGCGAGCGGATGCGTGGTCTGGCCTCTCACATGGTTGGCTACCACTTCTGTCAGGCGGACGCCAATCTCACCTGCCAGGTACCGGACTTTGTCCACTCGCTGGCCGCCCAGCTCTGCCAGGCCCCACAGCTGACTGCCTACAGGGATTACCTCCTGTCCGAACCGCATCTGCAGGACATTCTCAGTGTGCGCGAGTGCATCGCGGATGCGGAGAGGGTGATGAAGCTGGCCATACTGGAGCCGCTGGCGCAGTTGCATCGGGCGGGCAAGATTCCTGCCAAGGTGGCCGTCATCCTAGTGGATGCCTTGTGCGAGGCGGAGTACCATCGCCCCGATCATGGGCACACCATTGCCAGTTTTTTGGCGCAGCTAACACCACACTTTCCCGCCTGGCTGAAGCTGGTGGCCACCATGCGGACCCAGATGCTAGAGCTGGTCAAGGCTCCCAGCTACACGCAGGTCACGCTGGACAGTTGGGCCAGCAGCCAGGCTTTGCAGCAGGACATGCTTGACTATATAGGAGCCCGCCTGGCGGATAGTCCCGAGATCAGGATGAACATTGGCGGAGGAGGTCAGAACGCGCAGGCAGGCACCCAGCCGCAGACCAAGTTCGTGTCTCATCTGCAGTCCCTGAGCAGGGGTTCCATGCTGTACACCAAGCTCATCTTGGATCTCATTGGGCGTGGCCAGCTGGTGATCAAGTCCTCCAGCTACAAGGTCCTGCCCGTGTCGCTGGCTCAGATCTTCCTGCTGCATTTTAATCTGCGCTTTCCTACCGCTCGAAGCTTTGAGCAGGCTGCTCCGATCCTGAATGTCTGCCTGGCAGCTCTGTATCCTCTGACGCTGGACGAGATCTACTATAGTATGGAGGCGCTGAGCCACGGCCGGGAGGCTCTGAGTTGGCCGGACTTTATGCAGCGCTTTAAGCTGTTGGATGGATTCCTCATCAAAAGGTTGGACAACACCTACATGTTCTTCCACAGCTCGCTGCGGGAGTGGCTAATGCGTAGGGATGAGGGCGAGTCCAGCAAGTTTCTCTGCGACGCCCGATTGGGTCATGCGGCCATTGCCTTTCGACTGTCCCGACTGCAGGCACCGCTGTCACCGCAGCTCACCCTGGAACTGGGTCACCACATGCTGAAGGCGCACTTGTACGGTGGCACCACTCAGGCTCTGCTCTCTCCCAGGGATCTGCAATCGTATTGGCTGGCCGGAGCGGCGGATAACATCTCCTCCTCGCTGGGCGCCTTGCGAAATGTGTACAGTCCAAATCTGAAGGTCTCACGACTGGTTCTCCTGGCTGGAGCCTCGCCTAATCATCGGACGGATTACATGGGAGGAGCGCCCATTCTTTGCATTGCTGCCCATGAGGGCATCCTGCCGATGGTGAGCCTTCTCCTGGAGTTTGGTGCCGATGTGGGCCTAACGAATAGCCAGGGATGCACTCCCCTGATCCTGGCCGCCATGCGTGGCCACTGCGATGTAGTGCGTCCCCTGGTGGCCGCTGGCAGCAGTCTCGGCCAGCTGGACATCACCCAGCGCTGTGCCCTGGTTCATGCTGCTCGCATGGGTCACCTAAGTGTGGTCAAGTATCTGCTGGCCTGTGACTGGACGCCCAGGCCGCACTCCCAGGATGTGACCCGATCCATGGCCCTGCAGCAGGCGTTGATTGGAGCTGCCGCGCAGGCCCACTGCAAGATCCTCGAGGATCTGCTGGACCTCAACGAAACCGAGTTCGACCTGGACGTGAATGGAATGGAGCCGAGCAGCGGAGAATTGGCCCTGACCGCCGCCGCCCGTCATGGCTGCGTCGATGTGGTGGGCATCCTGCTCTCCCGCGGTGCCCAAATCGATGCCAGAAATCGGCAGGGATACTCAGCTCTCTGGCTGGCCGTCAAGGAGGGCCACTGGAGCGTGGTGGAGCAACTGCTGCAGCGAGGGGCGCTGCTGGACGAGCCACTGGGACAGACGCGAAAGACGCCGCTGATGATAGCAGCGGAGGAGGGCCATCTAGAGCTGATGGAACTGCTCCTAGCCCGGGGCTCTGCCTTGGAAGCTCAAGATCATGAAGGATTCACGGCCCTCAGCTGGGCCTGCCTGCGTGGACACTTGGCGGCGGCCAAGACCCTCATCGAGCACGGCTGCAATCGCCACCATGAGGATCACAATGGACGCACTGCCCTCGATCTGGCCGCCTATCAGGGAGCTGCCAGTCTGGTCCTGTATCTACTGGATCAAGGAGGCAACCTGGAGCACATCGACGTGCATGGCATGCGGCCGCTGGATCGAGCCATAGCCTGCAGGAATATCCAGGCTGTGCAGGTTTTCCTGCGGAAGGGTGCCAAGCTGGGACCCACCACCTGGAGCATGGCCATGGGCAAGCCGGAAATACTGGTGGTGCTGCTCAACAAGTTGCTGGAGGATGGCAATGTCCTGTACAGGAAAAACCGCTTTCAGGAGGCTGCCCACCGGTACCAGTACGCCCTGCGAAAGATCTCGGGGCTGGAGCAGCTGCTCGAGAGGAATGCAATCTTTGCCCAGCTGCGGACCAATCTCCTGCTGAATCTGTCGCGCTGCAAGCGAAAACTGAATGTAAGATGAGATTTTCTTTCTTTTCTTTTAATTAAACTAATTATTTATCCTTTTTTATATCCTATTTCAGGAACTTGACGCCTCCATAGATTTGGCCACGCAGGCGATTGCCCAAAAACCACACAGCTATGAGGGCTACTACGCCCGGGCAAAGGCGCGCATGGAGCTGGGAGCTCTTAACGAAGCCCTGGTGGATGCCAACGAGGCCATGCAGCAGGCAGCCCAGAGCGGCGTCCTATGCGAGGTGGTCGAGGTGCTGAAACGCATCCAGACCGAACTGCTCACCCGGATAACCATCAGCAGCGAGGATCAGTCTGGCAGGAGCGGGGTCTCCTCCTCCTCCGCTGCATATGAATCTCACCACGAGATCACCGATTTGTAAATGTCAGTTGTTGTTGTGAAATGTTGTACTCATCGTATCCCATTCGAATTCTATTCTATGCTAACCTTAGGGCTACCCTAGACCTTACTTCAAATATATGCTATTTATTGCCTTGAATGTTTTTTTGTAAGTTAAACACACTGAAGATTAATTTGTAATATTTTTTAAAAGTTTCGTTTTAATTGTGTGACTACGCATGTAAAAATTAGTTTTATACAAATCCTTTTTTTTAAGGCTTCAGTTCTTATCGATAATAAATATTAAATAAATGCGAATTTTATAAGATTTAAATTGAGATGTTTATTTGTAGGGATAAAAGTATTAATCTGGTTTAAGAGGGTTGACCCATGTGACGGTTTCATGAAATATAAAATTGTGTTGATAAATAAAACATGTTTAAAAGGATATCGTGATTTTTGAGTTCGTTACAAAGTTAAATCACTGAGAAGAAATCCTCTTCAGAACAGCTTACTTCTGCAATGATTATTTATTTAGCTTTTTTTCTTGAAACCACAGTATTTCACAATTTTTATACCCTTGCAGGGTATTATAATTTCAGTCAGAAGTTTGCAACGCAGTGATGGAGACCTTTCCCACCCTATAAAGTAATTTTATATAACTTTAGGATTGTCAGATATGAAGCTGGAGGAGCGAGCAGATGGCTGGACAGATCTCAACCGGATGGCAGTAGAGGTCGGTGATCGGATCTTGGCTCCGGGCTATATGAAAGCCTGCGGAAGGCGTAAATAATTAAAATATTTATAAATACAATTTAAATATGTAAATGTAAATGATGGAACACACAAATATGAATCAATAAAAGATGGTGAATTCAATGTGCAATTCTTTGGTGAAGGCGGCATTTATTTGGGATCGTTTGGGGAAAAATCTAATTATTTTGAAAGTCAAATCTAAATTTTAAAATTTTTTTCTGAATTTTAAACATTTTTTTCGGATGTTTTACAATTTTTCTAAATTAAAAACTTTTTTTCTAAATATTTAAAACTTTTCTGAATTCTTAAAATTTTGTCTGAATTTTAAAATTTTTTTTCAGATTTTTTATAATTTTTAGAATTTTTTTTTAGAATTTGTTACATTTTTTTAAATGTAACTGCCAAATTTGAATTTGAATTTAACTGTCATGAGTGATGCTCATCTGCATCAGTAATGCTCATCTGGCTATATTTCAATATTGGAGGTCAATAAAGTCGGGCTTAATGTCAGTGATGCGCATGTGCATCAGTGATGCTCATCTAGCTATTTTTTTGCATTATTGGTAGAAAATTGCATCTCACTAGCTGCCAGTGATGAGCATCACTGATGGAAGTGAGCATCACTGATGGAAATGAGCATCACTGATGGAAGTGAGCATCACTGATGGAAGTGAGCATCACTGATGGAAGTGAGCATCACTGATGGAAGTGAGCATCACTGATGGAAGTCAGCATCACTGATGGAAGTGAGCATCACTGATGGAAGTCAGCATCACTGATGGAAGTGAGCATCACTGATGGAAGTGAGCATCACTGATCGAAGTGAGCAAAAATTTCCATCCAATTTGGCCGTTGCCCAAACTGGGGTAACAGGCGAACAGAAACCAGCAGCAAGCAACTGAAAACTGGTATAAACTGTTATAAAAACATTTGGGCAAAAATAATCATTGGTATAAACTGTTATATTTCATTTTATGCATTTATACCTATTTTTTGCCGACAACAACAGCTTATGGCAACAACAACCTTTTTACAACAACATCCCTACAGCAGCCCATCCAAATTTCCAAAAATTTCCATGCAAATTGCCCGTTTCCCAAATTGGGGTAACAGGCGAACAGAAATCAGCAGCAAGCAACTGAAAACTGGTATAAACTGTTATAAAAACTTTGGGCCACGAAAAGCGTGCCAGTGTGACCATATTGTAAACTTTGTCCAAGTTTCGAACCATTTAGGAGCCGGCGCAAGTAAGCGGAGACTCAAACCTTTTGAATCCAAATTTAGGTGTTATTTTACAACTTCACCTGGTCACACTGAAACTGATCGTCGTTAAATTCAAATTCAAATTTGGCAGTTAAATTCAAATTCAAATTTGGCAGTTACATTTAAAAAAATTTAACAAATTCTAAAAAAAAATTCTAAAAAATATAAAAAATCTGAAAAAAAAAATTTTAAAAATTCAGACGACATTTTAAGAACTCAGAAAAGTTTTAAATATTTAGAAAAAAAAATTTTTATTTAGAAAAATTGTAAAACATCCGAAAAAAATGTTTAAAATTCAGAAAAAAAAATTTAAAAATTTAGATTTGGCTTTCAAAATAATTAGATTTTTCCCCAAACGATCCTAAATAAATGCGTATACTTATTATGTTTACAGTTTGACAGTTACAGTTTTGCATTCGCAGCTTTACATTTTCTGTACATTTACCGATCGTTTATATGGCACCTATATGATATAGTTGTCCGATTTCGCAAAAATGGCCAAAAAATCGATTTCTTCCGGACATGTCTAGAAAGATTCGCATGTTAATGCTGATCAAGAATATATATGGTTTATGGGGTCGGAAATGATTCCTTGACTTAGAAAAATATTATTTTGTATTATAAAATCGGGTTTTTTATATTAAAAAACTTCTTAATTTTTTTAAAATTAAAAATATCATAACTCGGCCAAAAGAGCATTAATTTTAAATCGGAAAACTGTTCTGTGCTAGATTTTCTACAGTTAATAAATCTGCATACTTCATTTAAAAATTTTGAAAATTCAATTTTTTATCAAAATCAAAAATTTTAATGATGTAACCCCTTATAAAATTTTTCAAAAAATGGCCAAAAAATCGATTTCTTCCTGACATATCTAGAAAGATTCCCCTGTTGATGCTGATCAAGAATATATACACTTTATAGGGTCGGAAACGTATTCTTCACTGCGTTGCAAACTTCTGACTGAAATTGTAATATAAAAAAGGCCGTCACTGGGTCAACCCCCTTAAACAGATAATTGGTGGCAGCCTTTTTGGGATTATGCTTGGTCTTGGAAAAATTCATTGCATAATTGTGGGCTGAAATAAATATATAGTAGATGCATTTGTGAGTCTATCGCTAGGCTTGCAAGGCTAACCAAAATAAAAAACGAAATGTCCTTATAATATTCTTCATTTTGTGATGTCTTTCTGACATTTAAAAATAATATATATATATATAAAAGTACAAAACGCAAACATTTATAACATTATAAAATCTAACTACATATTTTTATATACAATTAAAGCTTAAGCTAATCGAGCACAAGCACATGACGACGGATCGGTGAAAGGACATTAAATATAGGAATGAAAGAGTTGGAAATGAAAGTAAGTACTAGAGAAAGCGTAGAGAGGCCAAATATTCGGCAGGAAGATTGTTTCCTTACTTAAGTACATTTAAATTTAATGATATTCTCATATCCTGCATTGTGAGTTTCGAGTTTTCTCTTTTATGAAGTAGTTTTTTCTTTAAGTTTACTCAGTTCAGTTGGTTCTCCGGCACCGCAGTGCACCAATCGCGACTCCACCAACGGTGCTGTGACCTGCAAGTGGAGCACATAGTCTGGAGCTGGAAAAATGCAAAATTTCATTATAGAAGGAAACCTAGTATTCATGGGAGTGGATAGAGATGGAGTGTGCTTAGAGTGGCATGATCAAACAGTGGAGCAAGCTGCGAATAAAAGCATAGAATAAAAGCGTGAAAATTTGGGAGAATGGTTGTGATCGGGGCAGAACGGATAAAGTACCAAAGCAGGTCTCACTTTGCTCCAAAATTGGTTCCAGATCATCGGGGCAGTCTATCGTGGGAAAATCAATATTAGTGGACTCCTTTAATATCACACCAATGTCCTTGTGGGCACTCATCAGGAACAAGGGAACGTTGGCCTTGGCCAGCTCCTTTTTCAGCGAGCCCATTCCTCGAGCTGCTGTAAAATCGAAATCTGCAGCAAAAATATATGTTTATCAACTAATAAATTATGAGAAATTATAATTATTAGAGCTAGGAACATACCATGCACATGGGCGCAATCTAAAACCACAGGAGCAGTGCCATGCGTGGCCAAAGCTTTAGAGATTCCCGACCTAACCCATTCGATGGCCGGAAAGTACAGTGAACTATGCTTGGGCCGTATCAAGATGTAGTTAATGCCATTTCTAGTCTGCAGTTTGGAGACGCTCAACACAGGCCGAGCGGCTCTGTAAACCAGAAAGGCCACATCAGCGCCTACTCCCAGTAACAAGCCAATCTCCACGCCCACTGCCAGGCTCAACACAAAGGTAATGGCTCCTGGCAGCAGCTCCCTTCGGCTACAGCGCCACAGCGGACGGATAACTTCAAACTCGATCATAAATATCACCGCCGAAATGATGACAGCACTAAGGGCGGCCTTGGGAATATACTGGAAGTAGGGTGCCAGCAAACCCAGTGCCAGGAGCACCAAAACGCTGGTATAGCAGCCTCCAAGGGGTGTCCTCACTCCACTTGCATGGTTGACAGCGCTTCGCGAAAACGAGCCTGTCACTGGCATGGAACTGCAGAAGGCTCCGCAGATGTTGCTCATGGATAGAGCCACCAGTTCCCGCGTGGGACTCAGACCGGCGCCACCAAATGCCTTGGAAATAGCTACGTTGCCCAGAACGGCAATAATGGGCAGGATCAGCATTGAGGGGCCCAGTTCAGAGAGCTAGGTTTTGTAAAGAGAAAAGAGATGTGATATATTTTTTTAATTTAAATCTATATTTTTAAAAAGTAAACAAATTAATGGAAAAATATGGATTTAATATATCCCCTTACCATTTGTTCCAAGTTCTGTGTGGTTTCTGTGCCATTCCTGTCCAGAATTGTAGTCTCAAACTTGGGTAGCGCCAAGCTGGGCAGGCCGCTCTTCACCTTACCCGTGAGAATGTAAGGACAGCTGTCCATTTGGTCGCAGGTATTGTAAGCCAGAACACTGGTCACCAACACCACCAGGGCATTTCGTCCAGTGGCTATGACCCATATGCTCCCGCTAACCAGCTGCTGGGCCCGCAAACTACGAAGTCGTCCATCAAGTTTTACGTCTTTCAGTTTCTAATGAAATAAATTTAAAAATTTATAAATAAATAGTAATAAATGCTAATAATGTAAATAAGTCGGCTTACCCTTAACACCAGAAGAACAACGATGGAGACCAATCCCAAAGTAAAGTCACCTCGTCGCACCTGATGAAGATTACCAAACACCGATCGCATGGTGTTGATAAAATCCGAGCCAGAGCCACCCCTTAACCCCAGTAGACCCTTAAGCTGCGAGGTGCCAATAATCACAGCCGTAGCAGAGGTGAATCCCACCGTAACCGGCAGCGATATAAGATCCACCAGGGCGCCCAGCTTCAGCACCGCCATTCCCAGCTCCACCACACCCGAGATAAGGCACAGCAGTATGGCGTAGGCTGGACCCGATCCCAGTCCCAAGCCAGTGTGGCGGCTGGTCATCAGGGCGAGCAGTGCCGTGGGTCCAATGGTCACCTGTCGGCAACTGCCTAGCATGGCGTATATGATGCCACCCACAAAGGCCGAGTACAGACCGTACTGCGGCTCTAATCCGGCCAGAGTCGCATATGCCAATCCTTGGGGTAACACCGTCAGTCCAACTGTCACGCCGGCTATAAGATCCGCCACTGCATCCTGGCCGCTGTAGCCGTGCAGCCACTTTAGACCGGGCAGCACCCGGTATCCCCAGTCTTTGAGGGTCATATTTGGGTACTTGTGTTACTAGAAGGAAAATAAGGGATTTAATATCAAATAGATACATATATGATAATAAGTAAATACATATATATATTATTGACTCTTTCACTACATTCTAAACATTGGCCAAAAATATATAATGCCAACAAAAAACGTGCGAAAAATAGCGCCCTTTTTATCTTATAAATACCTCACTCATCTTTCCAAGTTCAACGACTTCTCAAGCTCACTTTGCATAATTACAAAGTTTGATTATTAGACGTCTGCGTGACAGACAATCCCAAAAACAAAATAGACATCAACCAATGTTATGGCTCACAGCAAAAAAGCAAAAAGGAACAGTGAAGAATTCCAGACAATAGAAGAAATACGAGTTTATGGTAAACAAACTGATTGATTTCAACTGTCTCACCGGATAAACTAGATTATGTATAAGAGAAATAAGAAAAGTAAACAAAATTCACTCGAAAACCGAAAGCTAGGTTTTAAGTATTCACAAGGAAATTCAGGGTTTTTCTAAAGTAGTTATTAATGATGCCTTAGCTGTCTAAGCTCATGACTTTATAGCTCTTTTTTTAAGCTTCAATAGTAAGTTTATTAGAAATAATTTTAGACAGAACTTTACAACGCAAGACGACACATATTTTCAGTTCAAGGTACAAATAGCAATAACATTTGAAACATTCTAATTTTCAACCTCACTTCTTCGTATTTTGTCAGAAACTCACGTAAATATTTGCACAAATGTTTCGTACGAAGGGCGCGGCAAGTTTGTTAAATTCGAGGTATTGCTATGCCAGAAGTATGAACTTCTATTCTATACTTTTGGAAGCTCAGGCAGAGCAGCTCAGATCGGTTCGGAAGCTAGCCCAAGACTGAGGAAAGGAGCCGCCGGGTCGCTCTTACAGATCGCGTGCCCGAAGAATAGCAAATGATCAGTGATCACACGACCGACCGGCCGTCTCAATTAGCTCAACGAGCTGCGGAGCAGAGTTGAAAGTATCGGTTGGGATCGCTTGAAACGTGATCAAATTGCTCGATCGTTAAAAGCAAATACAAGCACGAGATATGTGCACGTAAATTGAATTTCGCTTTTTTTTGCCAGCGTTTATTTTACAATTTACAAGTGCTTTATTTGATATTTGTTTTGTCTGTGCGATATAGAGCGATCACTTGCACACTTATAAAATAGGGCTTTATTGGGTTGAACAATGCAAACGTTTACATATTGTTTAGCAGTCATTTAAGCACATTAAGTATCTATTAGTACAGAGTAATTTGTGGTGTATTTGTATAAATTAAGGGGGGAAGGCTGAATGAATTGATTTGTTTACTATATAGATTTGCATAACTCAATAAAAACTAAAAATAAAGAAAAATAACAATAGTACACAGGAGGAATTTAAAATAAACATAGCTGAAGGTAGTCCATGAACGAGATTTTAAAGAATTTAATTGAAATAGAAATACAGGTTAAGGAATGGGCGTTTGTAATTATACAATTTCTATAATTTGCTCAGTAGATATTTAAATAAGATTTTTTTAAAAAGATGTATTGATTATTGGTCATTTCTTCTTTAATTTGTTTTTAACATCTTCCATTTTAAAATATTAATATTCTACAATTCTTCTTAAATCTATCTATGTATGTATGTATGTTCTTAACTTTTACCAAGAATTTGTATAATTTAAAGTTCATTCTAAACATAGCTATTTAAATTCCTCAATGCTCTCGTTTTTAACGATCGATTTCAAGGACGAGATAAGAAAAATGTGCCTTATCAGTAGGGCAACAGTAGCGAACCCAAGTTTTATCAGCAATTATTAACCGGAAATTTACAAAGCTGTAAAAAGTTCGAAAAACGTGTGAGGCACGGAGAGTTTATTGGCCTGGCCCTTAAATGAAACTGGTGAAATCTGTTCTTTGCCGGACAACGGATCGTTTATGTATATACACTATGTGTGTATGTAATTGAGCCCCAGAGAAAACACACACTGAAGTTGTCTGTACATAATTGCAGATTGTTGACAGACGGCGTGATGGAATCTGCACTCTTTTTTGTTTTCTTTTCCCCCCCTTACCCTCGCTTACCGGGAAAACTAGTTTTTGTTAATTATAGTGGCCGTAGTTGGTGTAAACAAATCGCAGAAATAGCCGCAACAAAACAGGGGAACCAATTGTTTAGTCGCGTTTGTTTATTTATAACGCGAGGTAGCTTTTTTCTTCAAATTGGCGATTCGCAAAACAACAACAAATGGGTTAAGGGCAGAGAAAGCCGCATCGCACCAGCACAAGAGCACCAAACGAGCACTTGCTGTTTGCTTAAACCGAATTTGACACTATTGGCAGCTGCAGGCAGCTAATATTTAAATTATAAAGCTTGCTTTTACCGGTTAAATTAAACTAACTAAAGTTGTTTGCATTCCACCGAACAGCTGTATCAGTGTGACCTATTCTTCTTTAATATTAATAGTTGTTCCGACTCCACGTCAGCTGGGCACACTTAATAGCTATCGATAAGTTTGGAAACCGATACCCGTTTCGTGTTGTTCAACACTAAACTGGTCGGCGATGATTTATCATACACTCAAACTTCGAATACATAACAAAAATAAACAGAGAACATAAAACGCACAACTATTTACAATTTTATATTTTTAAAGAATACACGGACACAGATACAGATGTGCAAAATTTAAGGTTGGTGGCAGCCCTATATCGATATCCCCGCTGTTCTCGCTTCCCAACACTGCAACCGACAGCGACCGTTTGACAACACTGGCCTGCAAATCTGATTTTTTACAATATTATGGCACTTGCGCGGCTCGCAAATCATATTCACTGACTAAAATCCTTTGGAAGTCATTGCCAAAAGTGGAGAATCGCTGCCGCTGAGGCCCCCGCGCTAAGAATCGCCTCCCAGGAAGCCGAGGTGCCGAAAACCAGACATCTAGCCCCCCCTGCCCTCCTCCCGCAGCCCATAAACGAGGAGACGCCGACTGTAATTGCAAAGTAGAAATCAACATTGTCGCCGACCATCACACATATTATGAAATGGGTAAGTTACGCGAAAAGCGGTCGGGTACACGGATTTCCAACTCACGGGCCGACTTCCACGGCCAGTATTCCATTGTGAAAACTGCAACAGCATCTCCAATGACTCGGTGTGTGTCGGGTGTGTCAGTGTGTGCGTGTGGCTGTGCTTGCAGTTTTCTGAGGGCCTCCTAACTGTATTCTGGGATCAATTTCCTCAGCAAACGTAATTTTCTTGGTTACTTGGTTTAATTATTCGACTGTTTTCAAAATCCTTCCCTGAATTTCCCGTCTCTGAAACAATGCGACAATATATTTTCGCCTGCTTTGCTGGAAATGTCTTTAAAATCATTGAAATTATGAAATAGAAAGATCTAAAAACTGAACCAGCTTCCAGAGCTTTCCTTTGTTTTAATGACTACCTTAAACCTACATATCGTACATATCGTCGAGGTAACAACAGAATTCATATGCCAATGCTTTGCTTTGTTTCTTAGTCGTTATGACTTTAAGAATGGTTTTCCCAAACTTGGCATTCTCGCCCGACCTTGATCTATATTTTAGATGTTTTGTAGCTCTCTAAAAATGCTGAATAATAATTAAAAGTAATTGGTTTGTTGCTGCATTACTCTTTTTAATAATATTAATTCTAAAGGTTATTATAATTCAAGATTTTGAAGCTAATTATTTAGCAATTTATGTTAGATGATCACAGACTCTTATTGGCAAATAACATTGCTTTATTATAGTATAAAACTACTGAAGGGGCTGATACTCGTACGATATTTAAGGCTTAATTGTTTCGCTTAAGGGCAGAGTTACACTTATTGAATTTCCGATTACTCCTACACTTGATCAAGACCATTGAGCAGAATCAGACCGTAAGCTCGTATACCCAAGAGGATCTTGTTGCTTGAGGCTCGGTTGTAGGTCAGTGCGAAGAGGTGGCTGATCCGGCGGCGCAGAGTGCGCACCAGGCGGCGACGACCGGCGACGATGTAAGTAGCGTCCCATCGTAACACCCAATCACCGTAACCACCTCCAAGCAAATTATCCAAATCGTTTCTGCATATTATATGTGCCTTTGTTTTGTTATTGTTTGTCTTTTTTTGGTTATTCTTCAGCAAAATTTGTAGCACTTCTAACAGCGAAATTGGCCAAAACTCGATTATAAACATTTGATTTGTATTTCGCTAATGTCTTTAACCAATTGGTCCGGCTATTTTGTTATGTTGCTAACCTTTACCCTTCCCTACAACACACAACACAATAGACAATTGTAAAATTGATGATGATGATGGATTGAGATTTAAAAATCCCTTTTTTTTTAATGACAGACTTAAAGTCTATTTATTTTACCAATTAAATTGACAATTTCATCGACTTGCTTTTGACAAAGACTTCAAAGTTATAAGCAAAAATGATAAATTTCAATTTTTAGTTTTGGAAAATACAACCAACTCTATAGAGTTCCTTTTTTTCCCTTTTATTTCGTTTTTTTTTTTCAAAATCTTGTTATATACGCCTTCATCATGCATCAATTCTTTGAACTTATCACCGCCAATTCCGTTTGGCGGTCCAAATACACAATCACACACTTCCAGAACACTTCCTTCCTTTCAAAAAGATATGCCCTACTTGGCCCTCTAACGGATATCCGTTACCTTTCGCAGACAATGCCCTCGGCCATCAGTGGCGCGGCACACGGCCAGGTACACATACCCAGCAACGAGGAGTGCGGCATACGGGACGTGTGGAAGCATAACCTGGAGGAGGAGTTCCGCACAATACGGAAGGTGGTGCAGAAATATCATTATGTGGCCATGGACACCGAGTTCCCGGGCGTTGTGGCGCGACCCGTTGGCGAGTTCCGATCCACGGCAGACTATCACTACCAGCTACTGAGATGTAACGTCGACCTGCTAAGGATCATCCAACTGGGCCTGACATTCATGGACGACGATGGCAAGACACCGCCCGGCTACTCCACCTGGCAGTTCAACTTCAAGTTCAATCTGAGGTTAGCTCGCTTCTCAGACACAAAAATGGTGGGTCTTTTGAATAACTTTTCTTTCTTTTATACATTTAGCGAGGATATGTACGCCCAGGACTCGATAGATCTTCTCCAGAACTCGGGCATTCAGTTCAAAAAGCACGAGGAGGACGGCATCGATCCCATAGAGTTTGCGGAGCTGCTGATGAGCTCGGGCATCGTGCTGGTGGAGAACATCAAGTGGCTGTGCTTCCACTCTGGCTACGATTTCGGTTATCTACTGAAGCTGCTCACGGATCAGAACCTGCCCGCCGACGAGGGCGACTTCTTCGAGCTGCTGCACATCTACTTCCCCAACATCTTCGACATCAAGTATCTGATGAAGTCGTGCAAAAACCTGAAGGGCGGCCTGCAGGAGGTGGCCGACCAGCTGGAGCTGCGCCGCGTGGGTCCGCAGCACCAGGCCGGCTCCGATGCACTGCTTACGGGCATGGCCTTCTTCAAAATGCGTGAGGTACATCATCACACAAATGATTTGCACTTTGACATAGAAGCGCCCGTTGTATTCTTTCCTTACCTGCTTGAGCACACCATGCACTTGAAGCCGTCCGTCACCCAGATCTGTTTGCTGAGCCACCGTCCGACCTACATTAGCGGGGGCTTAGTCCCCTCCAATGACTCTGAGGCGGACATAGGTGGCGGCAGATCCCTGCCAAGCGAGCTGCTCACCGCGAGCACCTACGTGGACACGCCTCCCGCCACGCCGGGTGGTGAGGAGTGTGTTGTCCCGAAAAATTAGCTAGCAGTAGCCATCATCATCATCGTCTTTTCGGTTTTCATGGTTAATTGACACTCACTTTTCACTTTCATACTTACATTTGCATATGTATATATATTCGCTTTTTACCACTATTTAATGAATGAAGTCCTCAAACTGAATTGTTGTTAGTTAATCTGAACCATGTGAAACATGACTGTTTTAGTTTTTAAACGTTTTCAAAACGAAGAAGAAGACTTATGAAGAGACCAATTACTCCCTGGATTTGAATGGAGAATTAAAGGAATTGAAATTAATTTTCTTTTTAAACATTTGATTTACACTTTTTTGGTAACTGGGCATTGAATACTCTTAAAGAAAATCTAAAGATAGTCTATAGTATCGCTGGGATTAACCTAACTCACACCTAACCACATTTCATGTTTCTTTAAATTTTAAGGTCTTTATTGACGTTAATTTCCACGCAATGAACTGTGTGTATATTCGTTACAAGTGCTTTTACCTGTAAATCCGCCCATCAAGAAAATAGCAGAGCCTAAACCCCAACCCATCCTAACCCATCATGAAAACCCCTATAAAATTATATCGGTAAACGGTATGTAACGAAACCACATAAGTACGTCTCTTGGGGATATATATTTTAAGCCTCTTCCCAAGTAGGTTTTAGTGTGCTTCAAACGCTTTTTAGTCTTGGAATTAAACCCGCTCGCTTAAGCCTCCCCCTGCTTCGTCCCCCAGCCCCGTTGATATTCTCCGCTAATCGTTCTTTTCTCCCCCTTTTCAGATGTTCTTCGAGGACAACATCGACCATGCCAAGTACTCCGGACATCTGTACGGCCTGGGCACCTCGTTCATTGTCAACGGCACCAACTTCCACGAGAGCAACGGCGAGACGAACAGCGCCTCTTGATTCGTGCTGATGGGCAACGTGGTCGTGCACGACAGAAAGTTTGAGCAGGAGCAGGAGGTGGCAGCGGTGGCTGCACCAATCGCCACCACCACCAGCAGCACCAACACCACCACCACCACCGCATTGCAATAATCCGTTTCAATCGGATTTTCGATTGGATTTTCTATATCCCCATTTACGTATATAAAGCACTTTTTGTTTTTTTCAAAGCAAACTAAAGGGAAAAAAGTAACATACGCCAATTGTAAATCACACATAAAGCCAATTGTAAATCACACACTTCGAGGGAGACAGAACTTTGCAAACCCTAAATAGATCCAATTTCAATTTCTGCATGTTTTTGTGTTAATAATACAGAACCTAAGCTATTTATCTAAGATAACATTGTAAGCCAAAGGGCGAATAGAATATTGTGTATTTGTATAAAAAACAAAAGAACCCGCAGAACAATATATTTAAAACTTTTTAATTTAGTGTAAATTCTTGGTTTTCTTTTATTTCTACAGCGAGGGGAAAGGTGGTTTCGGGGGAGAGCAAAATAAAATCTTTCATTAATAATACAAATCCGGTTAATTTTAGTTCTTATTCAGAATATGCTTCTTTGTTTTTAAACTTTTTGAATTGGCGCTTTCTTCATAGTGATGGGACTTATCGCTTTCAAAAACCAATCGATAATCGACCGTACCGATTTCACCAATATTTCAATCGTGTTTCTCCCATCTCTATTCTATTTATTTGGTTTAATGGAAATATCCTTGAAATTTCAAATATAAGAGGAATTCCAATGGCTGGATTGGCTGAGTGCACCCACAGTGTGCTCGACCAGGTCACCCACCTGGCCACATTGTTGGCATCGAACCAGCAGGTGACCGATGAGTCCACATCTGCCGCTGTGGTGGCCAAGAAGCGCTCCGAAATCTACGAGGCGCTCTTCCGACGCGGGACAATGTCCTCGGAGCAAATTCTGGAGCTGCTGTGCGAGGTGAGCAGCCAATTAAGAAAGGATCCAGAGCAGCGAGGCAGGCTACAGCCCTTCCAGAGATTGCTGGAGGAGCTAAGGACGAGGGACTTGCAGGGCACTGAAAAGAAGGTGGAAACCCGCACCAAAGAGGGGTTCAAGGTTTTGAGGCCAAGCGTGCTTAAGCTCCACGAAGTGCAGCTAATGGACCACCAAATATTCAGGGAGCCACTTCTCTTCAGATCAATCCCTCAACTGAAGCGGGAACGCCAGCCCCTGCAGCTAAGGGAGCCCCTTTGGGATCCTCTGCCATGTAATATGAATAAGCCAGTTGGCAGGATAAACCCAACAAACATCTCGATTTTAACGGCATCCCAAGCTCGGATTAGGGAGAGTGGCCAGCAATCAATGCCACCGATACCGAAACTGGATTTCCTTAACACAAAGAGGTCCGAGAAGCTCCAGAAGTCTGGAGAACCTGGTTCGAAGAAGCATTTTGTCTCGGATCTGATGATGAGCAACGAGCTATATCTCGCAATGAACAAAAAACTGGTGCTCAGCTATATCCAGGAAGCTGTTCTCATTGACCACCTCAAGAAGGCGGCTGCTGGTCTCCAGTCGGACACGTTTATGTGTTCGCCGGCGGATGACAAGAAGCTGATGATTAGGCCCAACACCACCCTGCGCAGTGTGCTGCCGGATATTCTGGCGGACTTTGCGGAACCCTTTTTAAGATCGGGTTTTGCCTACCGGCGCTTGAGCGCCCGCACCAGCTTTAGCACCCTCACCAATGTCCGTGTGGAAAGACCTCTCAACCGGGTGAGTCCTGGAGTAAACAAGGAGGCGAGTAAAGAGTTTATTAAATTCTCTTTTTCTTAAAGGCCTTTCGCGAAATTCTGGAGGATTTCCTGGCCACCATTCGCCAGTTTCTGCTCTCGCAGTCCGCTAAGAGTCTTCCCCAGTTGCTACTAAACTCCCGGTCTGCTATGCAGCTCCTGCAGCAGTTGGAGAATGTTTTCCAGGAGGAGCCCAGGCGTAAGTTTCCATTTATAAATTTGATTTCCCTCTTAAAAATGTATCCTTGATTAAAGTGAATCTAGAGGCTGGAGTTCCTGGCTATTTCCTGATGAGCTGCATCTGGCAGATCATCGACAGCTGTACCCATAGCGACTTCCTGCAGCTCCTTATTTATCTGCTGCGCAGGATGTCGAAGACTTACTTTGGCCAGTTGCAGAGTTGGATTTACAAAGGCGAACTGGACGAAGAGCTTAACGAGATTTTCATTAGTCGCTGCCGAAACACATCGCCTTCCCTAATGGATGAGTGCAGCAAGGAATTCTTCAACAGGGGCTACCAGGTGGTCAACGAGGAGGTTCCAGCCTTCTTATACGGCTGCGAGCAGGACATTCTTCAGTGCGGAAAGTATAATCGCGTAATCAAGGCCTACAATGCTCAGGTGAGGTTGGGAAAGCCCCCATAAAGTGTCATAATATTACTCCAAAATCCATACAGCACCCAGTCTTCGATGTGGAGTTCCCTTCCATAACAGTTTGTTTGACGGAGCAGCAGCTCAAGGACATGCGTCGTGGCCTGGCCGAGAAATATTCGGTCATCTATCAACGGTTTGGCTGGTGCAGCATGCAAAGCATCTTCCAGGAGCGCATGGCGGCCAAGCGTAACTCCCAAGACCTCATGGTGCAGCGCACCCGGGCACATCTGGCTGCCTGGGAGGAGCATATGCGTGTCCTGCAGCTGGAGGCAAATGCCCAGAAAAAACTCCGCTACGAACAACTCAATGCCGAGCTGGAGCTCAACCAACAGAAGGTTTTGGAGAAACGGCGTCAGGAGATTGTCGATGAATTGGTTTTCCTAAAGGAAAGTGAGCGTCTGGAGGAGAAGAGGCAGCTGCAGGAGAAGGAAACATTGCTAAAGAAAGTGGCTCAACTCCAGGGTTTATTGGAGTCCCAGGACACTTTAAGTCCCGATGACAGCTCCAACAGTGATCGCAGCTTCAAGTCCTGCCTCGAGGGACCCCCTTCTCGCCCAGAATCTGTGATAGACAAGCCAGAGGAGGAGCAGGCGGAGGAGGAGGAGCAGGCAGGCAAGCCAAAATCCCCAACTACCTTGCGCAGACCGCTGGACGAGCTCAACTCCAATGACCATGTGACCTTCCAATCGGAACTGGAACGTAATCGCAAGCACATACTCTCCTCGGAGCACTTTCAGGCCATGGTCAATGTCCAGGACTCCACTACGACCGGTTTAAGAGCCCACCTACCCCCTCCCGACTTTAATGCCAATGTAAAGGACACGGAGACCCAAGACCAGCTCACTGACCTCCAGCGATACCGACTCCGCATGCAGCAGCATGACTCCTTTGGTAACTACAACTCCACCGAGGATGACCACACCCGCCGTATACAGCGTCAAATGCAGTCCACCGAGGATAGGGCCATTAACAGGCGGCGGGTAATGAGCAGCGAGTATGGCATTAGGCTGGGCGAAGGCAGGGTAGATGCTTTACATCTTCCACTGGAACTCAACAAGCTGCATGTGGAAGTGCCTTTGTCGGTAACGCCCATGTCCATCACCTCCGATGCCGATTTTGGGCCACTGACGCCGCCTGACCACACAGCTGACAAGGATGCCGTTAATAATAACATTGCTGATGGTGCTGATGAAGTGGAGGCCGTGACCGTATCGCCACAGAGTAAACCTGATCCGGTAAAAGCAGTGGGAACACTTTTATCCAACTTTAAGCCCACTTTCATACTCCCCACAAACTTTCAAACGAAAAGCAAAGAGGCAGAGACCACACCTGTTATCTTAACGGAGGCCTGCAATCCCTTCATGGCCCGCCGGTGCCTCCAGCTCTCCGTGATGGTGCCTGTTAATGCCCACTACGCTCTCCTTCGTAACGAGGTCTTGAGAATATTCAAGGAGCTACGCATCTACGATCATTTTCGCCGTCTAAGAAACTACTTCTTTCTGCTGGACGGACAGTTTGGTGGAATGCTCACCTCCGATATTCTCGACAGGATCCGAGCGGGCATCGATCCCAAGAGTCTGAGCCAGAGGGGCGTACTCGACGCCATGCTGGGCAATGCCTTGGCTTGCTGTCCGGCGGATGAGACCACGGTAACGCAGAATCTTCACCTGAATTGCACCAAGATACCAGATAAACTGGATTTCTGGTCCCTGGAAGCCACCTCCATGCTGGCCCTAAACTGCAAAGTGGACTGGCCCCTCAACCTAGTGATAAGTTCGGAAACAATTGTGAAATACGGACAAATATTTGGGTATTTGCTGAAGCTAAGGCACGTGAGTTTCATTCTGGATGGCACCCACCAGCACCTGCAGCGGGTGGGAAAGCTGCTGGGCCGAGGGCTCCAGAGCTCTGTCCAGTTTCGGCAATTGCAGGTGGTGCGGCACAAGCTGTTGCACTTTGTGACCGCCCTGCAGACCCATTTGGTGGCCAAGGCTCTGCAGGCCACATGGAAGAGCTTCAAGGAAGACTTGTGCACAGCCAATTCCATCGAAGATCTCTACAGGCACCATGTGGCCTACCTGAAGCGGATGGCCTTTTTGACTTTTCTAAACCGGAGGAGTGCCAAGGTCAAGGAAACCATCGACAATATGCTCGTTATAGTCCTGCGCTTCTGCAAGTGAGTGGAAACAAATTCAAATGATGATTATGAAATTATTGTAATATTTTTTCCAGAGTAATACAATCGCAAACGTTCATGCCGGATGTGAAAAATCAGTTTGTACATCCCCGTTTCAAGAGATTGCTGCAGGAGGAGGCCGAGTTCGATAAGTTTATGCTTTATCTCATATATTTGGGCAACAAGGCGGCCGCCTCTGGCTACCAGGAGGAGATCGGTGACCTGATATGTATTGTTAATTTTAATGACTACTATATAGTATCTGAGCAGAAATCGGTGTCTTGAAAGCGCAGGTCTACTCCTCAACACACATTTTACGACAAACCCACAAGATCACAAGTAAAAGATCTTTAAATGATTTTATAAAGGCTCCAAAGTCGCTCATTTCCAACGCTCTTGACACTAATCCGCGTCTTAGATAAGTTAGTATCAAATATCGAAACGAAATGATGTACCTTATTGTTGAAAAATATGTAACTAATGAACGCGTCCATTATCTCAGAACACGCTCGAATAAATTCATGTATCTACTTATGTGTGTTTTTATACTCTGGCAGGCCATTTTAATTTCATTAAATATTATTTAGTTATTTAAATACAAGAGATGTATTTAACCGTCAAATTTGAATTCGAATCTTGAATTTCTTTCAGTGTGCCCAGTGTCATTCGTTCACAGCGTTGCCAATTTAGCTATTTTCCCGCTATGTCGGGAGGAATAAGCCGATCTGGTACTCCGTGCGTTACGTAGTGCACCGATCTGGTACTTTTGGTCGCTCATGCACTGACAGTCTGGCAACGCTGGTCGCTCATGGCACGAGCTACCAGCGTTGCCAGATCGCCAGTGCATGAGCGACCAAAAGTGCCAGATCGTCAGTGAACGAGCGACCAAAAGTGCCAGATCGGCTTATTCCACCCGACTGGCAGCGCTGGTCGTGACTCACGACGTGACGTCATTATTTTCATTTAAATTAGTTTATTTTTAGTTTAAAAGCTGCATGCTCTCGGCCCCTGCCAAATTTTAATACATTTATTCTGTGAATACAACAAATAAAAATGCAGGTAAATAGTAATTCAACAAAACACCTTTTTCCGGGAGTCAAATAACACTTGTGGGTGTGTTGCGGCCACGCACCACCGCCTCTGCCTGCATCCAAAAATAACTCCTTATTTGGTATGAAGTCTTGAATGAAAACTCACATGGCATTCTCCATTCAGGACCCCAACGAAGACACCGAGTGGAACGATGTGCTCCGCGCCAAGGGAATCATTGGACCCAAGGCCAAGGAGGCGGAGATCACAGAGGACCAGATCCAGAAGCTGATGGACGACGCCATCCAGCGGCGCACAGACCTCCCGCTGAACGAGGGCCAGCGGGACAAGAAGATCGACGACATGTCGCTGGACGAGCTCGACGAGCTGGAGGACTCGGAGGACGAGGAGGTGCTGGAGCAATACCGGCTGCGGCGCATCGCCGAAATGCGGGCCACCGCCGAGAAGGCGCGTTTCGGTTCGGTTCGCGAGATCTCCGGCCAGGAGTACGTCAACGAGGTGACCAAGGCGGGCGAGGGCATCTGGGTTGTCCTGCATCTGTACGCCAACGGAGTGCCCCTCTGCGCCTTGATACATCACCATATGCAGCAGCTGGCCGTGCGCTTCCCGCAGACCAAGTTCCTGCGCTCTGTGGCCACCACCTGCATACCGAACTTCCCCGAGAAGAACCTGCCCACCATCTTTATCTACCACGAAGGAGCCCTGCGCAAGCAGTACATCGGTCCCCTGGAGCTGCGCGGCGAGAAGCTGACCGCGGAGGAGCTGGAGTTCATGCTGGGCCAGGCGGGCGCTGTGCCCACAGAGATCACAGAGGACCCACGGCCGCAGATCAGGGACAAAATGTTGGCCGATTTGGAGGACAAGAGCGCGGACTTTTACTAGGCAGGAAATAACCCATCTACGTAACCCCTTTGGAGTGCCTCAATATGCTAAGGAGTTATTAATCTAATTTCTTGTTAAATACTAAGTTCACAAATTCCTGGAAGAGGAACTGACTCCCAATTGGTGGCACTCCAACCTCAGGGGGGCTCCATTTTCATTTCATTATTTTGTGGCATTTAGTTTTCGTTTTCTTCACACAAATAAATTGTTTACTTTTTCTACTAGAATCCCACATTTACTGCTTGCTCTGCTTGGTGCTGCTGGTCACCGTCTTGGCCACCGTCTTGGGCTTGCCCCGGAATATGTTCGGATCGATGGGGTCATTGTAGGGATGCTCGCAGGCGGGATTTAAAACCCTTCCCCGCCTGGGCTCATGCTCCTCGAGGAGATGCGGCGCTAGAAGTAGGAACAGCTGCTCCGTCCACGAGGGCAGACCGCAGCTGGAGAAGCACAGCTCCCAGTACGGCAGACCCAGATGAGCAATAGCCATGCGCAGGTACTCACTGAAGGTATCCGCCAGGAACTGCCAGCTCAGGGTGCTCAGCTCCAGCAGATAGAATTTGGGATTGTTGGAACTGGTGGATTCATACAGCATGCAGACCTGGAAGAGCCGAGATTTAGGGAGAGAAGAGGAGGTAATTTTGTGAAGGAGAGTAGGTAACCCACCTTGGCCACCTCGTTCACATTGTTGATCTCAAATATCTTCGACTTGGGCGTGATAATGGGTGTGGCATTGCCCCACTTATCCTTGCCAGAAGCAACTGGTGCTGCAGCTGCTCCCAGCACATCCGAGTTGCTGCTGTTTACAGAGTGCGTGGTTTCAATGTTCTCCCGCAAAAGTGTGACCTGCAGCAAGTGGGGGAAGTGGATGTGACCCACCCGACGGATATCGTTGGCTGCAAGTGGAGGAGGTTTAAGCAGAAAACTAGGACCTGAGGAGCCTTCACTCACGTGCATACTGGTAGCTCCAGTTGAGCACAAAGCCATCAGTGGAGAGGTAGAATTTCTTCATATCCTCCGGCAAATAGACGCAGTGCCTCTGCTCCCAGTTGACCACCTGGCAGGCATTCAGCGGCTGCCGCCGTTCCAAAGTCACATTGCACACTCTCGGGACATTGGCTGGAGGAACAAGGATTTTAGGGATAAGATTGGAGCAGGAGAATCATATTTACAGAGTGTCCGAATAAGTCCCAGTGTTAGGTTTTCGTAAAAGGCATCCTCGGGGCTAATTTTCTTGTTCATTGTTAATAATTTTCTTGGCTTAAAAAACCAAATGTTGAAATGTCCAACTAGAAATCTGTTTACCAAGTTGCTAAGGCTTGAATAAAGCTCCAAAAGATGGTTGCTGTGGCAACCAACTGGCAAGTATTTGTACACAAGTTCTTATTTTTCTTACACAACATTGAACATAATTTATTTATTTACAAATACCCTGACATAACAACAATTACACATGAAATAAACGGATTTGTATGATCTTGGAGGTGCGAATGATGACAATTTGGTTTCTCTATCCCTTGCTCTGACCATGAACCTCGCTCTCGGCCTCCTCCTCGTGTCAGGAGACCTCCCACACCGTCGACTCCACAGATCGTCGCGGCCTGGCTGCCACCTCTACATGGGCATCCAGGCCATCGCTCAGCCTACTAAAGCGCCTTGCCCAGCTGCCACGGGCATTTGTGGTCTGACTTCCGGCTATTGAAGTCCGATTACTTGCATCCCGGAAAAGGCTCATGATGTCCTGGTTGTCGCCCTGTGCCCGCTTAATTCCATGCTGGTACTTGGCCTCCTTGGCCAATAGTTGCTCACGCTGCATCTGGGTCTTCACCTCGGATGGGACATCCGGAATGATGAACTGCATGATGCCGGTGATTACGAACACCACGTGCTGTTATAAAAAGTTATATTCAAGAACCTCTGGAATCACTGTTTAAGATATTTACCTCGAAGACCACTACAAAGGCCAAGCGAGCAGCAAAGACATGCCAATAATGGGGACTCAGTCCATAGGGTTCGTAGTCCTTGGGTCCATTTCTAGAAAGGTATAATTATAAGTAGAAGGTAAGGATGATTAGGATGTTGGAAACCCACCTATAACCGCGATACTGACAGGTATCCGGATCCTTCTCGCTGACCGTTGCTCCCCATTCCTCCTTGTAATCGGAGGTGTTAAATATGGACAGCGAGTGCTCGATGTACCCAGCCAGCGTATGCGTCTCCGAGTACACAAACTTGTAGACCATTCGGGGTATAAAATCACTGGTGTAGGCTATTACAAAGGCATTCGAGACGACGGCTGTATAGGTGATGATTCGCAGGATGCCGTACCAGGCCCCTATATCCTCAACACGCTCCGCCAGCGGCCGCCTGGCCTGGGTGACCATCTTGTAAGCATCCAGTCGGATTTCGGCCACATTGTTCAAGAGCGCAAAGAGCGGTGCCAGAGGAAAGGCAGCCACAAAGAGGGTAACGAAGCCATATTGGAGGACTAATTAAAAAAGAATTTTAAATTTATAGCCAAGAAATTAAATGAAAATCTTACTCATTTCCAGATATTCATCGAATAAGGCCAGGCGTCCCGGGTCCTGCATATGATAATCCTGCTCCCAGGCCATGTGTAGATGCGATTCATCCTTGGTGGCCTAAAGAAAAAGCTTTACTTATTCAAAGAAATATAAAAGAAAAATCAACTAATTCCCTTACCTGTTTGTGCTTACGCTGACGCCACCAATTCCAGAACTTGGGAAACAGATACTCCATAAAGTTATTCCAGCACTGCTTGCCCACCATTATAATGGCCAATTGGATGCAGAGTTCGGACAAGCAGCCCGCCGGGTCGCATATGTCGTTCTTCAGGCGGAAGAACTCGCTCCTTCTAGCCTGATCATCACCCGGATAGTCAAAGAAACGGCCCTTGAAGAAGGCTATGTAGATGAGCGACGAATAAAAGTTCATGAACTCAAAGAAGAAAATCTTAAAAGTGTAGGAGTCCTCGTATTCGGTGTGAGTGCGGGGATTCTCCAGATTGGTCAGACGGATAGCCATGCGGTGGTAGATCTGAAATAATATTTATCCATAAATTATGACTTCCTTTAGAATTTATTAAAGCTTGAACTTACTCGTGTGAGTATCATGATGACCACCAAATTGATCAAGGCAGCCGTGACACTGGTAAACAGCTTGGCATGCTCCTTTACAAAGAAACCTCCGCCTCCATAGATAACCGACACCAGGGTTATGCGATACAGGATGGTGCCCAGCACGGCGGAGAGAACCACTGAGATCTGCAGGGAAGTTTTAATAATTTTCCTTTTAAAAAATATTAAGAAATAAGCTCACCATAAAGAGAACTGCACTGCCAGTCACGACAAACCGCAAGGCTCGGTTCCAGGTGGACATGTAGGGCTCCTTTTCCCGTGTGACTGGATTCATGCGGAACGTGGTGGCATTTGTCTCGAATTCGGGACGGTTCTCCTCGTCCATATCCACATTATGCAGGTCCCACTCCCAGACCAACACCGACTGCTTGCGTTTCCAAAGCTCCAGGAATGTGGTGGCTATTTTGGAGACAATAAAATAAATATAAAAACAGAGCTAAATTACATTAGAATTTTTGTATACCCCAAAAGGACATGAATATCGCAAAGAACACCGTCGAAGGATTGTCAAACAGATAGGTTAATCGTGAAAAGAGACACGACTCTGAGAGTCGCTGGTAGCTACAGGCCTTGTCGCACAGCGGGCACAAGGTGATGTTCCCGGTGCCATACTCATTGCAAATCTCCTTGCTGGGTGTGTTGTCCTCGGACTCGAGAGTGGCCAGGCCGTAGATGAAGCAGAGGGTGCCCACCACTGCCGGATAGACCAACATCTCCGTATAGAATCCCAGCCAGCAAAAGTACAAAGCAATCTTGTCGCCAAAGTATTTGCGCACCAGGCACAGCGGCTGCTTCTTGTACCACTGCGAGGGATGGGCCCACGTCTGATAAAGCACTCGGCGGTCCAGTGAGATCCCACTGGAGTGGGGACGGTCATAGCGGCCCTCGTGCAGCGGGAAGCAGCCCAGATAGGTGCCATCGTTCAGCAGACGTCGAATGCCGCTCCGGTCGCTTTCATCGAAGGGCGTGCGAATGAGCACCTGCATCACCATCAGAGATCGCTGGGCGCTGGTGAAAGCAGTGGCGCGGTCTTTCACTATGAACCTGTGGAGGAATATTATTTCCAAACCGTATTTCCCTAAGACAAACTAATACTTACTGCTCCTCCGGATTGCCATTAGCTGTGGCCGCCTTGAAGGTGGTCTCACCCTCGAGAAGGGTTTGGTCTAGTTGAATCTTTTTGGTCAAACGCTGCCACACATCCTTCCAATACTGCACATTCCTCAGCACCACATTTTCCTCGTCCTTTAAACAATAAAAACTTTAGATAAATATGTTTTTAGAACCCTAAAAATCCTCACCCAAGATGGCTTCACGGATATGGTAATAAATCTTTTAACTGGCAGCTTCAGATTCATCACCTCCGCCAGTCGCGTCTCCAGCCGCCAGGGAAGATGTATTTTCAAGAAAAAGGTCTTCTCGTTGAACGACTGCGACTTGTCCTCCAGTTCTACTTCCAGTCCCTCCTTTATAAGGTTCTCCATGAAGCTACGACGATTATCACGACGCTTGGCCTCCGCCTCGGTCATCACACCCAGGTCCTCCTCCTCCCAGGCCAGCACCATGTCCACTTTCCTTCGACCATCTCGAAACATTAGTGACTCTGGGTCCAGTCCCTCTCGATCCTGTTTGCTGACCCTTCTCTCGTCTCCAGACTCTCCGCCGAGACTGTTGCTCTTGCTGGCCTTTCGGCTGCCATAGTAGCTGCCACTCACACTGCTCGTGGAATCTGAGGCCTTCCGTTCCGTGGGCATCAGTTGACGGTAGCCAAACTGGTCAGGTAAGACGTTGGAGTGCGATGACTCCATCACCTCATAAGACTGGTTCACTCTGTCTCCAGAGCCCAGAGTGGGACTTAAATTCAGGCCCAAATTACGACGCATTGCTGTGCCAGGTATATCCTCCTCATGGCTACCCACAATCTTGGGACCAAAGGCCTGCGTTGGACTTGGCTCCGCTGACTCTGATTCCAGATGCGTGGGCAAAGGCACGGCAATGGGATTGGATTTGCTGTACAGTGAACTGCCATTACTGGTACGCATCACCGAGGAGTTTAGCCACTTTTCCGTATAAGCCGCCGAGCCTGCCCTTGCGCGAGTCGAACTCAGCTTGGATTTGGGCAGGATGGGAGTTGAGGGCTTAAGGCTCACCGCTGGGACATTATTCACTTCCTGACTGCAGTAAATACTTTCTGCTTTTTTGTGATCCGTTTCGATTACCCGCGAGTGCAGATCAGAGTCAATTAGGGCACTTTCCTGGGGATACAACAGTGTCATCGCTTGGGTAACCATAACTAAGGCTAAACTCACCCCGTAACTTATCAATCTTCCCGCCACAATGCCACTGTCCTGACTAAGTCTTCTGGGCCGCTGTTTCGTCTGTGTCCGGCGTATCATGCGCTCGCTTTTGGCCGGACTGGACATTACCTCCCTCCGGGTGGAGGGATCTGGGGATTGGCGTGGACTTCGCAGAGTTGGCACCGAAAGGAATCCTGTCGAGGGAAGGGTTAACCAAGAAAAGCTAATGGTCGAAGTATAATCTTACTGGGAAATTGAAAAACCGACGACTGGTCGCTGGTTCTCTCACCCTCGCGGGCAGCACTGCCAATGAGATCCTCTCGTGAGCTGGCCTCCGTTATGGGGGCAGTGCTTTCATCATCGACGCTATCGATGCGTATTTGAAAGATATGTGACCTGTCGCCGGACCTTTCGTTGTGACTGCTCATTGCGGTTGCGGTTGCTACTCTTCCTCTCTCCACGGCGTCATGGAATTCTGTGAAGGAGCGTAATTGGATGGGCGGCAGGTCAAATGGGGGCCACTTTCTAATTTGGCCTAGTTTGGAGACACGGGTCAGTAGCGCACCTGCTCCTGTACCCATGATAAACTATTTAAAGTCCCTCAAGTTCGAAAACTCGTGGGGAAGTGGGAGTGGGTCAGGCTTAGAAGTTGTCCTGCTGCACATACTCTTATCCCCCGATTCCAGGACATTAATAATTCAGGCTTGTTTATACTACTGCCCTCGAGCAGGGCGTTAATACCCTTACGAGTATTTGTATCTTCATTTGCAAGCGCGTTCCAATCAAAAGGTGAACTCACGCACGCATTCGACATTGACCCATGGAAAGGTGTTTGTTCAGCCTGATGAAGGTCTGGGGAAGGGGGTCCCGCCAGTGCACCATGGGAGACACTCCACTTGGTCAAACAAACTTGTTGCTACGTGTGGTGAACACTTTCCCAGGCGGACGAAAAATGACAATACTTGTAAATAATTGCCCTAGATTTTGTGATAGAGGAGAGTGCATGTCAGGTGGTGGTCAGGGGTTTGCCACTGGACAACGAACAAACAAACAAATCCATTCGCGGACTCGAACTCGTACCTGGATCACTCACTAATAAGCGTGCGACGGACGTCCGTCCTGGAAATGTCAGCGCTCGTTGGCAGTTGTGAAAAGTCTCATGCCATTGAAGTAATCACAACAATTGAAGGATTATTGATTCGCTCCTTTCGGCGGGTCCCATTTGGGTATATATGAGTAATCGATTATTGATTTCCGGCTTTTATTGAGATGCACTTGAACAATCGTCACTAGATCTCGATCGATCTGAGGGTAATGTCAGTCTCCAGGACACCTTTTTCGATTCCCAGTTCAAGCTGACCCACTATTGATTTTGTGTTTGGCTTGTAGCTACTATCTCTCAATCAAGGTTCACATTATCCAAGCACACGCTCGCACGTCCATCATATCCACTTGGACTGCCACTTGGCTTTAACACTTTCCGCTCTGCAAGGACTCGCACCGCTCACTACGAAGGTTTCCGACCGAATGACCAACCAGGAGCGCTCCAGGACAATGACACTCTGGGACAGATAGATAATCACGGTTCTACGGCTCTCTGGTTGAGTGGTATTTGAGCTGGAGAGAGAGAGAGTGCCAGTCCTAGTGATGGATGTACCTATGGGGGGACCTTAAACGTTAAAGATTGAGTGATTTTAGGAACGTTTTTAATTATATTTTCTTTGATAAAAAATATAATAAATAATATACTTCCCATATATACATTTAACCTTTTTTTCTACTTAAAACTATTATATACCTTCCCATCACTGATTGAACATACGCATTTGGTAAGGTTGTGTGCCTCTGGTTGGTCACTTTTAACACGAATATCCTATTAATATGGTATTTGACTCGCTGCACGAGGTTCTTCGTGATGACTTCCTAATTTTAAATCAGGCCGAACGTTTCCTGGCCATTATCTATGTACAATCCTTGGTGTAAATGACGTCAGTTACTCGCAGGGTCTATAAACGTCATACGGTTTTGACACGTACATATGTAATGGCGGTTGACCTATAACCAAAGTGAATTTAAGCCTTGAATATAGATATACCCATGGGGCACTCCAAGCAACGTTGTATTGTACCCCTGATGAATACCCGCTCAAATTCGTGACCATTAAAAATAGACACCAATGCGACATTGTCTGATAGGACTCGTACTCGTATGTTGTAAGTACTATTATTGTACGGCTGTAGGTCTATTTTGATTAAGTGCACGTCTCTAATACTTTGGGGCCCGTCTCTTTTAAATCATTATTATTTCGGGGATTGCTGCGTGAATATGAGACTGTTGGTGGGTCGGCTTTGTTTCTGATGGACTGCAGACCACATATATCATATTGTTGCTGAAGTAGCAGTTATTCAAAGTATTCAAATGACAAATATTTGTATTTGGAGTAGAGCTCGTTGGTTCTCAGGAAAGACCCCTTAATTACCAGCATTTTATTTATTTTCTGCTATTATAATTCAAAAATCCTATCCTTATCTCTGACCGAATAATGAGTGTCTTTTTTATGAAATGCTTCGACTCCCAACAGGTGGTCAGAGGCAACAATAGGTACCTTAATATTATGTATGTATTAATATATAATAATAATAAATAAAAACTTTTTTTATTTATACCTTTTTATTCCCAAAATATTTAACCAACACCAAAAGTATTCCTTAACTAGCTCAGCTCAAAGCCTGCACACCTTTTCCTATTTATCGCCGGAGATCACATCATCACCATCGGATTTGCACTGTTGCTGGACATCCACCTCACAGCTGCTGCTCGCCTTGTTGAAGAACTCTCCCTGGGCGCACTCTCCCTCTATGATTTGGCCATGAACGCACACAAAGTATCCCCGACAGTTGTCCGTATTCCTCACCAACTGTCCATGCTTGCCATTGCAGACTCCCACACGTTCGCCGTTCTCCATGAGACAGGTTCCATCGTTCTGACGGCAGATACCCAAAAGACTATCGAAGCCTTCACCATTGCGACAACGCTGGGAGAGGGCTTCATCGTCCTCGCAGCTGGTGTAACGCCGGCAGTCGCCTTGCTCTGCAATGAAGGCACCATTTCCAATGACTCCACAGATACCAGCAAAAGTAGTGGCTGCATCGCTGCAGGTTCCAGTGGCTCCTGCCCTTTCTAGGCCATTGAGATCAACCTGCTGGGCATCTATGACTGGCTGCTCCGTTGGCGAGTCTACCTCAAAAGCCTGGCACTGCTGCAGTGTGGCATTGAAGAAGTAATCCTTATAGCAAAGCTCATGGCGCAGTTTTCCAGAGACGCACAAGTAAAAGTTATTGCAGTTCGCCGGATCTGGCATTATGTAGCCGTGCTTGCCCTCGCACACCAGCGGATCGGGTGGCACATGCTGATTGTTGGGGTCCTCGTCATCGCCCACCTGTTCCACCAATGGACAGGAACCATCGTCCTTCACGCAGAGCAGCTGTTCCGCATCGAAGAAGCTGCCCGCAGCACATCGCTGAGCCGTGGCCAGTCCACCTGCACAAATGAAGTACCGGGTGCAGTCAGTCCGGTTGGCCAGGAAGGTGCCATCTTGTAGATTGCCACAGCTGTAGATGTAGCTGGCATTCCCTTCCAGCTGCCCGTTGCGACAGGGCTGTGCGGCCTGGGATTCGGGCTCGCAAACGGAGAGCACGGGATTGAATTGATGCTGGACGGGACACTCTACTGGGATAGCTAGACCCTTGACGCAGGCGTAGTACAGATTGCAGTAGAGCTCGTGGGGACGCTTTACGCCATGAAGACCGGAGCATGTTTTCGTCCCGGATTCAGTGTCATTCTGGTCGGACTCCTTTCGACACTGGCCATTATCCACGCGACAGATGGAGAGTAAACTGTGGAAGTACTGACCCTCGGCACACTGAACCAGACTGGTTCCATTCTGTTTGGAGCAGCTATAGTAAGCCCTACAATCCTCTGGGTGGGCCACTAGCTTGCCGTCCTCCAAACCAGAGCAAATGGCCAGCTGACAAGAGCCATCATTTGGCCGGCAATAGCCTTTGTTGGGATCAAAAAAGCTGCCAGAGGGGCAGCTCTGTGGGATGGCGGCCACCTGCTGCATGCACAGGTAGAACCTAGTGCAATCCGAGGGATCGGGGACACTTAGGCCATCAGTTTGACCCAGGCATTGGTTCTCTGCAGCAAGTTCCTTCATCTGCAAACGGCACTGAGCCTGCAGTTGACACCTATTGAGATTTCCCACAAAACTGTGGCCTCTGAGGCAGCTGCCCAGATGCCACTCCTCCGCTTGGCAGTAGAAGAAGGTTTGGGAGCAGTTGTGTCCGAACTGGGCACGCAGCTCCCCCTCCCGGCAGATGCGACGCATTCCATTGGCCTGGCAACTGCCATCGCTGGGCACACATCCCAGCATGGGCTCGAACTGCTCCCGCTCCTGGCAGCGTTGCTTAAACCACTGATTTTCCTTGCACAGCTCGTAGCTGTGGCAGCTGCCTATTAGGGAGCGACTCTCACCGCTGGAGCAGCTCTCCAGGCTCTGGTTTGACGCCATGGCGCACTGCCCTGCATCGTTTGGCAAGCAATAGTTGTGCTCCCTGCTAAAGTACATATCCAGGGGACACTGCTGCAGCCACCAGGCATTGTCCAGGCACATGAGGTAGCTATGGCAACCAGCTATGGCTGAGGGACGCACGGCACGCTCTTCGCAATCTGTGGAAATATTCAAAGGTTGCCTTGTCCTCACCCAATTGCAAATGGTTTGGTTCTTCTCCTGCTCGTGACCCAATTTCACAGGCAGGCATGATCCTGGCAGGGGTGAGTAGTAGTGCTGCTTGGGGCAGTTGCGAAGACGCCATTTGCCAGCAGAGCAGCGGAAGAACTGCAAGCAGTTGCCATTCTTGGCGGGCAAGGTCTGGGATTCGGTAAGGTTGCTGCAAGAGGGAAGCTGGGAGACCCTGGCATAGGCACAAACCAAGTCATCTCGAGGCTCCAGGCAACGCTGCTGTTCGGGATTGTAGTAACGCTGGTCGGAGCAAGTGCGTCGTCGCCAGTGCCCATCGATGCAGACCTCGTACTGGGAACAGTTGGCTGGCACCGAGCGTTTTTCGTCGAGGTCGCAAGACTGGGAACAGAAGAATAGAGAACTTATCAAGATTTCCTGAATATAATTCAAATGAAACCCCAGTACCCTCTCTGCCTGTTCCATTCTATAGGCACAAAAATAAAAAGCCGAAAATGGTTAATTCATCTAGTTTGAATTTATTGTAGCGCATATGTGGTTAGAGTACATTATAATTGGGTATTTATACGTATAGAAGTGGAACAAGCGGAACATTCACATTAAACGTAACTCATAAATAACAACTAATGTCATAGGTAGAATATTAAGGATTACAAGGAGCTAGTATTGACCTAGCTTAGAAGATTTTATGGAAGAATCTCTTGAACAAGGACATGGACCTTACGTTTTCCTCCGTCTCCAGGGATCGCTTTTGGATAGCATGGCTACCGCACAGGCCCAGTTCCGGCGAGAATGTCTGGCCATCGGGGCAGGGATGATAGGTCACACTGATTTTCTCCTCATCATCGCACGAGCAGAATCCAGTATCCAGGTTTTGGGCGGCGAATGGCTCGAAGCGACTTCTCTTATGGCACTCTTGCAGGTTGCAAGCAATCATCATGATGTTATCCTTTATGGCACACAAGCCCTTGACAATGTCAAACTCCTGACCCTCCCCGCAGAGGTGGAAAATGGATAGGCCCACATCCTCGCAGGTGCAGAAGCCAGTAGTGGTATTCAAGGCGGCAAAGACGGCGGTGACCGTTTCACGGGTCAGGCATCGGGTGGCATCACAGGCGCTGGATGAGACGATCTTGACGGTTGGTACCTGACAGATGCCGAGGGCACTGTCGTAGCTCTCACCGGCGGGGCAATCCTTGAATACAGGACTGCCGGCCACACAGAGACAAAAGCCCTGAGTGGTGTTCAAAGCGGCGTAGGCGTAGTAGTCATCGGAGACGCATTTACCTGCCTCACAGACGCACTCGGAAGCCTAACAATCAGGGGGGAAAATTAAGTAAAATCTTCTAGAGGAGCTTCTACATTTTCTTTACCGCTAAGACGCCGCAACGTCCTTGATCAGGCAGGAATACCATATCAGGGCTGCATTGTCCCAGGTTGACTTCCCCATTATCACAGTAGCAGAAGGCAGAGCTGTCGTTATTAATCGTGGGGAAGGCCTCGTAGTCAGCCATGCAGGAGCACTTGCTAGCATCGCAGTCGCTGGAGACGCAGCCATTCTAAGGATTTTTTAAAGATTATCAACCGTTTCGCTAATTGTTTACAGTTAAGTCCCGTTTCTCACCGTTTTCGTCTCGCATAAACCTAAAGACACTTCGAAAGTCTGACCCTCAGGACACTCGCTGTAAATGGGCATTCCACCCTCACAATAGCAGAAGCCATCGAGTCCATCGTTTGGCAAATAGGGTGTGTATTCAGAGAGGATGTCACACTCGGTGGCATTGCACTTGGCTACGGCACAAGGATCCTGACCAAGAAATTGTAATTATTATACAGAAAAAGGATATGGAATTATACCCCACTCACCACTGGTTCCTGGCAAGCTCCTAGATCTTCGTCATAGACCCAATCATCGGGGCACTCAAAGAAGACTGGGCAGTCGTTTAGGCAGTAGCAAAAGCCAGATGAATCGCCCTCAGCGGGGTACACCTTGTAGTCTTCAGTGTTATCGCACAAGTTAGGATTGCAGGAATTCACAGGGCAAGTGACCTGGGAGAAGGAAGGAGGTCAGAGGAGGCTTCTTCACTTAAGAAGGAGAATCTTACAGGGACGGGCACGCAGCTGCCCAGCGAAGAGTTATATTTGGAGTTATCGGGGCAGTTGTTGTACTGCGGAACCTCATCCACGCAGATGCAGAAGCCATCGGTGGTGTCCACGGCTGGAAGGGTTTGGTAGTCCGCCTTGCCCACGCAGCCATTGCGGCAACAACGTGGCTTTTTAGGGGGAAAAAAGGTAAGAATAGAAAGGGGAAAAGGAAGTGGCAAGGACTTACATCTGGCTGAGGAATGAGCACGCACTCTAGTTCTTGCAAGTCAAAAGTATAGCCAATAGGGCAAGGCACTGCTATGGGTTCGCCAGCGCGGCACAGGCAGAAGCTATTCGGGTCGAGGTAGTCCGGGGAGACATAGTACTCCGACTCTCCCGTGCAGACTTGGGGATCACAGTTGCCAGTCTAGAATCAATATATAATAAGCTACCTATATCCAAGTCTGAATATTATTCATTCTACTTACGAAATCGCACATCTCCTCGGTGGCATTGTAATAAAGTCCAGCAGGACAAGAGTTAATATAACCACCGCCGTTTTGGCAAATGCAGAAGGTGGAGGTGTCATTGCCCAGAGAGGGATAGGTCTTGTCCTCGGCGGCAGTTGCGCAGAAGCTTTGGTCGCACTGGCACTAAGGTCAAGTTAGAGTAGGAGTTAGTTAATCTTAAGGCAAGGATAATCTTTGGCTACTTACACTCGGTTGAATTTGGCAAATACCCAAAATGGCCTCATATACAGAATTAGATGGACAGGCTGCGATGGTGGCCTGCTGGTTGAGGCATATATAGAACCTGCTGCTGTCACCGGCCACTGGATATGTGGTACCATCACTGGCAGTGGCGCAATTCAAAGCCGAACACTCCACCGAAGCGGAGCACTGACCACTAGACGAGTTAAAGGCCTGGCCAGTGGGGCACTCCACCACCTGGGCAACTCCATCCAGGCATTGATAGTAATCCGTGCAAATGGGATGAGCCACATTGCCGGTGCCGCAGGTGCAAGGATTAATGCATCTGGCAGACACATCAATGGCACACTCACCATCACCAGTGTACCACTGGCCAGAGGGACAAGTATGCTCCGTGGCCAGGCCATTCCAGCAGGTTATGTAGCTGGTGCAGTCAGTGGGATTGACCATTTGGAAGCCATTGGGCTTGTTGGCGCACACCCAGCAGGTGGCACCAGTGTCCACAGCACAGACGCCGCTGCAGTTCTTGAAGACATTTCCCACGCCGCAGGTTCCCTCCACTAGCTGGCCATTTTCGCAGGTCAGATACTTGTCGCAATCGGTGGGATGGGCCACGATGCTGCCCTGCTCAATTCCGCCCTCGCAGTTGCAGTCCGTTGGCTCCGGGTCAACGCTTCTCTTCTGGCGCGATCCGCTGGATCTGTTCTCAGGGCAGGCATTGTTGGTGTCCTCGCGGCAAATGCCCGTGGCGGCATCAAAGTAATAATCGTTGAGGCAAGTCTCCTCCTGCCACTGGCCATTGATGCAGGCCGAGTAGCTCCAGCAGTTCTTGCCACTGGCTGGCGGATCACGAGCATTGCACTGGCCAGCTGATGGGATTGCAGTGCTGGTCGAGAGAGGATTGGGTGTGGTGGTAGTAGTGGAGTCGATGCACACTCCATCGATATCCGCTTGGCATACGTCTAGGTTGGTATTATAATAACTGCCTGGAGCACAGGACTCGGCCACCCAGTCGCCATTCTGGCACTTGAAGTACTGGGTACAGTCCTGGACATTCACCTTCATGTCTCCCTCTGTGCAGTCCGCCACGCAGCACTCGTTTTTATCGTCCACAATGCATACGGTTAGGGTGGAGTTGAACAGGTTGCCCTTGCCGCAGTCTCCTGCTACCAGGACGCCATCGATGCAGATGAAGTACTTACGGCAGTTTTCAGGATCAGGAATGAACTCGGCGTTCTTGATGGCACCGCAATCGCAGCCAGTTGGGGATTCTGTGGTAGTGGTGGTATCCTCATTGCATGGCTCCGTGGTCGTGGTGGTATCCTCCTCGCAGGGCTCCGTAGTGGTGGTCGTATCTTCGCAGGGCTCCGTGGGACAAGTTCCAGGAACACATTCCCAGTTATTGCTCTCGAAGTAGCTACCTTCCGGGCACACCTGATAGGTGGCTGTATTATCGGAGCACACGTAAAACACAGAGCAGTTGCTCTTATCGGCCACAGTCGAGCCATCGCTCTTGCCAATGCAGTAGTTGACCCAGCAATGGGAGTTTCCCTCATCCACCACACAGGCGGCAAAGGAGGTGTCAAAGTAGCTGCCCTGGGGGCAGGTTTGGAGTGTGGCACCCGCGTCCGAGCACACATAGTAGCTGCCGCAGCTTTCAGGGTTGGAGATAAAGGCGCCACTGGCCTTACCCACGCACAGGTTCTGCCAGCACGAATCATCCGAATCCGGAACGCAGGCGCTTTCCGTGAGATTGAAGTAGCTGCCGGACTCGCACTTTTGTGGGTAGGCAGTCTGCTCGTCACAGATGTAGAATTCGCCGCAGTAACCAGACTTGGCCAAGTAGGCGCCATTTACCTCTGTGGAGCACACATTGACGGCCTAAAAGAGGAGATTTTTTTAGGGTTAAATCGGAGTTTCCTTCATCCACCAAACAGGCTGCAAAGGGGGAGTCAAAGATTTATGGAGAAACTTTTACTTACATCAGCAAGAGGAGCCGCAAGGCTCAGCTTGCACAGGCCGCGCTTGGCGCTGGAGCACTTGCCGGTCTTTGGGTTGTACTCCTTGCCCGCTGGACACGTCACCGAGCGAACGGTGCTCTTGTTGGAGCAGCGATAGTAGCTGGAACAGCTCCTAGGATTCGGCCAGTGGGTCGAGAGGCCGCGTATCTTGCGGTAAATGCATTCAGGATCGGCGGCTCCCACCAGGCTAACCACTGTAGTGAGTGCCACAATAGCTAGCAGAGTAACTGGAGACCAGAATTTGTGTTTTAGTTACCAAGGAGCTATCATCAGCATCCTTTCTGCTTTGGCTTACCTTTCATCTTCACTTGTATTCCTCTTGTGTCGGTCGAAATGTACTCCGCATCATTGCCAAAAATTCAAAGGCCTTTTATACATGTTTAGTGACTGCCTGAGCGGCCTTTAGTTTCCCTTATCGCCATCAATTATGTTGATCATGTCAAACACGGGCCCATCATGTCAGTCTAATTGAGGTGTGAACCCAGGCCAGATTGGTTCCTAGAACCTCACCTATCGAGGTGTAACCACTCCCCAATATTTTGCCAAATTATGAATGAATGTCATGAGCATGGTCGTGGCCCCGCTCGAAGGTCGATAGGGAAGTCGGAGCAGTGAGAAAATAATTGTTAAGAGCATGCTATTCTAAGTACTTTATTTCGCTAGGCGCAGGTCTTGTCGCAGGTCTGGTTCACCGAATTCCAGTAAAGATCGCTGGGACAGTCCATGACGTATCCTATATCCCCAACGCAGTGGATGTACAGGTGACAATCGTAAGGGTGGGGCAGAAACTGGACTCCCTGGTGGGTCCGACAAGAGGCGTTTGCATCTACGCTGGGCGTGGGATAGGTTGTACCCGAAGCCTCGGAAGTTGTGTTATCCGAGGGCTCATCTGTTGGTTTCTCAGTGGTATCTGGTTCAACTGTTGGCTCAGAGGGCGCATCGGTGGCTTTCGATGTCTCCTCTGAGGGATTATCTGTGGAAGCTTCACTGGAGGATTCCAAAGGCTCTTCTGTAGTTTCTCCAGTGGGATCTGTGGGCTTCTCTGTCGGATTTCCTGTTGGATCAGAGGATTCTTCTGTAGTTTCCCCAGTGGGATCTGAGGGTTCCTCTGTAGGATTTCCTGTTGGATCAGAGGGTTTTTCTGTGGGATCTGTTGGATTTTCTGTGGGATCTGTTGGCTTTTCTGTGGGATCTGTTGGCTCTTCTGTGGGATCAGTGGGATTTGTTGAATTTCCCGTAGGATCCCAGGGCTCTACAGTGGTTTCTGTAGTCTCTCCCGTTGGCACCGAGGACTCTTCTGTAGTTTGTCCAGTAGGCTCCACAGGCGTCTGTGTAGAATTCGATGGCTCATCAGTTGGGTCCCAGGGATCATCAGTTGTGTCATCCGTTGGATCCCAGGGGTCATCAGTGGGATCATCAGGATCCTCTGTGGGCTCTGGTGCAGCTGTTGGTGAGACACATCTCCGTGCACTCAAAGCTGTAGCCAACAGCATAAGCTGCAAGGACATTAATATCCAGACCACTGAAACCCAAAAACGTTTATCTTCAATGCTAAAGGATATTATTCAGTTTCCATTCCGATACTTACATTTCATGCTGGTAGCCGAGTCCAATGAATGCAACCACATCCCGGGCGGTATTTATACCGTTTCCGAATCAATAATTCTCTAATTAGCATACAACAAGTTCTCGTTACCACTATCTTTGATAAATAAGATAAAACACGCGTGCATTCTTCGTGATAATGAAGTGAACCACCACCAAGAAAAATGCATAAACATAATTATCACCATTTGGAAAAACATTCACTTGCCGATATCGATTTAAACTTTGTTATTAAAGTCACTTCCGGTAGATAGCACACATTCTAGATCAGTCATTCTAGGTGAAACACAAGTTTCCGAATTATTCTAATACATTTTTATTCTTCTTGATAAGATAAAAGTTATTCAACAAGATAGACAAAAATGGGAGAGTCTTAAAATCAGAGATACAATGTTAAAGGCAATGTGTAGTAAGCATTTTCTTATTTTCTGTTTAGATCATTAATACTGCTTTTAAGATAAGGTAAATGTTGCATAATACACGGCCTTAAAGCTAAATATTATTTGCAGAATGGTAAGATATAAAAATATGATCGTTCTTTAATGAAATACAAATATTTTATATCTTCCCAAGGGTATTCTTAACAAAAAAGTGAATTAAAACGTCGAATTTATAATCGATAAGAAAAATATAAATATTACATTATATAATATATTAATAATAATTAATTAAATAGGATTTTAATGATATATATATATTATTTTAAGCAATAACTTCCTTCTTGGGACTTTTAAACGCCTTTAATAAACGCATTCTTTAAATCAGAATTTGTCCATATTTTTATATGATAATTTTTTGGACAAATAAAAGTCTATAAATTCCATAACTCAGTCAAAAATCCATTAATTTCAATTTGGAAAGCATTTCTGTGCTAGATTTTTGTAGTTTAACAAATCGGCAAGCTAAATTTGTAATATGAAAAAATCAAAATTTTTGACAATTTTAATGATGTAACCCCTTATCAAATTTTGAAAAAAAAATTTAAAAAAAAAAGTTTCTTCCGGACATGGTTAGAAATACTCGCCTGTTGATGCTGATCAAGAATATATATGATTTATGGGGTCGGAAACGACTCCTTCACTGTTTTACTAGCTTCTAACTGAAATTATAATACCCTGAAAGAGTATACAAACTGACAATAAAACGTATTAAGTGATGGGTGTTAAAAACTCAATGGTTATTTACTAGCTGGCTTTAATGTGCCTTGTAATTCCCCAACTAGATTAGACAGGGCTATTATCAGTATCAGTTACTAAGAGAAATATATAAAGTTAGATCATATTTTTCTTTTGCTCATTCAAATACATACAGTTTTAATAGCAACGATTATATATATTCCAAACTACTGTGACAACCAAAACCTTGTGCAAAAATGCTTTAATTGTTAGCTTTTTTTTTTTACAAAAGACACAAGCATTGGAGTAAACTATAAATAGTGATTCAAATGTTTCCGATTTCACTCGATATAACAAAGAATTTCTTAGAACACTTAACTTGCTTCCGTTGAGTCTCAATCAATCAGTTAGATAATTTACACTTTATACTGATAAGGTTTGCTAGTTCCAGAATATTTGTAAACAACTCTTTTTATGAGAATTCCTTAAAAAAGAGCATTAGTTTCTAAACAGTCTATAATGCCAATTCAATTTTAATTTTCATGCCTATATGTAGATACGCTGTAAGGCGTCATAACCTGATATAGGCTTGATATAGACTATGACGCTTTACAGCGTATCTAGAGCTTGGAAATTGCAAGCCATAAAAATGAATACCCGATAAGAGTCAACGTGCATTCAATAATTTATTTACTACGGAATAAGTATAGGTATATACTGTATTGATTAGACAGATAAAAGATGAGTAGTTGTTCCCTGTAAACTTGAAACAATTGCTATATAAGCAGTGGCTCTCGGTAAAGATTGGTACTTTACCAGTAACTATTTAAAGCATGAGAGGTAGAGTCACTGTTTTTGTTTTTTAGCCAGAATTGCAACTAAAAATTCCTTAATTATTTAACAGGCTTCGCAATTATCGCACTGCTTGCACTCCTTGTGAGTGTCGCGGCTGATTCAGCGGAGGATACTACGATTGAAACCACAACGGACCAATCAACCAATCCGGAAACAACTGAAGAGGATGCCATAACGACATTGCCCCCGCCTGTTCTCTGTGATGATGAAGAACTCTTTCTCCCAGCACCCGACTGCCGGGAGTATTACCAATGTCTATATGGAGTAGGAATCCTGCAAAAATGCCCCGCTGGCCTGTATTGGGATCGTGAGCTGAATGTATGCGGCTGGGACTCGCCTTACTGCACTGAAGAGGGAGACAAGTCCACGGAGGCTCCATCCCTGAGCTGTGCTTCTGGACTACCTTTCTTGCCCTATCTGCCCGACTGCACGAAGTTCATCCAGTGCGTCTATAACATCGGATTCAAGCTCAGCTGCCCCGGCGGACTATACTGGAACCAGCCGCTGCAGTCATGCGACTTTACCTGCGACAATACAGTCGAACTCGCAGCAGTCTAGCAGGTGCAATGAACGGACAATAAATTAGGAAGAATTTTGTAACACACAAAAAAAATGTAATCAGAAATAAACGCAGTAAAACAAAAGCAATCCAAAGTAATTGGCTTTCAGCAGACGGCAGCTCAATTGAGTTCCTCTTCAAGATAACGAGCTTCGCGAAAAAGATCCGATAAGATGGGAATGAGCTCCAGTAAGGGTTATAAATATGAATGCACGACGCACGGGTATCATTTGAGCAAATGTTTTTGCAAAACTCATACGAGATCCAGTAACGATGAATTATAACAGGTTGGCCAGCGCGGAATTAATAATAGGATTTTTATTGGTATTTATATTTAGTGAAATAATACACGTAAAAGCAGAGAGTGAATTAACTTTACAAGAGACAAGCTTTCGAGCAAAGAGTGGATCAGTGGATTATTTAAACAGTGAATCACCAACGAACGAACACAATCTCTAAAACTATGAAACAAAGAAAAATAAAAACCCACAAACTATCGACAACCAGACAACGCACTCTTCAACCGGACTAGAAATAAAAACTAGTGCGGAGACAGAGACAACAGAGGATTCGACCACATCCAAAGATGAGGTTCAAACAACGACAGATGAATCATCTACTGAGGCAATTCCAGAAGAAAGTACTACGGCTTCACAGGGTTCTTCATCTGCTCCTTCTGCGACAACGACGGCAGAGGATTCCACCACAGCAGAGGATGAAATAAAGACGACGACGGAGGATCCATCTACTGAGGCCCCAGAGACAACTACTGTAGCTCCTGAGACAACGACGGCTGAGGATTCCACCACGGCTGAGGATGAAATAAAAACGACGACGGAGGATCCATCTACTGAGCTTCCAGAGACAACTACTGCAGCTCCTGAGACAACGACGGCTGAGGATTCCACCACAGCAGAGGATGAAATAAAAACGACGACGGAGAATCCATCTACTGAGCCTCCAGAGACAACTACTGCAGCTCCAGAGACAACGACGGCTGAGGATTCCACCACAGCAGAGGATGAAATAAAGACGACGACGGAGGATCCATCTACTGAGGCCCCAGAGACAACTACTGCAGCTCCAGAGACAACGACGGCTGAGGATTCCACCACAGCAGAGGATGAAATAAAAACGACGACGGAGGATCCATCTACTGAGGGCCCAGAGACAACTACTGCAGCTCCTGAGATAACGACGCCTGAAGATTCCACCACGGCTGAGGATGAAATAAAGACGACGACGGAGGATCCATCTACTGAGGCCCCAGAGACAACTACTGCAGCTCCAGAGACAACGACGGCTGAGGATTCCACCACGGCTGAGGATGAAATAAAAACGACGACGGAGGATTCATCTACTGAGGCTCCAGTGACAACTACAGCAGCTCCTGAGACAACGACGGCTGAGGATTCCACCACGGCTGAGGATGAAATAAAGACGACGACGGAGAATCCATCTACTGAGCCTTCAGAGACAACTACAGCAGCTCCTGAGACAACGACGGCTGAGGATTCCACCACGGCTGAGGATGAAATAAAGACGACGACGGAGAATCCATCTACTGAGCCTCCAGAGACACCTACTGCAGCTCCTGAGACAACGACGGCTGAGGATTCCACCACGGCAGAGGATGAAATAAAGACGACGACGGAGGATCCATCTACTGAGGCCCCAGAGACAACTACTGCAGCTCCTGAGACAACGACGGCTGAGGATTCCACCACGGCTGAGGATGAAATAAAGACGACGACGGAGGATCCATCTACTGAGGCCCCAGAGACACCTACTGCAGCTCCTGAGACAACGACGGCTGAGGATTCCACCACGGCAGAGGATGAAATAAAGACGACGACGGAGGATCCATCTACTGAGGCCCCAGAGACAACTACTGCAGCTCCTGAGACAACGACGGCTGAGGATTCCACCACGGCAGAGGATGAAATAAAGACGACGACGGAGGATCCATCTACTGAGGCCCCAGAGACACCTACTGCAGCTCCTGAGACAACGACGGCTGAGGATTCCACCACGGCAGAGGATGAAATAAAGACGACGACGGAGGATTCATCTACTGAGGGCCCAGAGACAACTACAGCGGCTTCTGAAACAACGACGGCTGAGGATTCCACCACGGCTGAGGATGAAATAAAAACGACGACGGAGGATCCATCTACTGAGGCTCCAGTGACAACTACAGCAGCTCCTGAGACAACGACGGCTGAGGATTCCACCACGGCTGAGGATGAAATAAAGACGACGACGGAGGATCCATCTACTGAGGCCCCAGAGACAACTACTGCAGCTCCAGAGACAACGACGGCTGAGGATTCCACCACAGCAGAGGATGAAATAAAGACGACGACGGAGGATCCATCTACTGAGCTTCCAAAAACAACTACTGCAGCTCCTGAGACAACGACGGCTGAGGATTCCACCACAGCAGAGGATGAAATAAAAACGACGACGGAGGATTCATCTACTGAGGCCCCAGAGACAACTACTGCAGCTCCTGAGACAACGACGGCTGAGGATTCCACCACAGCAGAGGATGAAATAAAGACGACGACGGAGGATTCATCTACTGAGGGCCCAGAGACAACTACAGCGGCTTCTGAAACAACGACGGCTGAGGATTCCACCACGGCTGAGGATGAAATAAAAACGACGACGGAGGATCCATCTACTGAGGCTCCAGTGACAACTACAGCAGCTCCTGAGACAACGACGGCTGAGGATTCCACCACAGCAGAGGATGAAATAAAGACGACGACGGAGGATTCATCTACTGAGGGCCCAGAGACAACTACAGCGGCTTCTGAAACAACGACGGCTGAGGATTCCACCACGGCTGAGGATGATCCATCTACTGAGCTTCCAAAAACAACTACTGCAGCTCCTGAGACAACGACGGCTGAGGATTCCACCACAGCAGAGGATGAAATAAAAACGACGACGGAGGATCCATCTACTGAGGCCCCAGAGACAACTACTGCAGCTCCTGAGACAACGACGGCTGAGGATTCCACCACGGCTGAGGATGAAATAAAGACGACGACGGAGGATCCATCTACTGAGGCCCCAGAGACAACTACTGCAGCTCCAGAGACAACGACGGCTGAGGATTCCACCACAGCAGAGGATGAAATAAAGACGACGACGGAGGATCCATCTACTGAGGCCCCAGAGACAACTACTGCAGCTCCAGAGACAACGACGGCTGAGGATTCCACCACAGCAGAGGATGAAATAAAGACGACGACGGAGGATCCATCTACTGAGCCTCCAGAGACAACTACTGCAGCTCCTGAGACAACGACGGCTGAGGATTCCACCACAGCAGAGGATGAAATAAAGACGACGACGGAGGATTCATCTACTGAGGGCCCAGAGACAACTACAGCGGCTTCTGAAACAACGACGGCTGAGGATTCCACCACGGCTGAGGATGAAATAAAGACGACGACAGAGAATCCATCTACTGAGCCTCCAGAGACACCTACTGCAGCTCCTGAGACAACGACGGCTGAGGATTCCACCACAGCAGAGGATGAAATAAAGACGACGACGGAGGATTCATCTACTGAGGGCCCAGAGACAACTACAGCGGCTTCTGAAATAACGACGGCTGAGGATTCCACCACGGCTGAGGATGAAATAAAAACGACGACGGAGGATCCATCTACTGAGGCTCCAGTGACAACTACAGCAGCTCCTGAGACAACGACGGCTGAGGATTCCACCACGGCTGAGGATGATCCATCTACTGAGCTTCCAGAGACAACTACTGCAGCTCCTGAGACAACGACGGCTGAGGATTCCACCACGGCTGAGGATGAAATAAAGACGACGACGCAGGATCCATCTACTGAGGCCCCAGAGACAACTACTGCAGCTCCTGAGACAACGACGGCTGAGGATTCCACCACAGCAGAGGATGAAATAAAGACGACGACGGAGGATCCATCTACTGAGGCCCCAGAGACAACTACTGCAGCTCCTGAGACAACGACGGCTGAAGATTCCACTACAGCAAGGGATGAAATAAAGACGACGACGGAGGATCCATCTACTGAGGCCCCAGAGACAACTACTGCAGCTCCTGAGATAACGACGCCTGAAGATTCCACCACGGCTGAGGATGAAATAAAAACGACGACGGAGGATCCATCTACTGAGCCTCCAGAGACAACTACTGCAGCTCCAGAGACAACGACGGCTGAGGATTCCACCACAGCAGAGGATGAAATAAAAACGACGACGGAGGATCCATCTACTGAGGCTCCAGTGACAACTACAGCAGCTCCTGAGACAACGACGGCTGAGGATTCCACCACGGCTGAGGATGATCCATCTACTGAGCTTCCAGAGACAACTACTGCAGCTCCTGAGACAACGACGGCTGAGGATTCCACCACGGCTGAGGATGAAATAAAGACGACGACGCAGGATCCATCTACTGAGGCCCCAGAGACAACTACTGCAGCTCCTGAGACAACGACGGCTGAGGATTCCACCACAGCAGAGGATGAAATAAAAACGACGACGGAGGATCCATCTACTGAGGCCCCAGAGACAACTACTGCAGCTCCAGAGACAACGACGGCTGAAGATTCCACCACGGCAGAGGATGAAATAAAAACGACGACGGAGGATCCATCTACTGAGCCTCCAGAGACAACTACTGCAGCTCCAGAGACAACGACGGCTGAGGATTCCACCACAGCAGAGGATGAAATAAAGACGACGACGGAGGATCCATCTACTGAGGCCCCAGAGACAACTACTGCAGCTCCTGAGACAACGACGGCTGAAGATTCCACTACAGCAAGGGATGAAATAAAGACGACGACGGAGGATCCATCTACTGAGGCCCCAGAGACAACTACTGCAGCTCCTGAGATAACGACGCCTGAAGATTCCACCACGGCTGAGGATGAAATAAAAACGACGACGGAGGATCCATCTACTGAGCCTTCAGAGACAACTACTGCAGCTCCTGAGACAACGACGGCTGAGGATTCCACCACGGCAGAGGATGAAATAAAGACGACGACGGAGGATCCATCTACTGAGGTCCCAGAGACAACTACTGCAGCTCCTGAGACAACGACGGCTGAGGATTCCACCACAGCAGAGGATGAAATAAAAACGACGACTAAGGATCCATCTACTGAGCCTTCAGAGACAACTACAGCAGCTCCTGAGACAACGACGGCTGAGGATTCCACCACGGCAGAGGATGAAATAAAAACGACGACGGAGGATTCATCTACTGAGGGCCCAGAGACAACTACTGCAGCTCCTGAGACAACGACGGCTGAGGATTCCACCACGGCAGAGGATGAAATAAAAACGACGACGGAGAATCCATCTACTGAGGCCCCAGAGACAACTACAGCAGCTCCTGAGACAACGACGCCTGAAGATTCCACTACAGCAGGGGATGAAATAAAGACGACGACGGAGGATCCATCTACTGAGGCCCCAGAGACAACTACTGCAGCTCCTGAGATAACGACGCCTGAAGATTCCACCACGGCTGAGGATGAAATAAAAACGACGACGGAGGATCCATCTACTGAGCCTTCAGAGACAACTACTGCAGCTCCTGAGACAACGACGGCTGAGGATTCCACCACGGCAGAGGATGAAATAAAGACGACGACGGAGGATCCATCTACTGAGGTCCCAGAGACAACTACTGCAGCTCCTGAGACAACGACGGCTGAGGATTCCACCACGGCAGAGGATGAAATAAAAACGACGACGGAGGATCCATCTACTGAGGCTCCAGTGACAACTACTGCAGCTCCTGAGATAACGACGGCTGAGGATTCCACCACGGCTGAGGATGAAATAAAAACGACGACGGAGGATCCATCTACTGAGGCTCCAGTGACAACTACTGCAGCTCCTGAGACAACGACGGCTGAGGATTCCACCACGGCAGAGGATGAAATAAAGACGACGACGGAGGATTCATCTACTGAGGCCCCAGAGACAACTACAGCAGCTCCTGAGACAACGACGGCTGAGGATTCCACCACGGCTGAGGATGAAATAAAGACGACGACAGAGGATCCATCAACTGAGGCTCCAGTGACATCCACTGCAGCTCCAGAGACATCTACAGCGGCTCCCGAGACAACGACGGATGAGGATTCTACCACGGCTGAGGATGATCCATCTACTGAGCCTTCAGAAGCAACTACTGCAGCTCCTGAGACAACGACGCCTGAAGATTCCACCACAGCAGAGGATGAAATAAAGACGACGACGGAGGATCAATCAACTGAGGTTCCAGTGACAACTCCTAAGATTCCAGATGAAAGTACCACAGCTTCACAAGATTCTTCAACTTCTGCTCCAGAGAAAATGACGACAGAAGATTCCACCACTGCCAAAGACGGAAGTACGACGACGGAGGATCCATCAACTGAAGTTCCTTCGACAACTTCGATTCCAGATTCTTCAACAGCACCTCCTGAGACATCCTCCACAGGTAAACAGGAAAGTACGACACCGACAGCGGATCCGCCGACGAAAGCGCCAGAGACAACCGTACCAGTGACGTCGACTTCTGTAGCTCCGGAGAGCAGCACTGAAGCGTCATCCTCGTCGGAATGGAGTCCATCTCCGTCCATATCGACGAGTACAGCAGCTACTGAGTCGTCTTCTAGCTCTGAAGTAACTTCATCGTCTGCAACCACTGACTCAACATTGCCACCTCTTTCTTGTGATAGCGGACATCAATTTCTTCCCCATCCAACTAATTGCCACAAATTCATTCAGTGTGGAAACGGAATTGAATATAACTTTGAGTGTGCCGGCAATCTGTATTGGGACTACAAGGCAAACCGTTGCTCTGATGACCCATCCCTCTGTTATAGTACCGAAGAAAATGAGAAACCCGAAGAGAAGGTGTGCGGTCCTGGAGTGGACTTTGTGGCTCACCCAACGGACTGTACCATATTCTTTCAATGCAATAATGGCGAGCCAGTTGAAAAGAAGTGTCCGGATAACCTGTATTGGAACCAAGATATAAAGTCATGTGTTTGGTCGAATAAGCACTGCAACTATGAGCGAGCAAGTGAATCGATTTCTTGTGCAGCAGGCACGCTTTTCGATGCTTACCCTGGCGACTGCTCCAAATATGTCAAGTGTTTCGGCACGAGGGGAGTTCTGATGAGCTGTGATTTAGATCTTTACTGGAACCCCATTAAGGCAGTATGCGAAAAGTCAAAACGATTCTGTCAATAAATGAAGGTCTGGAATATTCTTGATTAATTTATTTAAATATAGTAAAATTAATAGTTTTATGCCTTACAGAACCCATGCAGACATGACCACATTCGATGCTTTATCACTTGGAGACGGAGACCCAATAATAGAGAACCTTGTATTGTTTTTGTTTTGGTATTACAATTTTTCTCAATTAATAAAGCGATGGAAATTTAACAAGAAAGGCAGCCTGATTTGTTAGCTTTTGACTGAAAGTAAAATACCGAACAAGCCTATTAAAAGGCACCAATTCTAAAACGTTCCAATTTTAATTAGTCGTGCAAAGATGTTCTGAATAGATTTGCTTTTTGGCTGCAGGCAAATTTATTTCAATATGCATAAATACATTGAACATTTGTATATACCCATTTAGCAAAGAAATTAAAGGTATATTCAGCATACAAACAGCTGGCAGGACCACAAGTCCCTGCTTTATATTATAGCCCAATTGTGTTTTATAAACTTTCTAAACATTCCAGATATGATTTTTATTTATTTGCAAAATTATTATCATTAGAAATCTCAGGCAAACGGTATCCGTAGGGTCGGAAGCTTGGCATAGAAAATTCCTACGCATTTTTTTTCGTGATCTTATCAAACTAGGCTTTAATTAAAAATATTACTAGCCTTGAAACATACCCCATACAGTCGTTGGGCCTTTAAAAATTAAATATTTAATGCTTGACTTCAATTCAAACACATGGCTTGTTAGAAGCATTCAGAGATAAGAAAATAACCGGACTCAACATGGGATGGGAGCTTGGAAAGGCTGATCTATATATAGATATGACGATGGACTGTCTAACCATAAAGCGAAATTTTTGAGTTTCAAAGGTTATCAAGGCAGAATCACTTCCGTCGGAATCAAAATAAAGCCTCTCGCCAATAAAATAGGTTCCTTGGGGATGGGAAACAGCAAAAATACGCTCACCAGAGACTTGAAAAGAATATAAGCCAAAGTGAGGACACACTTGAAAATGTATCTATGAGATATACAATTGCGTATCTTTATATGCTAATAAATGCCAGCACATTTCCTTAAAATGGGTCAAAAGTCTCCCCCATCCGTTGGCGAAGACGATGATGTTGTAATGCCCACAGAAACATCGCTTCCCCTTCCATTGCCAGGCGACCAAGTGATCGATTGACACGATCAAAGCGCTGATACGTAATGGAATAGACACTCGAATGAATGGCACTGGCGACGAGCTCCAAGCTCGGAGCTCGTAGCTCGCAGCTCGCGGCTCTAAGTGCCCTGGTCCGTCTCTGAGGGGTGTTGTGTGTGCGTGTGTGTTGTATGTGCGATAAGGCAGATACCAGCACCCTGAGGTTGTGTGAGTCCTACATAAATATTCATGCTTCTGCTGGCTAAATGCAAATGTATTGGAAATTGCTCGCCTTCAATGAATTTGAGTTCTACTCAAGCTCTAGAGTTTTGATGCTCGGATAGGCCAGCGTTATTCGCAATCCAGCAGTTGTCGCGATCGGAAGCAAATCGGAAAATCTCCCTTGGAATCCTAACACACGCAGGCGAAGAAGTATGTGGACTTTGAAATAAAAAACAATCCAAGCAAGGATACTCCAAGCTAAATGCAGAAAAATGAAGGATTAAAGAGAAATAAAGACAAGACAATAAAAATACATACAAGTCCACATAACAAGTGAACTATTTAATCGTCAATTTAAAGATCAAGTGTGTATTGTGGAATTTTATTAAAGGATATTTTACAAAATATCCATTAAGTGTGTGTGAAAAATATAATTAATGCTTATATATACGAGTATATAAAAACAAACACTCACAGAAAATTTAACCATCGAACGAGAAAATTTATTAAGACTAAATCCAACATCAATAATACAAATCGGTGGATTACACATAAATATTATACATAGAATATCTTTTACAAAGATATATCTTTTAATATGTTTTATGGAATATTATATAATAATTTTCGAAATGTTTTAAATCGCCCACTAATATGGCACGAAAATTTATAATTAATAATTAAATATCTTAGGTATTCATATTTTTCCAAGAAAAAAAGAATAACCGAACGCCACGCAGCTTCCAGTAGCTTAGATTACAACTGACTAGTTTACATATAAATATAAATATATAACAAATATAAAATAAATAAATATAAATTTAAAATAAATATATTTAAAGATATAAAAAATATAATATCAAAAATATAAAGTAAATAAATACAACTAAATAAATAAAAAGGCCATTCAATTGATATTAGCCACCTTCAGTGATTACATCATCTCTAAATTTTAAAATACACTCAAATACACTTTGTTTTTTGGCATTTAGCATAATCATTTGTGCTCATTCATTTTAAATAAAACAAATGATAACCCCTGAAAGTGACAGACACAGAGACCATGATGAGCGAAGGAGTATAAGCTAATAAAATGTGTTGATAATACAATTTTATTCCATTTCACAGTTTGCTGGTTGTGTCGAGACAACGTCCGTCGCATTTCGATTGGATTCAGAATTTGATTTATTGAAATGTTGCCCTTTCGCTGGGGCCTGCTACTTGGCGTTGTGCTCCTCGTGACATGCGCAAATGGAGCTGCCATCGTAAGTGTCAAAAATTGTTAATTAATCCGATGGGAGTCTGGGGTTGTGTGTCCATATACATAAATATATGCCATCATGAGCGGCTGAATGGAACTAGAGTAGTTCAATGCAAATGAACTCGGTTCGAATAGAAGGCGATAAGACCTAATTTGACCAAGGTCAGTTACGGAAACAGCCCAGAATTGGGGACACACATACACAGACAAGCCATGTTTAGTGATAGAGCTGACATTAGCATTGAACTTAAATTGTTTTAATAAATTACAGGAAAAATCACTAGCAACCGAAGACGAGGCTGCTAGTGCGATCGACCTTCAGAGAGAAAAGAGAAGCGGCAGAGGCTAGTAAGTTTTTAGGTATTTCCCATTCAAGGACTTGAAATACCTGTGGACTCTTCTTCTTCTCCAGTTCTAGGGGACAGACCCAGTCTCAGTACTTAAACTTCGGCAAGCCCGAGGAGGATGGCAAGGCGGAGGCAGAGGCCACCGAAAATGGATCTCGCTCAACTGTCTGTAAGTCAAACTCCATGTCTTCCATGTTTGATGAGAACCTTTATAATTGTTCTCTTGGTCCTTCTCAGCTGGCACCCATGGCATGGGCCAGGCCCAGAGTCAGTTCTCATCAGGAGACTGCAGTGGATGTGGTGGCTACCAAACAGAATACCCTTCTTCCGGCAGAATACTCGACGCCAGTGGATCCGGTGTTGCCGGTGGAAGGCCCGATTCCATTATCAGCTTGCCAGGCGGAGGTATAATGTCAGATCGTCTTCGTTGTCATCTTAATCTAAGAAATATTTTAAAACAGGTGCGCAGGGCACAGCCGGTGGGCAGCCAGGTGCCAGTGGTCAGCCAGGATTCGGCGGAGTGCCTGGATATGGGGGACAGCCGGGAATTGGCGGATCACAGGGAACTGCCGGTGGTCAACCCGGATATGGGGCACAAACGGGCTCTGGAGGTCAATTTGGCGGTCAACCTGGAGATGGAACAGGAACGCAAACCGGAATTGGTGGAGGACAATCAGGACCTCAGTCTGGCGGAACTCCCGGATATGGAACTCAACCTGGAGGACAGCCTGGAGGAAGACAAACTGGAGGTGCTGGACAGCCTGGATCCGGAAGCCAGCCCGGCGGTCGACCCGGCTACGGAACTCCTGGTCAGACAGGAACCACTGCCGGACAACCCGGATACGGAACTCCCGGCTATGGAACGCAACCTGGAGTTGGCGGTCAGACAGGAACCACTGGCGGTCAACCAGGAGTTGGTGGTCAAACAGGAACCACTGGCGGACAACCAGGATACGGAACTCCCGGTTACGGAACGCAAACTGAGTTAGGTGGTCAGACAGGTACCACTGGGGGACAACCAGGAGCTGGTGGTCAGACAGGAATCACTGGTGGGCAGCCAGGAGTTGGTGGTCAGACAGGAGCCGCTGCCGGTCAACCAGGATACGGAACTCCCGGCTATGGCGGTCGGACAGGAGCCACTGGCGGACAGCCAGGAGTTGGTGGTCAAACAGGAACCACTGGCGGACAACCAGGATACGGAACTCCCGGCTATGGAGACCAACCAGGAGTTGGTGGCCAGACAGGAATCGGAGGAGGACAGCCCGGATACGGAGCACAGCCAGGAGTTGGTGGCCAGACAGGAATCGGAGGAGGACAGCCCAGGTACGGAGCGCAGCCAGGAGTTGGTGGACAGACTGGAAGCGCTGGCGGACAACCCGGATACGGATCTCCCGGCTATGGAGTCCAACCAGGAGTTGGTGGCCAGACAGGAATCGGAGGAGGACAGCCAGGATACGGATCGCAGCCAGGAGTTGGTGGCCAGACAGGAATCGGAGGAGGACAGCCCGGATACGGATCGCAACCAGGAGTTAGTGGCCAAACAGGAATCGGAGGAAGACAGCCCGGATACGGATCGCAGCCAGGAGTTGGTGGACAGACAGGAACAGCTGGCGGACAACCCGGATACGGTTCTCCCGGCTATGGAGTCCAACCAGGAGTTGGTGGCCAGACCGGAATCGGAGGAGGACAGCCCGGATACGGATCGCAGCCAGGAGTTGGTGGACAGACAGGAATCGGAGGAGGACAACCCGGATACGGATCGCAGCCAGGAGTTGGTGGCCAGACAGGAACTCCCGGCTATGGAGTCCAACCAGGAGTTGGTGGCCAGACAGGAATCGGAGGAGGACAGCCCGGATACGGAGCGCAGCCAGGAGTTGGTGGCCAGACAGGAATCGGAGGAGGACAGCCCGGATACGGAGCGCAGCCAGGAGTTGGTGGCCAGACAGGAATCGGAGGAGGACAGCTCGGATACGGATCGCAGCCAGGAGTTGGTGGCCAGACAGGAACTCCCGGCTATGGAGTCCAACCAGGAGTTGGTGGCCAGACAGGAATCGGAGGAGGACAGCCAGGATACGGATCGCAGCCAGGAGTTGGTGGCCAGACAGGAATCGGAGGAGGACAGCCCGGATACGGATCGCAGCCAGGAGTTGGTGGCCAGACAGGAATCGGAGGAGGACAGCTCGGATACGGATCGCAGCCAGGAGTTGGTGGCCAGACAGGAACTCCCGGCTATGGAGTCCAACCAGGAGTTGGTGGCCAGACAGGAATCGGAGGAGGACAGCCAGGATACGGATCGCAGCCAGGAGTTGGTGGACAGACTGGAATCGGAGGAGGACAGCTCGGATACGGATCGCAGCCAGGAGTTGGTGGCCAGACAGGAACTCCCGGCTATGGAGTCCAACCAGGAGTTGGGGGCCAGACAGGAATCGGAGGAGGACAGCCCGGATACGGAGCACAGCCAGGAGTTGGTGGCCAGACAGGAATCGGAGGAGGACAGCTCGGATACGGATCGCAGCCAGGAGTTGGTGACCAGACAGGAATCGGAGGAGGACAGCCCGGATACGGATCGCAACCAGGAGTTCGTGGACACACAGGAATCGGAGGAGGACAGCCCGGATACGGAGCGCAGCCAGGAGTTGGTGGCCAGACAGGAATCGGAGGAGGACAGCCCGGATACGGATCGCAGCCAGGAGTTGGTGGCCAGACAGGAATCGGAGGAGGACAGCCCGGATACGGAGCGCAGCCAGGAGTTGGTGGACAGACAGGAATCGGTGGCGGACAGCCCGGATACGGAGCGCAGCCAGGAGTTGGTGGCCAGACAGGAATCGGAGGAGGACAGCCCGGATACGGATCGCAGCCAGGAGTTGGTGGCCAGACAGGAACTCCCGGCTATGGAGTCCAACCAGGAGTTGGTGGCCAGACAGGAATCGGAGGAGGACAGCCCGGATACGGAGCGCAGCCAGGAGTTGGTGGCCAGACAGGAATCGGAGGAGGACAGCCCGGATACGGAGCGCAGCCAGGAGTTGGTGGCCAGACAGGAATCGGAGGAGGACAGCCCGGATACGGATCGCAGCCAGGAGTTGGTGGCCAGACAGGAACTCCCGGGTATGGAGTCCAACCAGGAGTTGGTGGCCAGACAGGAATCGGAGGAGGACAGCCCGGATACGGAGCGCAACCAGGAGTTGGTGGACAGACAGGAATCGGAGGAGGACAGCCCGGATACGGAGCGCAGCCAGGAGTTGGTGGACAGACAGGAATCGGTGGCGGACAGCCCGGATACGGAGCGCAGCCAGGAGTTGGTGGCCAGACAGGAATCGGAGGAGGACAGCCCGGATACGGATCGCAGCCAGGAGTTGGTGGCCAGACAGGAACTCCCGGCTATGGAGTCCAACCAGGAGTTGGTGGCCAGACAGGAATCGGAGGAGGACAGCCCGGATACGGAGTCCAACCAGGAGTTGGTGGCCAGACAGGAATCGGAGGAGGACAGCCCGGATACGGAGCGCAGCCAGGAGTTGGTGGCCAGACAGGAATCGGAGGAGGACAGCCCGGATACGGATCGCAGCCAGGAGTTGGTGGCCAGACAGGAACTCCCGGCTATGGAGTCCAACCAGGAGTTGGTGGCCAGACAGGAATCGGAGGAGGACAGCCCGGATACGGAGCGCAGCCAGGAGTTGGTGGCCAGACAAGAATCGGAGGAGGACAGCCCGGATACGGAGCGCAGCCAGGAGTTGGTGGCCAGACAGGAATCGGAGGAGGACAGCCCGGATACGGAGCGCAGCCAGGAGTTGGTGGCCAGACAGGAATCGGAGGAGGACAGCCCGGATACGGAGCGCAACCAGGAGTTGGTGGACAGACAGGAATCGGTGGCGGACAGCCTGGTTACGGATCCCAAACAGGAGCGGATGGTCAGAGAGGAGGCGCTGGCGGACAACCTGGAGCTTACGGCAGTCAGCCGGGTGCGCCAGGTACGGGAGACTTCGGTTCAGGTCAACCTGGTTACGGACCGCAGACAGGAGGACAAGCGGTACTGCCTGGTGGCGGCAGTCAAATTGGAGCACCGGGACGTTATACAGCTGGAACAGGTGGAGCTCCTGGCACCGGCGGAGCTGGTGGCGTTGGAGGTGGCGTTGGTAAGCTGGAGCATCTTGAAAGTCTTGGCCAGGTTTTTATTAATTACTTGCAGGTGTTCCTGGTGCTTCTGGTGTCGTGGGAGTTGACGACGCCTTCTCCCAAGCAGAATCGACCATTGGAGATGGACAGGCCTCCGCCAGTGCTCAAGGCAAGAAGAACGGCGGAACAGCCAAGACCCAGGTGTCTGGCACCTACAGCTCGGGCGGCACCTTCAGCGCCAGTGCTATGACATCGGATGCGGATCGAGCGGCCAGTGCTCAGGTGACAGGAAACGCGGATGGAGCGGTAAGCCAGTCGCAGGGCTCAGGCGGTCCCGCCCAATCGCAGGCGCAGGTGCAGGTAGGCAAGGATGGCGGCACCAAGGCCTCCTCGCAGAGCGGAGGTATTATCCAACAGAGCCAGAGCGAAGTGCATGCTAACGACAAGGGTGGTCTGGCCGATGCTCAGTCAAGCGGACCTGGTCAAACGTCCTCGCAAGCTCAGATTGGGTTCCGTCCCGGTCAAGAAGCTAATCCGCCGGCTGCTAACGGTGGCGGCCAGGCTTCATCCTCGTCCGGTGCCCACTCTAGTCAGAGTAGCTCACAAATTCATGGAACATCCAGGTAACTTAAGAGCAAGGACTCTTTAAAGGGTTTATTAATTTGGTTCAAATTGCAGTTTTGGAGTTTCCTACCATGGAGCCGCACAGTCCGCATCGGGAACCAAGGAGCAAGTGGCTTCTTACAGAGAACAAAACCGAGAACTGTTTAACACCATAAGTCAGTTTGGCAACAATGGCAATGCGTGAGTAAATCAAAAGGAGGAATGTTTAGAAGGAAAATAAAGGATCTTAAATCCTATTTTTAGTGTTACTGATCGTGCTGATGCCGTCTATAGCGGACCAGCCCTCACTGACGAATCCGAACGACTCCCCGAGCTGCAACTCAAGTCCACAAAACCCAAGGAAGAAACCGTCAAGGATGATAAGCAGGAACCGGCAGAGCCTTCTCAGTACGAAGACGAGGACGAAAACGAGGCGGATGAGTATGATGAAGATGAGTACTACAACGAAAAGCCGGTCAAGTTGGAGGAAAGTCCCAAGCCGGCGAACATAGTCAAGCCAGAGGCCACACCAGAGCCACAGGCCTACACACAGTCCTCACCCACGCAGACACAAAAGGCTGTGGTGGCACCAACGGCAGGGGATAAGTACCAAGTCGTCCAGAAGCAGAACGGCAAGGTCAATACCTACACCGTACCCTCCACAACCGAGGCCATTCCTCCAGGATTCCGAGGCACTGTCAATGTGCAAAAGAAGTTCCACACCAAGGCCTTGGAGCTGCACCCCACCAACAAGGTTGAAATCACTGCTGACACTGATGGCGAGGGCCCTATTCGGGGCGACAAGCCAACACAACGTGCTCCAGACAGCTATGTCACTGTAACCAAGTCGGTGACTGGCAGCATGGACAATAGCAAGAACCCGCCGCAGGAGAATAAGAACTTCCAGTCGACGTACTACACCAAGTCATCGACGTGCGGGTACTTTACCTTCTCGTGCAACATTGTTTATGGTGCGAACGGAAGGAGCAAAATCTGCCGCCCAAAGGCACCGGCCAATGGCAAGTGCTAAAGGAGCAGATGATGCCACAGACCTTGAACACGCCAACCCACCCATATTATAGTAGATCAGTTCCAAAGGGGCTCAATTTGTAGAACAGCTTAACCATCTACAAACAAACACCTATTTGTATTTTGATGCAGCGTGTTTATAAGCATTTAAGTGTTTTTCGCAAATAATTTTAGATTTTCACTGCCATTCTTTGAATAATTTGTACGTTTTGCAAACTGTAATTAATATTTAATAACAAACCACAAACCAAAACATAGAAAATCTTTTCCTAAACGCAAATCTTGTCACAGGTGAGTAGGAGAGAGTTCCAGAACAGATATTGCGGACATGTCTTCACGAAAGGCAGGTAATCGCAGTGAATAAAGCGGGTGCAGTCACCTGGGTATGGTATCAACTGGCCGAGCTTTTTGTCACAAATGGCGGGTAAGTTGACAGCTTCGGTGACTGGGGGAGATGTAGAATCCCATTGAGTATCGTTGAAAACACAGCCACCGAGCGTTTGTATTTCACATCGCTTGAGTAGGTCATTCCAGTGAAAATTCGGGGGACAGCTCATCAAGGACTTTTCGTAATACCGATGACAGTCGTTGGGATAAGGCAGCCTTAATACAGCCTGCGCCATGGAGATTCCACAACAAAATAGATACAGGAAAATTCGGAGAAGCACTAATGAAAAATAGGGAATATTAGGTGGAAACTATTACTTATACTGAAAGTATCTTGGTATACTTTTTAATGTAAAGACTCTGATCATCTGAAAGAAACTCTGCAATTGTCAGGTATTTATAAACCCTTGGTAGTCCCTCAAAATTATTGACATATTGATACCGATTATTGACTTTCTGTATCTGATTTGGCCTTGAAAAAATTATATGTCCGGTCAAGTGGTTTTAACATCAAGCTCTTAATTAAATATTAATTTTTTAAATATATTTATGATTAAAAAACCAAGATTTCTACATTGTGAAGTATTCCCATAATAAACTAATATTATTCAACCTGAAGATGAACTGGCTACTGTGAAGAACTTAACATTGAGTGATGGATAAACATTGGCATTAAAATAATCTTTGTTTAGATTATCAATCAGGGAATTACCTAGAATAAAGGCTCAAAGTTTATTTGTTCGCGAAGACATTTATTCGATAAATAAAACCCAAGTATTACTTTATGGTGATAACAAAACTCGAAATAAACTGAGTATAAAAAGCGGCGTTTAAGACTGTGTAGAACATTCACTTTTACAACGAGCTCATCTCTGGACGCTATCAAAAGTAAGAAATGTTTTTAAGAAAGAAAAATCCAGTAGTATTATTAATAATAATAAATATAATTCCAGTGTTGCAAGGACCAGCTTTTCGACTCTTGGCTTTAATGGCTGTCTTGTCCATTGTTAAGTGCCAGCAGTACCCTGTGATAGTAAGTTATCCCTTGAATATCCTTAGGTCTTAACTAAAAGCAAATCCTTCGTAATAGCCTGCCACGCCCATTCAAAAATGCCCACTACCGGATGATCCCAATCATGTGGTAATGCTGCCTTACGCCAACGACTGCCGCAAGTACTACACCTGCCAGAATGGACAGGCTTATGAGCATCAGTGTCCGGCTAACTTGTACTGGAGCCAGTTGACCTACCGCTGCGACTACAAGGAGTACTCCAACTGCCAGCCCGATGAGCCTGCCAATCCAATTAATCCCTTTAATCCTGTCAGTCCTGTTCCTTCAGTGCAATATAGCTCTTTCCCCGGCGACTGTAGTCGCTTCTATGTAACTAGAGTCCTTCGCTGTGAGGATGACCTTCAATGGAGTGACCAATATCAGAGTTGTGTAGCGCCTCAATTTTCCAACTGCGGAGTCGTAATTCCAGTTCCGTCATTTCCTCCTGTAAGCCCTGGAACTCCCATGTGGCCAAATGGTCCTGCTGCTACTCCACCTCCTTATGACGGGACTATTGCGGCTCCCCTGCCAATTGATCCAAATGCTTTGTGCGGGAATAGTTTGACCAATGCCTACATTCCATATCCTGGCGACTGTCACAAGTTTATCAATTGCGGACCAACTGCAACGGTGCTTACCTGTCCCGGTAACTTGTATTGGACTCCCATCACACTATCCTGCAGTGTATCAAGCGCTGGCTGCCAGTGAAACTAAAATGGTTTTAACTCTTGAATATTCATTTGTATTTTTGTATTATTTTGTGTATTTAAATAAAGTTACATTGCATTAAAAATCAAAAGAAAAGCTTGAAATCGCTTTAAAAACATGACTAAAAAACCCAAGATCAGGTGAATGAAGGCGATATCCTGTGGAATTACATTTAGCGAGCTGCGCATCCATGCAAATAAAATCAATGGGACTGAATTCTTCATCTTCTGGACAGGCAAAACCTACTGGAATAGGTTCTTGACATACTATGTACTTGCTGCAGTTGTTGGGATAAGGAACCAGAGTTCCCTCGCTTTTATCATCACAAAAGCTGTTAGGCAAGGTCGTATCCTCAGCTTCAGTGGTTGATGTCAAAGGTGTTTGTGTAGTCGTAAGAATAATAGAGCAATTTGCATACCACGGAGCCATACATCTTTCTAAGGCGGCACTAAACTCCTGACCAACTACACAGTCATAGACCAGAGGGTAAGGTTGAACACAGGCTATAAACTTGGTGCAATCATCCGGATAGGGAACTAGCTTTCCATTTGGCACGCCTTCGCATGGATGGATTTCTGTGCTGGGAGTACTTGGGGTAACTGCAGTGGTAGAGCTCTCAGTGGTATCTGTAACTGATGTGGTAGAGGTAGTGGTGTTGTAGTTTTCTCGACAAGCATCGGGTGAAACATCTGAACCACATTCTCCAGTCAGTGGATCGAAAAACTCTCCCAAGCTGCAAATGCCCATCATGTAAGAGGAGTCGTCTACACATCGTATGAACCATTGACAATTATCTAGATATGGCAAGTTTTGGCCGGAATTATTAAAGCAGAGCGAAACCTCCGGCGCTGGTGTCGTTAGTCCTGGCGATAGAGTTGTGGTTTCTCCTTTAGGACAGTCACTCGACTCCCACTCTACACATTTCTGAAGAGCCTCGTTGAAGAACAAACTTTGCGGGCAGTAAAACGCTATTGGCACAGGCTGAGCGCAAGCTATGTACTTGCTACATTCATCGGGATAGGTGGCATAGTAATCCTCGCCATGACCAGAGCATATTCCCAAAATATCTGCCGGATTAGTCGTGGTATCTATAGGTAAAGTTGTTGATATTGTGGGTAAAGGTGTTGTGGGAGAAGGCGTTGTGGAAGCTTCACTTGTCGACGATTCAGTGGAAACTCCAGTTTCCTTGCACGCCGTTGGTGACACTTCGGGACCGCAATTGCCGGTTTGAGGATCATAAAAGCCATTGTATATACAATTGGCCACCGTGGACTTTCCGTCTCCCATGCACAGTATATATTGCTGACAATTCGTTACTAAAGGATAGGAGGCGCCTAGTTCCTGATCCGCACAAACATCCTCCGAACTCTTTGTTGTGGTTACGGTGGTGCTAGTAGTGAAGGCATCAAGGCAAGCGGTAGGTGATACATTTGGCCCACAGTCACCGGTATCTGGATCGAACCATGCATTAACCGGACACTTGGCAGTCGTTGATTTACCGCCACCGAGGCAAAGCAGGTACTGCTGGCAGTCGGATTGCAAAGGAAAGCTAGCTCCCAGTTCCTGATCTGCGCAGGGATTCTCCTTGTCACTTACAGTTGTTGTGGTGGCAACAGTTGTCAAAGGTGGGCTGGTGGTAACAACTTCGCGACACGCTTCCGGCGAGATATCAGGCCCGCAGTTGCCGCTTTTCAGATTAAACCAATTGTCAACGGGACATGGAAAAATACTGTACGAGTCGTTGCCCCAGCAGTAATAATATTGCTGACAATTTCGAATGTCTGGAAACATAGCTCCTAGCTTTTGGCCCTCACACTCTGTGAAGGGTTCTTCGGTAGTTGTTGTTGTTTCATGTTCATCTTGAGTAGTTTGATCACCAAAACACACGACATTATCTTTAAAATCGCAAATTTTTAAATCCGGATTGAAAAGCAGTTCTCCTGGACATTGTTTTTCTTCACTTTGTCCATTTAAGCACACGATAAACTCGCTACAGCTCAAAGCAGAAGGAAGTATGGTATGATTGGACTCATCCTTACAAGGATTTGCGGGGTTTGGCAAAGGAGTGCATTTCACAGCTTCTGGTGTATCGCATATGTGCAGGGGACTGTTGAAGAGTTTTCCATCGGGGCAGTACTCCAAATCAGCACAGGAATCATTGCACCAAATATAAGCCCCGCAGTCGTAGGGATATTCATAATATCCATTCGATAAGGTGGAACAAAAAGAGGAATCCATTTCGAGAGGGTCGCCAGAAGTTGTTGCCAAAAGCCAACCAATGATAAGGAAGTACTTCCAGGCTATATATAAAAAAATACATTTTACTCTATTTTTATAACTGATCGAAACATGTAAGTGTTTACCTGGCATTGTCATGGTTTATTGCCCACAAAAAAAATTCTTTTTAAATATTTATTTACTTTTGAAATAAACGCGTGTGCTGGTGGTTCTACGGTCTGGAATTAACTGAGCTCTTACTACATTTTTTGGTAATTCTTAAGCACAAATATTTGATAAATGCCTGCCAATCTCAACCAACGTTCAGTGGTTCTTCTTCATTGATAATGACTAATACACATTGATAACACATGACTAGAAGCTCTGAGAAAAAACGGCACAACAAGGAAATAGACAATAAGATTTTTAATAAAGAACCATGATAATCTGCCTCGTTTTCTTTCCAATTAGGTTCAGTGAGATATCAGAGAAGTACAACTAGGTGACACCTATAAGCATTCCTTCTCTAGACAACGCAAAAAACTCGATTTAGTCTCACCTACTTTTAGGCTTTGCAAAATAAAGTGAACCAAGATCCCTTTAAGACATTTAACTTTATGATTTTCTTCGATAATACTCATTTATTTTGAGTATATGTATAATAAATCATAAGTAATAAATAATAAATAAAAATAATAAAATATTATTTAAAATTTAAGATTTTCCCTGTGCCACCCCAAAAGATCTTGAACCTTGGTCTGTGTGCAGATATTTCCCACTAAATACATATATACATACATTGTCATGTTTTTATCAAACCTTACATATGTTTTATATGAACCCTTATCAATTCTCAGTAAGAAAATGTAGATAGTACTCGTACTCGAGCACCTATCACATTCGAACGATACAATCAAGTGTTGAACACTTTACATATTGGCAAATCATGCAAATTTCTCATCATTGATAGTCTATAAAAACGGCGTTCAATGAATGGAAAGTTTCAGTTCGATTAAAGACTCGATAGCGACAATATGAAGCTTTTCGGACTGCTCTTGGCGATTTGTACACTCCAAGAAAGAACACTGGCTCTGTCTCAAGTATGTAAAAAGGAGCCTTGCCATATCATCCGATTTATTTAAGCTTCCTTTTATAGGATGGATTTGCTTTCAAAACTTCTATTTGCGATGGTAAAAACGGCGGACTCTTGCCCATTTTTGGAACGTGTTCCGGATACTATGTGTGTGCAGATGGAAAAGCAGTGGTTGGATCCTGCGACCCTGGTACCTTATTCAATCCAATAACTTTGCACTGCGATGCGGCCGACAAGGTGGAATGCATCTTTGATGCCAAGGATAACAAAAGCAGCGACGAATCGAGCTCAAATAGTGAGGAGGACTCTGAGGAGACATACCAAACTGATGCTCCAGTAACGGTTAAGTCTACAAAGCCACCTGTAATCCAGGAGACAGAACTTTCGGATATATCCCAGAGAATATGCTTGGGTAAAAAGGATGGCGTAATGCTGATCAAAAAGGGATCGTGTGGGGAATACTATGTGTGCAAGTCAAAAAAGCCCCGTCTTCGGTCTTGTCCTGCCCAACAGCACTTTAGTCCAACGCGAAGAATTTGTATGAAGGCATCGGAAGCCAAGTGTTCCGCCGGTGGTCAGGATATCAATATGTTGGACAAGCCTGCCGTCACGGGGGGACTGTGCCCAGAGGATAAGGAGAATTCCCTAGCTGCACATCAGAGCGATTGCGGCAAGTTTCTCCTCTGCAGCAATATGATGTTTCTGGTCATGGACTGTCCTGTGGGCCTACATTTCAATGTCGCTTCCTCGCGCTGCGACTATCCCAAGATTGCCAACTGTCAGGTGAAGAAAAAGGAAACCAAGAGTAAAACAAAGTCCAAAAAGAATGGCCGCCGGCCCAAAGCTCGTGTGTTGTAACCCAACCATTCAAAACCCATAATTACGAGTCGGATATTATTCAACCTCTGTTGTTGTGTTACTCTTCAATATACTATTAAATATATGTATATGTATATATGTTTATAAATGTAGCTATATACAAATATATTGGCATTTACAAAAAGGTCTTCCAAACTCTGAAGATGAGCAACACTTTAGGGAGGGCATTAGAATTAGAAGAATGTTAAACTCATCATCTAAAATAAATTAAAAACGACAAAGAAATTAAACTTCGTGTGGCCGAAGCTTGTATAGGATGAAATTTATGATAACCAAGCCAAAAATGCATTGATTTCCATTCGGAAAGCTTTTCTATAAGCTTAATAGATCTGCATACTAAATTTAAAATTTGACCGATACAACCCCATATGAAAAATGAACTTTATAACTATTAAGCTTCTGACTCTAAATATAAAGCCCTGCAAGGGTATAACAATTATATTAGTTTTTAACTTAAGACGCTGTTAGAAGCTTTTAGTTTCCAGACTAGATACTCAGCAGATACTTTTTTAACTCGATAAAATGTCATATACATATGTACAAATGTATACTTTAATTCTCCTTTAAAATGCTAATAAACAAAATATTCAAAAATGTTTTTTTTTAAGATTAAAAAATATCGCAAACATTTTAAATGAATCATGCAGATTAGTAAACCTACTAAAAACTAACACAGATAAGCAATCCGAATTAAATAATAAATAAATTAAATTAAATCCCAGAAAGTCAGCGATAGCTAGTTTTATAAAAAGTCAACGCATTTTGATATCTTGTAGATTTAATGTGTCATTTGCACGAAACAAGTACCCATTGGAAACAAAAAACCCATCTGTGCTGCTTAAGACGTATTTATTGAGATATTCAGCATTTTACATTGGACGCCCAATCGCAGGTCTTGATCTGCTCATTGAAGACGAGTCCGGATGAACAGCTGAAATCCACCTCGCACTCGCACTGGCAGACAATATACGAAGAGCTGCAAGCGTTGGCCCCAGCAAACATGGTTCCGTCGCGCTGGCCAACACAACGCCCTTGACTCTCACAGTAGGTTCCAGAGGGACCGGCGCTGGGACCGCTGGGCGGCGCAGTTCCATCGTCGCAGCCGACGTTCTCGGGGTAGTCACAATCACTCGTGATGTTGTTGAACTGCAGATTGTTGGGGCACCTCTGCTGAACGTACTTGCCGTTGACGCACTGGAAGAAGGCCGAGCAGTTCTTCTCCACGGGCCACATCGAATTGTTGGGAAGATCGCAGCACTGAGGGTCGCAGGTCTTGGGGATGCAAACGTTATTTGTGTCGACAACACACTTATTCAGTGTTGTGTTGAAGAACTCAGTAGCAGAGCACTTCATGGCAACATAGTTGCCGTTCACACACTGCAAGTATCCGGCGCAATCCGACGGATTTGCCTTCTTGTCGCCCTCCGTGCATGATGGGGTGCCATTGCACTCTCCGTTGTCCGTCTCGCAGATCTTGCTTTTATTATTCCAATACTCGCCGGCAGAACAGGACATGGTAACGTATTTTCCACCCGCGCAAATTTGGTACTTGGTACAGTCACCGGATGGCTCTGGCTGTTTGCTTCCCTCGGTACAGTTGACGCAGGTTCCATTAGTATCCGGAACACAAGTACGCCTGTTGTTGTCAAAGTAGGCACCATCAGGGCACGTCTTGTTCACCAAGCTGCCGTTGGAGCATAACCGGTAACCAGCACAGTCCAAAGGATTCCACTCTAACTCTCCTTCTGTGCAAGATGGACTGCCATTGCACTCGCCATTGTCCTCTAGGCACTCTCCCCAGGTGTTGTTCCAGTAATAGCCACTATCACAGGATACAGTTACGTACTTTCCACCGGAGCAAAGCAGGTACTTGGTACAGTCACCGGATGGCTCTGGCTGTTTGCTTCCCTCGGTACAGTTGACGCAGGTTCCATTAGTATCCTGAACACAAGCACGCATGTTGTTGTCAAAGTAGGCACCATCGGGGCACGTCTTGTTCACCAAGCTGCCGTTGGAGCATAACCGGTAACCAGCACAGTCCAAAGGATTCCACTCTAACTCTCCTTCTGTGCAAGATGGACTGCCGTTGCACTCGCCATTGTCCTCTAGGCACTCTCCCCAGGTGTTGTTCCAGTAATAGCCACTATCACAGGATACAGTTACGTACTTTCCACCGGAGCAAAGCAGGTACTTAGTACAGTCACCGGAAGGCTCTGGTTTGGTGCTTCCTTCAGTGCAATTAACGCAAACTCCACAGGTGTCGCGAGTGCATTCAGTCTCGTTGAAGAAGTATCCATCGGGACAGCTCTGGTCTACCACGATACCGTTCACGCACTCCAGATACCCGGCGCAGTCATCTGGATTGGCTTCGATCTCCCCCTCCTCACAATTCGGCGGATAGCACTCTCCATTGTTAGTGTCGCATTCTCCAATCTCCGGGTTCCAATACTCTCCGTCAATGCAAGACTTGGAAACAAATTCGCCATGGCAGCACACACTATACTTGGTGCAATCATCCGGGTCGCATTTTGTCTCGCCATCCGTACAGCACTCTGCATTCAGGGATCCCACGAAAAGGGAAAGAGCCAGGCACAGGGAAACCACTATAAATTCAGGGTGAATATCCATTCATTCAGTGCTTTACTTTGGTTGCTTACCATAGTGCTTAGTTTTGAATTGGGCCATCTTGGCACTCCGCATATCAAACGTTCACTGATGTGCCTTTGGTCCATATCGGCTTTTATATTAACCTGCAATTAAAATAATGAAATGTCTTTTCCTGCTTCAGAGCATGTGCCGGTGATAGTAGGGCATCATTATTGATGTTATCAGCATACTCTTACAGTAGTTATACAAGCAAAAGATATTGTCACTATTTATACCACCCAAAACATTGGTGAGTGGAGAATCTGCAAACTCCCTGAGTGCAGAAGGAAATTGTTTTGTTGCAGACCTCTCACTGCTGCTGAAGGCCCCACATAAAAGAAGATATCTCCATGTACCCCTTTCCTCTCTGGGTAATAGTTATTTATAACAGCTCTCGTCCTGACCGATAACCCGCAGCTGCTGGCTGATAATAATGATTTATTAGCCCCAGTTTCATTAATAAATACAGCTAAGATATGGCTTTGATAATGATTTCCTTTATTCTACAATAGGTCAGTTAGAGCGTGCAATTGACTTTATTGGGATAATTGCAGGTCTTTTGGGATTGATCCCAGTACAACCCATCTGAGCACTCCATCTCGACTTCACACTCGCACTGGCAAACCACATACCGTCCACAGTTTGTCTCTGAAGGCAGGAAAGTACCCTCCTTTTTGCCCAAGCAACGACCGTTACTCTCACAGGATGTGCCAGAGGGGCCAGCATTCGGACCCGATGGCGGCGTATACTCCCATTCGCATTCATAAGCATCTGGGTAGACACATATATCATTTTCAGGGTCGAAGATTAGATTGTTGGGACACAATTGCTCCACGGCGCAGTTGTAATTGCACTTGTAGAACGTATTGCAAGAGCCGGGCACCTGGAAGAGCTCACCCTCGGGCTGGCCCTTGCACACAGGGCTGGTGCTGTTGCAGGGCACCTCGGGTACATAGCCCTCAGGATAGTCGCACTGATCTGAGGTTGCATTGTAAACAAGGCCACTGGGACAGAGAACCGATGAGACACCGCCCCCTGTATCGCCACCGGTTTCAGTGTTGTTGCCTTTGGGCCAGTCACAAACATTCACCGCCGGATTGAAAGCCAGCTGAGGATCACACTCCATTGCAATGGCACACTGGCATTGGCAAATAAAGTATCCGTTTGAATTGGGGTCCGCAAACATCGTTCCATCGGGCTGCTTATTGCACTTAGCGTCGCTGGTGCATGCGATTCCGGACGGTCCCACCACCTCATCCTCAGCATCAGCAGTTATCTCACAATCCACTTTATCCGGGTTATCGCACCGACCCAGCTCCTTGCTGAAATACAGGCCACTGGGACAGGGCATTTCATTCACGCATCCGTTGCTGCATTGGATGAACCTGACGCAAATTCCGGGCATATCTAACAATGCGCCACTCTCCTGCGCGACGCAGTCGGTACGGGGACTGGAGCAGTATGTGGGTACCACGCCTGGACTCGCTGGCGTAGTGTTGGAGGAGTTGGTGGTGTCATCGGGATTTGTGGTGACTTCTGTGGGATCAGTGGAATCTGGGGGACTCGGAGTAACTGGTGACTTGGTGGTGGTGTCCGGACCGCAGTCCTCAGTGGTTGTTTCATCTACATCTTCTTCATCTATGGGATCCTGGCACTCATCAGCACAGCAGTCGCACGTACACTGGTCATCTGCTCCGGCGAAGGAGGATAGTCCCAGGCAGTTGGCTCTCCACTGGAAGTCGCATTCTCCAAGCTCGCGATTGAAGTGAAGGCCTCGCGGGCAGCTACCAATGATGGACACCTCTCCTCTTTGGCAAACCACAAAGCGAGAGCAGTGCGTGGCCAGAGGAAGTCGAGTGCCGTCCTCCTCATAAATGCAGACATCCGCCAACTGGGCTACCGCAACTTGAAGACCTCCGGCCAGCAGCAGTAGCGCCCAAAGAGCTAGAATTTTTTGTAGTGGGTAAGAGTAAACCATATTCCGGGATTGGCTCCTCTAGTTACTCACCACTGGATTCGGTTTGGCGCATTGTCGTCTGATTGGCTTCCGAATGGTTCAAAATTCGCAAACGACTAAGTGGCTAACCAGGCAGAGTGGCAGCATTTAACTGTGCCTCGAGGCCCCCAAATCAGTAGTCAATCTTCTGATAATACCAATCACCATATCAATCTGTCGATTAGTTCACCAACTGATTTGTTTTGCGCCAGAATAATTAGGTGTGTGTATGCCTTGGGCTCGGGGCGGGACTTGAGGCCCTTATCAAGCCCGGCTCCCTCACATGGCCATAAAGTTTTCCTAAAATTTGGCATAGGTCTTGCGGATTCTCAACTGTTGAATGTGTTTTTGGCGCCGCAACCGCCCTGGCGTCTGCTTAATTTATGTTTCTCTTGCACACTCCCCGATAAGCACAACACGAAAGCTGCCTAATCATTCTCATCGCTTTATTGAACACTTGAAATTAAATGACGTTTATTGTCGCTCAAATTGAAGTGGCAGTCTCGCGTACTTTTGAAGCGGATACACTCGATACAGGAGCAGAGCCACAAGTGATAATGCTCGACTATGGGATACTCCATGAACACCAAGGATTTTTAAGCGAAAGCACAATTGATGTTGTGGAAAAGTTACAGGAAATAAGAAGCTCTTTACTTTAATTGAATACCCATTAATTCTTCAGGGAGTGTAAGCTATAAAATTATTTAACTAATAATACTGACCCCTATATAATTTTATTTAATATTTTTAAATACTTAAATTCACCTTTTATTATTTATATTTTAAAATATTATTGTGGTGATTATACTTTCTTTTTTACTACATTTTTTTTTTAAATTTTATATTTACAATTATTTTGATTTTTAGGGTATGTACTTTTCGGGATGGTGATAGCCAAGCGGACCTATTTTAGCCGCTATCGAAGAGCGGAGGTGTGTCTATGTATACATTTCTATAATTCCTAGAATTGCATGCAATCTTGCCGATTCAAATATCCCGATAGCAAACCCATTCAGAACGGTTAAACAAACCACCAAAAATAGCTTCCAACTTGTCAATTTATATGAAAGATGTGTGCATAGTTTAGGTACTTTTTTTTTAATGACAAAAATTACTTTTCCCTGTCATTTCACTTGGGCTACTCAGCCGGCCTGGGCAGATACATAGATATTTGTCACAGAAATGCAATCGGTTCATGACAAGTACTGTTATTGGTATAGAAGAACCAGAAGAAGCATATAGTCCAAGTCCAAGACTACTGCGGTGAGAGGCTTCCTGCTTGTCGCCTCTCGAGTTGGAATGAAACCCAAGACAATGCAATTCTAATTATTCAAATGCTAAGCAAGTACGCTTGAATTAAATTACCAAACTTATGGAAACCTAAATGAAAGAAAGAAGAGCAAAAGTTGTGGGTACTAAGGCCCAGCAAAGGCACTTGAGTTGGAAAGGCTTAGACTCTTCGGTATCTATTACATTGTACGCATCGCTCCGGAGACGGCTGCTCGTAGGAGGCCATAAGGGGCAACAAAAGACAGCCCAGCGGAAATATGAGTGGATATGCCATCGCAAACACACATTCATCTTAAGGGACAGGGAGCGTACGGGCTCTGCCGTCTGTCTATTATAAAAATCTTCTCAGGTGTAACAGGTTTCTCAGATTTAAACTGGGGTCGCGTCTGTGTTATACGCAGTCATCAACGGCACTCGCCTTGTCAACGATCGTTGTTAATACGGCTCTCAGTCCAATTGTGACATCAGCGGCGGCAGGATCGCAGGATTTGAGGGAGTGCATACCGAGGACAGTTCGAATCGAAGAACTGAGATCGATTGGTGCATAGATATCAAGGAGACACCCGCTTATTTAACTCTAGCACCATTCGAAATCAGTGCTTTTGATAAGAACCAATCAGCAGAGTGTCGAAAAAATACAAACATTAACTGTGTGAACGTTTCAAGAAACTCGATTAAACTTTAAAGCCAAGCAAGCAATGTATATGAACATGTTATGAGTGCCAAGTGGCAACCGAGTTGCCAAGGGAAGCCAATGAAATGCAAACGTGAATCTGACCGGCTACGATCGGAATAAGTGAACCGCATTCGCTTAGTCATCAATGGAAACAATTTTGTTATCGCTTCAGAGACATAAAGTGTCACAGAATGCCTCTACAGAACCTTTTAGTTTGATTGATGATAAACTCTACAATAAACTCTCAAGTTCTTTGCGTGATCTCAGTGAAGGCGACAAACAAAGTTAGGAAAATCCAACAAAAAATATGTCAACCGATACACCAATAGCTTAACATTGTCTTATTTTGTTCCTTTATCTATAAATAAAAGACATGACATACTCTAGCGTAATTGCTTGCCATATAATATACAATTAATAGTATTCTTATCTTGGCAAAAAGCTATAAATAATATGGCTACTGTTAGCGAGAAATCGTTGTAATTATAAAGACATCTGCTTGGGAATGGATAATATTACTCTTGAGCTTAAAAATCATAGTTAACTATTTTATAATAAAACTTATTAAATTTCTTATTCTTATTTTTATAAAGACCTTTTCCATTCCATTAAAACTTCAAATCAAAAACAGTTCTTCAATGGATTTTATTTTATTTTAGTGAAAGAGTGTTTAGATTGTCGTTAAATTAAAATTTGACATATTAACTGATTCAATTAACAATACAAGTTGTCCAATGAACATTATTTCAAGGCCAAATACAAACACTCTCTGACAAAAGTCTTTATACAAAGTAAAATAACTTAAAGTTGAAGGACAATGTTTATATTTTGAAGTCCTCAAAGAAAATTTAAATATAAATATGGTTTAAATTTTTTAGAAAGCTGTAACTAATTTGGGAAATTATAATTCACAACTTAAAAATGGATTGTTTACCCAAACCATTGTTAACTTTAAAGTTTAAACAGAGACGTAGACTTTTGTGATATAATGTTGGTCACACCGTCACAACGAAATTAAATTGATCTGATCTGACAACCCCCCGAATCTTATCTCCTTTGGATGTAGTAAATTAGTGTCATCGAAATGGGAAAATCAGTGAGTTGAGGGAATTCTATAAAATGCCGCGGTGGCTTTGGCAAAAAGTTAGTTGTATCTATTTTACTGAAAGCGAAGTGTAGGAGGACCCATACCGAAATGCGAGGTGCTGCCAACGAACTGGACTCTTTGGATAGAAACGGAGACACTAATTGATAACTCATTGCAGGACTCTCAAGCTCGTGGTGTCTGCATGCCTTGGTGGTGGTCTCGATGGTTAAATTGAGCACCCAGGCGCTGACCCATTATCTGAACACCACTGAGGATATTTGCCGAGATTTCGCGGATGGAGTGAAACTGCGAAAGCCCGGCAGCTGCACAGAATGGATAGAGTGCAAAGACTTTGCCACCGTCGAGGGTGGAGCCTGTACCACCGCGGCCAAGCCATACTTCAATCTGGGACAAAAGGCTTGCTACAAAAGCGTTGACACCACCTACTGCAGCACCCCGTGTACCGCATCCACGAGCGGTTATGTTGGAAATACCCTAAATTGTGCCAATTGGTATTATTGTGATGGCAAGACCCAGATGGGTCAGGGAAAATGTACCACTGGCCAGTACTTCGATCAAACAAAAAAGGAGTGCGTCTGGGCCAAGGACACCGTCTGCGAAGCCAAGTTCGATATGTGCGACATTGTGCCACCGGGCGTGCCTTTCCGCGACCCCGCCAACTGCAACATGTACTACACCTGCGCCAAGACTACCTTCAAGCTAACGGAAAACGTTTGTGCCACCGGTCTTTACTACAGCGCTGAGCAGGGGAAATGCATCGATAAGAAGCTGGTCGTCTGCGACAACCATCCGCTGCCGGAGGACGTGTGCGGCACCAAGAAGCTGGCCGTGCGCAACAAGTTCGTCGCGGACGGTGCCACCTGTCGGGGCTACTACTACTGCCGGGATCTCGGTTCCGGAATTCCCGATCCGGATCCCATCTACCAACAGTGTGACACGGACAACTTCTTTAACCAGGAGCGACAGGCCTGCATGCCACGCGAAAGCCAAAAGTGTGCTCACGATCGGTGCGATGGCCGGCAGGATGGCTACGAAGTGGCGGAGGATGCAGGATGCAAGCATTACTACAGGTGCGAGAATGGCCGCGAGACAGATCCTATGGTCTGCCCCGATAATCAGTACTTCGATGTAAAAGCTCAGGCGTGCACGGACGCTGAGAAATCGTACGATGCCTGTGCTTGATATTAATACTTAATTTAAATAAAAGGGTGCAATAATTAAACTACTACAATCTCATTTTTTAGTTAATTTCAGTGGGAGTTTGGTCAATTGAATCTTCTGTAAAATCTAGCTGTGAAATATAATAAATAATAAACATAAAAGTTAAATGTTAAATACAAAACAATGCCAGCTTATATAATTTCAAAGTTCATTAATCATAAAAGTATCAAATCTTCACCTTTGCTTTGTCTTTACCTCTTTTCTCTTCTACCTAAAGTTTCACTTGATTAAGACATTGTTTTTCTTTAATTAAAGAGACATTCAACCGGAGAAAAGCTTATTAAACCCATGTTGGGTTAGGGAACTGCGGAACCAAATCTTATCTGCTGTGAATGTTTTACAAAAATGAGAATAAAAATTGCTTTATCTAGCAGAGAATGTGGTATAAAAGCGGGAGCTGAAGCCTTTCAGTAAGTTAGTTAAACCTTTTTCAGCTACGAAAGACCAAAACTTAAAATGCCAGGTAATATCCAGTTTAAACGACCTCCTAAAATACAGACTAATATTCCTTTAAATACTTTCAGGATCTCCCAGCTCTTGTTGCCTGCCCGCCCTGCTGCTGGCGGTGATGGTACATCTCAGCAGTCAGACCCAATACTTGAGCTCCTCCGAGGACATTTGCCGCTTTTTCGCCAATGGAACAAAGCTACGAAAGCCAGGCGGTTGCAACGAGTGGATTGTCTGCCGGAACTCCGTAAGCATCCACGGAGGAGTTTGTGGCGTTGAGACTCCTTATTTCAACCTAAAGAGTGGTGCCTGTTCTAAGACCTTGGATAGCACCTACTGCAATCCACCGTGCAGTTCGTCTACGCAGGGCTATGTGGGTGACACCCTCAATTGCTCAAACTGGTATTATTGTGAAAGGGAGAAAGTGCGTACCAGCGGAAGATGCGATGGGGGCCTAAGCTTCGATCAAACCCAGCAAAAGTGTCTGGCCAACACAACCTGTGGAGCTAGGTTCGAAATGTGCGACGTGGTACCAACGGGAGTGCCATTCCGTGACGAAAAGAACTGCAACAAGTTTTTTACATGCAAGAACTATAAGCTTGTGTCGAACACCTGCGAACCCGGCAAGTACTACGACACGGCCTCGGGGCAATGTCTGGCCCTGAAGCACGTGGCTTGTGAGCATCATCCGGTTCCGGAGAATGTGTGCGGCACCCCAGAGGTACCTCTGAGGAACAAGCTCGTCGCGGATGGAGCCACTTGCCGTGGTTACTACTACTGTCATGATGTCGGCTCTGTCGGACCAGACCCCCGACCCACCAGGCAATTCTGCGGAGCGGATTACTTCTTCAGCCAGGAACATCAGGAGTGTGTGCCGCGGGAGAGTCAGAAGTGTCCTTGGGATCGATGCGATGGACGCACTGAGGGCTACGAGATTGCCGAAGTGGAGGGGTGTCACAACTACTACAGGTGCTTGGACAATAAGGAGAGCGAACTGCTCAGTTGCGGCGAAGGGTATTTCGATGCCGTGACCCAGAACTGCACATCCATCCGCACCGCCTACAGGGCATGCATCAATAAAGTCCAATAAGGGGCACTATCACTATTCTATCTGAAAAGTAAGTGAATGTCGCCACCTGTAAGTTTCTACACAGCCAAGTTATCATGGACAGTTCCTTACAAAAAGCTATTGAAAGCTTTTTACCTCGTTAGCTTTTCCCTTGCAGCTTTTCATCAACTGATGCAAAAATTCAAATAAAGAGTACGGTACATATGAATGAATGTATGTATGTACATACATACATATAAGAATCCGATTTTTTCATTATTGAAGTACAGTTTGTGCAGCTTTCATACAGTTTCCCACTTTTTTACGACCTTTCCACCTGAACTAAATAATATACATATAAACAGAATATACTAAAAATAAACATAATTTAAGTATAAAATAAAATATATGTAGAATAAGCAAGTAAAATTAAGAAAAAGAGCCAACCTTAGAAGCCAAGGTTTGCAAACTCTGAAACATTTTGAGATTTGAGGGAATAAATAGCGAGCGCAGTCGTTAGATCCATATTTATATCTTTGATATCCCCTGATACATCCATATGTAGTAGTTAGTCGCTTTATTTACTGGCACTTCGTTTTAAAAACACTTTAAACACTTAAAAAACACTTTTTCACTTGTTTCAATCGTGATTTGCTTTTTTTTTTAGAGGTGGGACAACATCGATTCTTACGGCTTCGTTTGAGCTTCGATAACTTCTTTCAATACTACTACAAAAAAGCGGGGAAAATATTGAAACGTGTGAATAAGGCCCGAAAACAAAAGAGTTTTAAATGATTGATTTGTGTGTTCAATAATTAAATAATTTAAAATGAGCAGTAATTTTGTGTTTTTATATTGGTATTGATAGAAAATACAAATAATTAAAATTCAATTAATTTAAAATAATCTAAAAAATAAACAAAGTAAACATATTTTGAAATCACACAATATATTTATAAATTTTCTCACATAGGATTGTGACTGAAATTTAATTTCCCCACGTTTCGGTATGTTTCTCTTTCGCCCTCCAAATCTTTAATTCCGTAAAACTATTTAATTTTGTTATTTATTATTTTATATACATTTAAATGTTTTTGTTTATATTGAATATTTTAAGGGCCTATTTACACCAGGCTGCTTTATTGCGTTAATTTCGATTTCGATAGGTAACTCAGGTCGGTGTAAATATACAATTATAATCAGCTCCATTCAACATCGATATATCGATATTAGTACCGATTACAGGACATCAAGTCCTTCAAACTTGCCAAACGTCAAAATCGTAACAGTGAGTTTGCACAATTTCGAGCAAGTCGGAGTTGTCCCATTCGTTTCGAAAATTAAATACACATAAGAAAAGCCGATTGCAATGGCCGCCCAGGAACTGCCACGTCCCCCGCTGGACGACGAGCGCGTAAAGGCTTTAACCGCTTACCGCACCAAGCTCTTGGAGCACCGCGAGATCGAGGCCCGCTTGAAGGCGCTGCGCGACAAGTTCAAGGTCATCAATGCCCAGTTCGAGAAATCCGAGGAGGACCTGAAGGCCTTGCAGAGCGTGGGCCAGATGCTGGGGGAGATCCTCAAGCAGCTGACTCCGGATAACTTCATAGTGAAGGCCTCCAATGGGCCGCGCTACGTGGTCGGTTGTCGGCGGCAGATAAACAAGGACAAATTGAAGGCCGGCACGCGAGTTGCCCTCGATGTGACGACCCTGACCATTATGCGGTACTTGCCGCGTGAGGTGGATCCCCTGGTGTACAATATGACGCACGAGGATCCAGGAAACGTCAACTACTCGGAGATTGGAGGCCTGAGCGAGCAGATTCGTGAGCTGCGCGAGGTCATTGAGCTGCCGCTGCTCAATCCGGAGCTGTTCCTACGCGTGGGCATTAATCCGCCCAAGGGCTGCCTGCTCTACGGCCCACCTGGCACCGGTAAAACTCTCCTGGCCCGCGCCATCGCCTCACAGATGGATGCCAATTTCCTTAAGGTAAGCTTTTGGTGTGGGGATCAAGTAATGAATGACAGAAACACCGTTCTTCAAGGTGGTGTCCTCGGCCATTGTGGACAAGTATATTGGGGAGAGTGCGCGTCTGATTCGCGAGATGTTTGCCTACGCCCGTGACCATCAACCGTGCATCATATTCATGGATGAGATCGACGCCATTGGGGGCCGACGCTTCTCCGAGGGCACTTCTGCGGATCGCGAGATCCAGCGCACCCTGATGGAGCTGCTCAACCAGATGGACGGCTTTGATGCCCTTGGCCAGGTGAAGATGATCATGGCCACTAATCGGCCGGATACCCTAGATCCGGCCCTCCTTCGTCCTGGGCGACTGGATCGAAAGCTGGAGATACCGCTGCCCAATGAGATGTCGCGCATGGAGATCCTGAAGATACACGCAGAACCGCTGGCCAAGCACGGCGAAATTGACTACGAGGCGGTGGTCAAGTTGTCGGACCTATTTAACGGCGCCGATTTGCGGAACATCTGCACGGAGGCCGGGCTGTTTGCCCTGCGTTCGGATCGTGAGTATGTCATCCAGGAGGACTTTATGAAGGCGGTTCGCAAAATAGCCGACAACAAAAAGCTAGAATCGAAGCTGGACTACAAGCCGATTTAGGACCACCTATCTGAACTGATCTTTTCCAAAATAAACCCATTATGTTTTTATTAAACATTTAACATTAATTAACATTTAAAAAACCTATTTTCCTATTTAAAATATTTTCCTATTAGAATTGAACATCAACAAGAAATACCCTTGACTTTAAGTCCTCTGCTGGCAATCGAATAGCATTGAATGCATTGGAAAGGTGCTGGCTGCGAACCAAATGTCAGCATGGCATCGAGGCAATAAATCAGGGCATTTTGGGTGCACTCTGGGGAATGGGTGCAGCTGCTTCGACACATCCTGATGTCCACTGGGGGGCCCATCCGCGGGTCGCAATGCTCGCATTTGAGCCCACGACAAATATGCAGTTTGGAAATGTTTAATGAATTTTGTGTACCGCCACTCGATGGCTGCCAAGCATTTTCGGCTGTGACCGAAAGCCCCCAATATCCCACTTTCTCTGATTGTGTCCCATTCCTCTCTTTTTGGCCAATTGGTGGGGTTATCTCGGTTGTTACTATTGTTTTTACTTCAATTTTGACCTGAGCTATTGTATTCAATTTAAAGTTTTTATTGAATTAATTTACTATTCATAATTTTTCTTTATATTTAGTATTATTTATAAATATAATTTATATTATTTATAAATTTCTTAAAATTCTCTATTAAACTACAAGCTCAATACCTTATTTTATTTTGGAATTAAACAGGCTGCTTATTTTTTCCATTCGAATTCGTAAAGCTGTTAAAGTTTTTGGCAATTTCTTGGTAAAATTATAAAGAAATTGAACGGGGTAAAGTTGAGAGCCGGATACCAAACCCCATCTGGATTTCTTGAGTGGCGTCCTTCCTCGCCTCCTTCGCAGAGCACACAAAAAACAGAAATATGAAGTTTTCTGTAAGCGAAACTGAAATTCTATTCAATAAGTTTTTGGGCTCGATTTGTATTGCTTAAAACAACATGCCGAGCAGATATTCCAAAGTTCGCCAAGCTGCAGGAGTCTGTTTGATTTCAGTTCGCTTTTCCACAATGTCACTGAAAAAGAAATTAAACGCAGACTTGCTAAGGGCCGGCTGGCTATAACTCTTCATTGTTTTCGATCTTGACTTCTGACATCCTTTGGGGCAGGGAATGGGAATTACACACAAGGACATGGGCGTGGCTGTTGAGCATGTCCCTGATAAATTATGGCCTGACTTCTATGTGTGTACTTTAGGAGTAAGGTAACATTTTTTAATTGTTTGGAAAAACTTTTTTTTGTGGGTTTTCAGCGTGATTTAGTTATGTCATTTTTGAACATTATTTTTCCAACCAATTTTAAAAATATGGGAAAATATGCATTTTAAGGAATTCTAATATTTCCGGTCTTGAAGGGTATTATAATTTTATTTAGTAAATAATAAATAACACAACACCGCTTTTCGATTTAAAATTAATACATTTTTGGCTTAGTTATAATATATTTTAAATTCGACCCCTGATCCATATATGACCTGTAAAGATATACAAACTTTGGCTTCACTTTTACTAATCTCTGTAGTATTTTATACAATTTAAAATATTTAATTTCAGAGCTATTAGTAATTTATACATAAGGTTATGAATTGCGTTTGGTTATTATAAATACAAATATACAATAACTTTGTTTAATTACAAATGATAAACACTATAAAATTTGAATAATTTTATCATTAATGAATAATATCAAGGAAATTCAAATATTTTCCACGTATCTTATTAATAATGGAACCCTTATCCTCGTGTGCTGCATATGATTTGCGTATCATGTGGCAATGCAAATTTTGGAACCCAGCTTGAATTTCATTAACACCATTCGGGGAGTGCAACGGTGCAGGCGCCCCTCTTTCCATTTCCCTTCCCCGGCACTCATCCAGTCCGATGCTTGATGGCCATACATCAAGATGAAGGATGAGCACTCCACAGGATGTATGTGCCATGTGCAAGTGCTTACATATGTACGCAGGTGAAGGTGTGCAGAAATGTGGCCACGCGTTGTAACGTTAACTGGTGTCGCTGTCAGGTAGCAAGGAATGCAAACACTAGGAAAATACAATCCTATAGGTGGAAAGTCTTTAAATCTTAGATCTTTTAGGCTTTATAAGTTCTATAGATTTGTTTAAAGTTTATTTCTGTAACTGTAATTAATTTTGATGCTATATTTATTAAGTTATTTAGTCTAGATTTTTAAGTCCTACTTTTTCTTATAGTGTTGGCCTGAACAGCGCTGAGAGTTTAGAGTTGAGGTTAACAAAAATGGCAGCGCCTCGTCCTGCTGACTGCGAAATTGCCTTGGATGCCAAATGAATGCACCTGCATATTTCATTGCCGCCCTGTCACTTGCGGGCTCACCTGTGCGACCCACCTTTGGCTGAAGCTTAAGAAAACTCATTTTCGAATAGAGGTTGGTAGCCATCTTGTAATGTGCCCCCACATACAGGTAACCTTGATGGCCGATAATAATGATTAAAGCCCTATTGAAGATTAGTTTGTAATAATTAGAACTTAATCATAAACTATATATAACTTAATTTAACTCAATTAGACTGATAATTTCTAAATTAATATAAAAACTATCCTTAATTTGACAATATTGAAGAATATTGAATTTATCATCAGGCAAGTTAATCCATAATTTTATTTATACAAGCTTTATTGAGAGTTTTTTTTAGTAAAATGTTATTTAAATTGTAAATTGACAACAAAAAGGCTTTTGGAATTAGTAAACAATTTTGTTTTATTATTAAAAAAATAGACAAATATTTATTTAGTTAAACAATTAAATTTTTTATTCACGTATCAAATTATTTAGAGCTTAATTTGAAGTAGTAAAATGTACTTCTCTTGTACCTTACTTAACATGCCGTTAACATGGCGACCCACTGCCTTAGTTTTTTGTTGGGGCAGGTCACTTAGGATCCACAGCATCCACCACCCGCCATGTGTGGCACGCTTTGCGGAAACTGTTGCTGCAGCTGTTACCATAGCCGTTATAAAGTAACGGTACCGCATCCAGTCAGAGTCCAGTACGCTGGCAGCCTCGCGTGGCAACGGTATTCGAGTGACAACGTTATCTTTAGGATATAACAGAAAATGTGACGGGAACTTGGCGGGACTGTGCGTATTAGTTTATTGTTTATTTTTATTGAAATTAAAAAGTGGCCAACAAAATAAATGAGATTAGTTTTAAAACAGAAGCAGTGATGGGAGGTATATACCAAGGACATTTTAGTCATTAAAAAGGAATTTTTATTATTATTAATATATATATATATATATATATTATTATATTTAAGTTTGTGATTTAATTGTCTTAATCATAAAATCATTTAAAAACATTTTCAAAGCAATAGCTTAGAGTGTTTAAAATTTAAATTAATTAAAAGCCTGAATTTAAGCAGGTATCTTAAATATTTAATTATTTGTAGAAGCTTTCAAATTGAATTCACTTCTTCTTGTTTATAATAAATCTATAATAATATTAATTTATTAAATTGTTCCTTTTTCTCACTTCTTTTATATTCTCAAAGCAAAAACGTGTCCTTCCCATCACTAGTGCTATAAGTGTCCTGAAATCAAGTAGACTCAATCATTAATAATCAGTAAGCAGCTATGACCAGTGGCTGAGTGCATCACGTAAAAATGTCTTCCGGGGAGTGGGACCTGCGTGCGCTGAAGGCGCTCGAGGAAGAGGAGCAGCGCGAGTTCCTGGCTCTCAGCCAGAAGAATCTCTTCGACCCGCTGCCCAATCCCACCTCCGAGACGGCCCCCACTGGGAAGCCCACGCTCACCTACGCCCAGCTACATCCGCATCTGCTGAAGCTCCCGACGATCGACGAATGCCAGCTGATGGCCGTCAAGCAGCAGAGGTCAGCCGGCTTGCGGTTCAGTCGCGCCCTGTCCCTCTCCGCCCATTCGCTTTCCTCGCGAACGGGAAGCGCCATTGCTGGCGGAAGTAGTAGCGGACTTGGCTTTGGGCGGAAGCTCAAGGCCCGCTTGGTAGGGGCCAAGTCCAGTGGTTCCCTGTCGCCTGGACGCCACTCGCACAGCTACAGTGTGTCCCCGGTGTATACGCCGCCGCCCATGAGACGATGTGCCACACTGCATCATACACAGCCAGTGCGCAAGGCCTTCAAGAACCTCCAGCAGCTGCAGGAGCGGAAGCGGCAGGCGGCGGGCAGTCACCTTCAGCGGATCGCTGGCACAGGAAAGACCTACTGGAAGTATGGAGCAAACTCCACTGCGGCCTCGATAGTGGGACAACGTGCCCGTCAGAAGCAACAGCTCGAACTGGAGTCCAATGGTTCCGATGAGGTCAACTCAGAGCCTCAAGAAGTCTCGGAGGCTGAGACCGGTTCCTGCAGTGTGCCGCTGCCCTCAAAGGACACCAATGAAATCCTTCGCCTGATGCTCAGTGCGGCCAGCTCGGCAGTCACTGTGACGCCCACGGCAGCGGCAGTTGGCAACGGAGCAACTGGTGGCGCTCTCCCAATGCGGCGCTACCAGAATGTCAGCGATGTCGAGGAGGACGAAACTGTTGCGTACGAAGCTTTCCACCAGCAGCAACAGCAGCTGGCCTCTAAAAGCTTTGAGCGGAGTGCTGCTCTCTTGCGAGTGGGCAGCTTAACAGCGCAAGAGAGCGATAACAGTCCCCAAAACAGTCCCGGTCGCGACATGCAATCCACAACGACGGGGGGCCGGCGGATGTTCAAATCCTCCTCCTTGGATTGGCCCGGGGAAGCACACCAGCAGCAGCAGCAGCATCCGCAGCAATCCCAGCAGCAGCAGCAGCAACATCAGAGCCTCCAGCTTCAACAGACCGCAAATCAGCTCGAGTTGGTCGAACAGCAGACAAAGGAGGCTCGTTACCGGCAGCGAGAACACTGGGACCTGGAGCACGTCCATTTCCACCAGGACGGACTCGGACACCTGCCCACCGGCGCTACGGTTATAGACGACGAACTGGAGCAGCATATCAAGCACTGTTCGTGCTCCTGCAATCACATGGGCTATGGCAACTCAATGGATTATCAGGTGGGTGGAGGAGGAAATTTAAATATATATTAAAAATACATTAGGCTTCCAGGAGTTTTTCGGAACTTTCAGGTATATTTTCTTGCTTTTGTATCAAATATTTCGCTCTGTGTGCCTGCTAAAAGCCAAAAGCTCCTTCAACAAAGTTCGCATTCTTTCACAAATGATTCTACCGTGTAATTTTAATTGCTTCAACTATTTCTGCACTGCGGGTGTCCGGCTGTTTCCGCCCTGAGCCCTCTCACCGGCCATTACTTTCCACCTTCTAATGCACTGAACCAGGCCAACACACGCGTTTTACCCAAACTCATTATCAGCAAGGCTTTTTCCGGACTCACGGCTAGATTGGCCCTGGCAGATTGCCGCCTGGAGATCGCCTAGAGCACTGGCTTGGCTCTCCCTCTGCCTAGTGCTCTCCATTGTCTGACGAGTGGCCCGCAGGATGGGGCAAACTTTTAAACTAAATTGAATACTCCTTTGGATCCAACAATGAGGCCGTCCAGCTCAAGCACTGTCCCGGGTCTCTCTCCAGCCCCCTCACATCGTTATTGTCTGTAATTGTTAAGGCGATTTCAAGTTTAATAGGTGCCATTTCAAGTACAGCTAGAGAGTCACTCCTCTGACCCCAGATAAAGTCTTTTGTTTTACTGTGGCGTTGCACATAGCTGCACTCTGTGCAAGGGCCCCAGGGTCCTGCGTGCAACACGCAGAAATAAACTGGCACGAGCAAATATTTTCCCCAGTAAATATTCAGTCAGTTGTCCCAAGAGAGCAACATTCTATACCAAAGGATACTTTTGAAATGCTTTCGGGTATTAAAATGGTGGTGTCTTTGCCAGCAAACCAAAAATATCTAGCATTTGTGTGTGCTTTCTAAAAATGGTGACTAGGAATTTAAGGCAACAAAGTGTTCCTGTTTGATTTAACAAATGAAAGAAATAAATAGGAAACTTCATTAGGAAATGGAAATGTTATCTTTTAAATGTAAATCCCACCTGATTATTCTTCTATAAAAATAATGAAAGACTCATCTTTATGACAATATTTCTAATTAATAAGGATATTTAACTTCCATTTAATTACAACTTTATAGGAGATTGTTGTACAGCATATAGATAATTCTACGACAAGTGCGATATTGCGTTTGGGAGTGCATTACTAATAGCGTTACTAACATACAGGGTTTAAGTCTAAAACGATCGAACATCCATGGGGGTCATGCGTCTAAGGGCTGGGGAAGAAGGCCTGATCCTTCCCATCCAATCACTGCAGCGTGCTCTGGGGCGGTGTGAGGGGCGTCCAGGTGTCGGCACTTACGGTGGCTGCTCCGGTTACCACAGCGGTGGGCAGTACAGCTCCAGACACAGCTCCCCGCTCCACCGAGTGGTCCAGCGTTGGTGTCTCGATCTTGATGTCATTATGGGCTATCTTCAGGCCGGAACTGGCACACTCCAAAGTGACAATCGAGCTCTGTTCATCGCTCGGCTTGTACATGGCGGCCTGCGGATCGTCCAGTGTCTTCGAAACGTCTACAGGCTCCAGGGGGTGGGCGGCGTAACTGTAAGGCGGGTGGCGGGATTCATTGATAGCTACGTTAGCGGTAAGAGCGCACAGTTCCCCACCAAAGTAACCTACCCGATCTCCAGGGGAATGTACTCCGGCTGGTAGTAAGCGGCCGCTGCATTCTGGTACAGACCGTACTCTGCCCCAGAACCGTTGTGCCATCCACTGGCGGGATAACTCAAGGCCGAGGGAGCATTAAGCACAGCATTCGTGTACAGCTGATGGGTGGGTGAGGTTGGCGTGGGATGATACACCTGGTGCGCTGCAGCTCCATACGCAGCCTGAGGAGATCCCGACGCTCCTACACCGGCTCCAACACCCACTCCTGTGCCATAGATGTCCGTCTGGGCCATGTTGTACTGGTGACTGTGCGGCGTCAGGTGGTGGATGGTATAGCTGGGCGAGGAGGTTGTATAGCTGGGTGAACCATTCGTGGGAGACGGAGAGTTGTGGGAGGCTGATGAAAGGGAAGAGAAGGAGTTAATAAGTGCTATTTTTTTAGCGGTTTAAACCACTTGACGTTGTCATTAATTAATCAATTAAATTATGTTCATATTTCAGTTGATAATTTACCAATTAAAACTATATATCACTACCGACTATATAGCCACGAGTTGTCGGAGCTATAGCAAAGCTTTCACCAGTTAATGGATAATAAATAAACTTATATAGAGCTTTAATGAGTTGTGGAAAGTTGAGAGGGGTTAATATGTGGGGTTTTTTATGTGGCCTTACTCCTCTTGGGGGTTGTCATTAATGAAACAATAAAATTTCATGAATTTATCAGTACGTATTAATAACTAATATAGGGTTTAAGTTAACACCACTCACAGATATTGCGGCCACTGCACACATTCATGGGCATTGGTCCTGGCACACTGGTGGCATTCCAGTAGTTTCCATTGCTCTGCCAGCTGCTGGGATACGAGAACACCGAGGCCGTAGGACTGGCCTCCACCGGCATAAAGCCGGACTGCGAGTAGGAACTGCTGAAGCAGCCGGCGCTGGCTGTGGATCCAATGCCGCCCGTGCTGCCGCTGCTGCTGCTCACACTGGTGCTCACCGAACCCGTCGACGAGGAGTGCAGGCTGGTCGGTGTCTGCGGTGCCGAAGGCGGTTGCGGTGATGTGGAGGAGGCATTGCCCACACTTCCATTGGAACCCGACCCGGAGACCACTCTTGGCCGGCTGTAAGGAGTGCTGCGTGTAGGAGCCGCACTACGTCCAGAAAGCGAACGTCCATAACGATCACAAGTGGCACTCGAAGATGAACCCACTGACGCGGCGGAGGATACGCTGGGACAGGAACCCACCAGGCCATGACTCTGCGCAATGGGTAGCGGTGGAGGAGCGGCCACTGCAGCAGCAGCAGCGGTGGTGTAGTGCGTGGGCGGAGGTATAAGCCAGCCATAGTGGGTGTCATGTGGATAAAGCGTGTCCGGTCGCTCCTTGGCATCGAGGAAGGCCTTTGCAAAAGGATTGTATTTGATCTTGAGCGAGGTGACCTCCTCGTTTTGGTAGGCTGTCACCGCAATGAACTGTGTTTCTGGAAAGGGATAGGTCACCACATGCCGCTGCTCGGAACCCACGCGCACCAGATGCACCCTCGGTTCATATTTGTGCAGAGAGTTGAGCATTATCTGCAAGGGAATTGGTTGGGGTTATAAGAGGTTTCTTGGGTTGGGGGACGAGTCTCACCTGTCCATTGCCATTGGTCTTGTTGGTGAGCTTAACTTTGGCAAAGGAAATGGGTTCCTTCATCCAATGGGCTCCGAAATTTGGAGATTCGGGATGTACATAGATGGGATTTGAGGGAGGAACCTCAGCTTTGCCACCAGGGACCTGGAAGGATAATGAAACAAGAATTATAAAGGGAACTCTGAAGAGGAAAATCTATATATTCATTGTTATATTTTATTTAATAGAATTTATAGAATTTATTCTTGCATCTTATTCGTATAAATCCTAGTTGTCTCCTTAGTTATTAGACTTACCCACTCCCCGTTGACGTACTTCCATCGGTGTGTGTCCACCTGGACAAACTCCAGCAGCACCGTATACATGGCAGCGGGATCCAGACCTGAGGCACTGATCTTCACCACGGGAAACATGCGCCTGAAAGGTAATGACAAAAAGAGAACGGGGATCGCAATTAGCAATTGTAACTGTTATATAACAGTCGCCTTGCATCCGTAATAGTGGACAAACAACAGACCCAAGAGCCATGGCTTGTTTGCCTTTGCCTTTGGCCCAGACCTAAGCCCCCCAAAACGCCGGAGTTCGGCTTGAAATGAAATCTGAATATGAAAAGAGCTCTTGGGGGCAAGGAGAAGGGTTGGAGGGTCTTGGGATTGCGTTGCGGGCAAATATTGGAACGCTCATGCGGGCTCTGTTCCACAACAATTAGTACAAGATGGCGGCTGTTGCCGGGCCACGCTAATTAGCACCTGACCAGGCCAGCAGACCCGACTCTCGGCCCGGTTCCAAGTTCTAAACGCGCGTTTCGCGCACACACACACACACATACACTCCATACATATGCCCGTAAATTGGTAAATATTTTTAGTTATTTCAACAAATGCTCGCATGTAAATAAATACACGTACAAACGTAGATGTGCACTCAAAGAAAAATATAGAAAATTCGATCAATTTTGGGCTTGGTTCGTGGAGGAAAAATATTTTTAAAATTTTAGATATACTACAGTTTCTAAAATAAAAATATTTTTAGTGATCTATAAATTATTGTCGTTTATATTTTATATTAAAACTTGAAATTCAACTTTTTTTCTCAATAAATAAGACTTGAAATAGTTTTTAATTAGCTTTAATTACAATATTTACACAAGTTTTCGTTCTAATCGCATTTAAATATTTACCCGAGTTATATATTATTTTGCCCGAGTGTATTTATCTTTTGGCTGAACTGGAGAAACGTTAACGCTTCATTATGACCTGCCAACGATGAGCAGCGAGATGAAAAACATGGAAAAGCAATGCAGCAAAAAAAACAAAAGCGCAAAACCTCATTGCCAATTTGCATAGGAAAACAAAATGCGCCGCCATCGCCATTTAACACATTCGAATTTCAAAGTGAAACCACCCCTCCTTCCCTCCGCCAGAAAATCCGTCGACTCACTTACCTGCCATTCTTGGTGACGATCATCTCATTGGTGAGATTCTGGAAGCGCAGCCACAGCTCCCGGTCGTCTAGGGAGACGCGCAGGTTACGATCCAGTTCGCTGGGGCTGCTGGCACCACCCACAACCCGATGGCCGCCATTGCCGGAGGCGCTGACACTGCCGCCCGCAGCCACCGCCACCACGCCACCCAATCCGTGGCCATGTCCGTGTCCGTGTCCATTGTGGGTCACATGCTGCGGCGAGCCACTGCCTCCGTTGGCAGCGCCAGCTCCAGCTCCACCTCCTCCTCCGCCGCCCGACACATTGCCACTGAGTCCGGTTGTTGGATCCACGGCGGACAAGATGTGCGATGTGGTCATGTCAGCTGCAATGCGCAGAAAGGAATGAAATTGAAATTATTTATTAACGAATTTTAATTTATTAATGAAATAAAAGTTTTCATTTTCGAAGATTTTTTAAATATTTTCAAGGGGATATATAGTTTTTATCAAATAAAATAAATTGAAAGAATCATTTTAAATAAGTTAAATATAATTTTATCTCTGTTAATGATTATTGACAGGAATGGTATAGCTTTTTTGTTAACTAAACAAGTTTTTTATGATGGTCTTAGCACCCATTTTGTTGGCACAGTGTTCTAAGAATCTGAAGGAATTTTTGAACAGCATTTATTGACTTTTAATAATTATTAAAAACTATTTAGCAATAAGTACCCATAGCTTAGATTTCTGTATTTTTTATCCTCAAAATATTACCTATAAAAACTATCTACTAATAAATACCCTTAGCTTAGATTTCTATATTTTTTAAGCTGAGAATATTAGAAGGGATATTTACCTAAAAATAACTATCTTCTAAATAATACTTTGATTAAGTTTCTGATTGTTTTCTGGACAAAAAGTAAACACTTCCTTTATCCTGCTCATCTTTAGTTTACTTAAATATAATTTCCTTGCCGCTTAAATTTTTTAAAAAACTTATTTTTTGGGGTAATCACGGCCGTGACCAGTGTGCCTTGGCATTACATCAAAGCAATTTCATCCGACTGGTCAAAGAAGTGTCGGCTTTATGCATTTACAACACTGTCCCAGGAGCATTAGAAGAATGCTCGTCCAGCACTCTTGTCGGCTTTTAATTATATTGCACACTTTAGCCATGCCTGGGATCTTGTCTGCGATTGGGATTGGTATTGGGATTGAGGCAGAGACCGAAGCTGAGGCTGAGAGTCTGGCTCTGCGTCTGAGTCGGCTGAGATGCTGGCTGGCCATAAACAACGGGCACCCTTTTTATTTATGGCCCCGGCAACAAACACCTCTGTTTTCTCTGGGTTTTGCGTCGGGGTCGGGCCAGGGTCACATGGATGCCGTTGCGATGCCGAAACCCCTTTAGATGTGCCGGTTATGGATGATGTCTAAATTCTGGAGCCCCTGCCGCCATCACGTTGAAAGTGTTTCTCGCAATGTTTTGTAATCATAAATTAACAAAATGTATTAATTGTTTTGTTTGTTTTTATTGGGCCACGAATTGGAGGCCAAGTGCCGCCGTCTCTAGGATTTCCTTCTCTCTTTTTGTTTTTTATGGTTACCCCAACATACCTTCAGCTGATTGTTCTTGCTTCTTGGATCCAATTTTGATTTATGGGAAATCTCGGTGCCCATCTTCCATCATAAAAGATGGCCATAACCGAATGTGGTTCGGTGTCCTTCTTATTTGTCAACCATTTAATTTGATGGTGTCAAGCGAACAGGTTTCTATGGGGTTCTAGGTGAGACTGTAACCATATAAAATTGCTACAACAATCAATCAGCAAAAGTGTGTTCTCTAGGGAGGAATCCAGTTGAAAGAGCAAATCAATCAAGTCTAGAGAGGTATTAAAACATTAGAAATTTCATTTAGAAATTATTTAAAACAGCCTTAATGGTACTCCTATTTACTTTGCATAAATTACATCAAATAATAAAACTTCTTGGTTTAATATTTGTTTCTTCAAAATATTATTTGTCTAATATACTGAGACATTAGCTTACACATTTATCCTTTAATCTTTTCCGTTTTCTTAGCAGCCAATTAAAAGTTTCCCACATCATATTTATTTCAATCAGTTGACTTTCAAAGTTTAACCATGCTAACCCTTTCAAGATCCAAGTCGAAGGCAGTTTATGTATGTTCAAAGGTTTCCGTTTTCCCGTTTTCCCAGCTTCCCGCCGCATTATCCTAATTTTCACGCAATTCTTGGCGGGGTTTTTCTCATGTCCCCAATAGACGACACCATAAAAATTCACTCTTCATGACAGTGCCGCTCATGGGCACAGCTCGGCACGGCGTGTTTGTGTTCCACATCGATCCGCTCCACCACCACTCCCGGCAGCTCAGTGTCCCAGCTTCGGCTCCATCACTAAGCTTAATGAAAAGCTGTTTTTGTATGTTGTCTCCTCAGCCGAGGGCGCGTGTGTGTGCCCGCTTCTACGGGTATATACATATAGTATAGTATACTTTGACTTTTGATGGCAGCCATGACGGGTTTGGGGTTTGCATTGGACTCTTTCCCCATCCGCCTCGTTGTTGTCTTTGTTGATTTTTGAATCATTTCGTGACTTTGATATTTACCCAGACGCTTTGAGAGGGATTTTTTTTCTTCTTCTTATTTTTATTTTTTTTTTCGTATGAAAAATGCGCGCTATTCGAAATCGAACCGAACCTTTTGTAATATGGCGCTTATGAACTCAAATAGAAGTACACAAAGTACATGCGAACACGTACTAATGGTTGCGAATGGAAAAATATTGAGGGATTTAGAGATACTATATATTTAGATTTTTTTTTTACGTAGAAGGTAGAGGAGATGTTGCTTTAATTTATTTTTAAAGTAGCTTGATGGCATTTCATTAGGCTTAAATATGCTTTAATTGGATGCACACTAAATAGACTTTCATCTCTTTTATTTGCGGCATTTTAAACTGTTATTTAAATAACTATACTTTGTGTTAAATGAGTGAACTCAAATGTGCAATTTACCAGAATAAATGGAGCACTTGCTATTCTTTTTTACTCTTTAACCCCTTTTTATATTACGAAATTAAATTAATATAGACAAATAATCAAATATATGTGGCATACTTAGTTTCCTTTTTAAATTAATACTTATTATCTGTTTTTAAAAACCGAAACAAACAAAAAACAATATATATATGGCACATTTAATTTGCTGTTTATATTAACACTTGTAGCCTCTTTTTTAAATACCGAAAATAAATTAATAGATTTAAATAATCAAATATATTTAAGTTGTATATTTTTTTTAATTCCCTACTTTATTTATTCCCTTGTTAAATTGGATGTGATAAAGCAACGACCGCAAATTCCAGGCTTGGCACGTGTATTATTATTATTATTGATTCGTAAAGTATATCGATTTCTGGGCCATACTTCGCACTTTGCTCAAAAGGATTATATTTCGCACCTGCTCAGGATGCTAGCGGGTGGTGGCTTCGATGACAACTCGTGGTGGTAGCCCCTCGGAGGCGATTAAAATGAATTTGCTAAATTTCACACACCACTTCGCATGAAAATAAACCAAATTTAGATTTTCTGGCACTGCAGAGGCGTAAGCAGTTTCTGAGGCATACAAAATTAAGGCAGGGATTCACAGTTATTTCTCCACCTCCTCCGTGACCTTTGTCACCTTAAAATTTAGCTCCTTGATAATATAGTTAAGGGACTACTGCTACTCCCAGGGGGGTGGGTGAGCCTGATTGTCACACTTTTGTTTTCTGCACTGCACGGCACAGTGATAGGCGCACTTTATGAGGGGCATACTAAAATTTTGTACAAACTGTAATTAATTAGTAAGCATTTGTCAAGTACTAAACGATATATGCGGGGGCGGTGGCGGGGACGGGGTGCCTTCGGTTCGTTTATGGGAATCTTTGATTTGCATTTAATAGGATAATTTTCACATGCGTCGTAATTGGCCGATCTAAGTCGCTTGCTGTTTTTTGGCAATCCATGTCTACGTTGAAATTCTTATGTCCCCACTAATTTGCGTGTGAACGTGTGCCACGCCCACGGCCGCCAGAGATATAGCTCCTCCCGCCTCCTCCCCTTACCAGCTGCTGCTGGTGCTGCTGCTGTTTTATGTCATTAGAGGTATTATTAGGATCGTTAATGGGGGCTTTTGTCACTTGCCCGTTGGATTTCGGGCCGCCCGTCAACACTTCTTTCATTTTTTTTTGGAAGAGTGTCAAAAAGTGTCTGTTTGGTGGTTGTGTTTGGATTCGGCATTTGATTTTCACACGTTCGTTTAAATAGGTTTGCCAATTTGCTATTTGATTACGTTTATGGTCATATGTCACACGGGAATATAAACACTGACATTTTATGGGGCTCTTGATTCGGAGAATCGAATATAAGGTAATATGCCGGGCACTTTGAGAGCCATCTGTTTGGGGGTCAAGTTTGGGATTTCATCAGTATTCAGAGTCCTGATTTGGAATTGGGGATAAGGGGTTAAGGTTGAAAGATATGAGAATGTTGTAGAACATTTTAGGTTTTAATTGTTTTAACTATATTTTGTGTCTTATTTTAGATCTATTTTCCAAAGCCGTTTCCTGTTATGGAGTTCCTTAAGTTCAGTAAATATGTAAAAGTCATATTCTTTTACAAAACGAATTAAAAATTATAAATCAAGATATTTTAAAGTTTTATTTCTGATTCAGTGCCCCTGTTTTGGAAGACTCCACTAATAGATATGACTAGATCAGAGAGAAATACACTTTATAGGGTTAAAAATCTTAAAAATATATATCATTTTAAGTCAAAATTTTACAAGAAAACATTATTCAAATTTAATTTTGTATTAGAATAACAAGGTTTATTTTGTGGTTAGTAGTTTATAGATTACAACTTTCTCATATACACTTTTTTAAATATATTTAAAGTATTCTAAGTAGCCCCTATCTTTTATTTTATTTTATAAAATAATTTAGTTTTCAGAATAACTCTTACAGAAAACAAACTCAAATACCCTAAGAGCTTAGACTCTCACCACTTTAAACTTACATATTTGGAAACCTTTTCCCCGCCGCAATTCGGCGTTCTCGATATAATCCAGTGGAAGAGCTCCTCGTGGTCTCAGCTTCAATTAGTTTTCAGATTTCAGTTAAGCTTAAAACACTCCCAAAGCCCGCACTTTTACGTTCACAACTGTCTCAAAGGATCACTTTAATTGGTCGCGGATCTGAGAACAATTCCACTCTCGAATGGATGAGATTTTCAAGGTGCGAAGAGGAAGCGCGTGAGTTTATCCCTTGTGTCTCGTTTCGCTTTTTGAGTTTTTCGATTCGATTCGAGTTTTCCGTCGAGTTGTGCGCTGCCGCCGATCGTGTGTTTGCGTTGCCACCGTTCCCGAGCTAATGATCGACGATCGGTGCTAATTTCTTCAACCATCACAAGCCGCGCTTTCGGTGCCTCTATTCCTCGTCTTTGGTCAGTTGTTGTTGTCCCTGATGGCCGGCTAGAGTAACTGGTTTCCGCTCCTATGGCCGTCTCGCTCTGGCCCGCCCGGTGATCGGTCAGGCCAGGTGAGGCCACGCCCTCTAACAGGTAAGAGCGGCGTCAAGGCATCTCTCTCCCTCTCGTGAGGTCCCTATGCAACGCGGCCATTGCGCCAAGCAACAGCACCGGCGGCCACAGGTAAGAAGCCTTGGACGGGGGCTTTTCAGGTGGGTTGGATAGCTCAGGGCGAGCACACCTAGCGGGATTGGAAACTGGAGTCCTGTGGCTGTGGTCACCCTTTTAGTCCCCGTGGATAATCGTTCAAACTTTGCATGCGCCAAAAATTAAGTGAAACGTGTTTCCGCTGAGCACAAACAATGCACGGAGAAAAAGTATCGTTTACTAAATGGTGAAAATATTGAAAAAAGAAAGGAAAAGCGTTTTATAATTTAAAAATTAATGATGCATTACTGATTATAAAAGAGAGGTTGCTGAAAAATAATTAAAAGAGTTGAAATATTATGCAAATTATTCTTAAAACCTCAAACAATATAGAAAATCTTCCTAAGCCATCATGACAAAGCATTCCATTTGATCCCATTTTGACTTGTGAATATAGTATTTAAATGATTTTCTCTCCGTGTGGCTAAAGTCTGGAGTCACTGTCCATCGCAGAATGGCTTTGATTTGTTTAGACGCTCGTTTCGTGATTTGTGTGCGCAACCAATTAAAACTTTGTATTTTTTTCCACGGGGTCTCTGTTTGTAGTTCAAACGGGTTTGCCGTTCCAACACTCTTTCCTTTTTTTACATTTTTTTTTCTGGTTAAATTTTCAGCTGAATTTCGAGTTGTAAACATTTGACGACTGCGTACGTCAATTTGTGTATGTGGCCAAAATATGAGTTGGCTCGGGGCGGAGTTGCTGGGCTTTTTTTTTTTGGGGCGGTGCGTGACAGGTTTCGGTCAGACGAGATTCGCCATCAAAATTAGAACGATGAATGGCTGAAAGTCTCGTTTATATAGTATAGTTAAGTCATAGAAGACTGTACTTTGAATGAAATCATGAAATAATACAAGAAATCTGAAATTTAAATGCATTTTTGGGGGTCGAATATTATTTATTGATTTAAAATATAACTTAGCTACAGAATATGGATTTAGTTTATAGATTTTTATACAAAATATAACAAAGAAATATAGAAATATAGTAAAGCCCAGAATACAGTTCTTAATATAACAGGAATTGTTTCTGTTTAAATAATAATAATACTGTTGTATTCCAGACTTAACTATATTTCAATATTTTAATAAATATTTTTGTTATTTTATTTTCCTTCACCTCTATTTAAGATAACTCTAATTAGAATAGTTTATAGACCCTTAAATAAACTAAAAACGAACATCTAAAAATATATTTATTATTTGTTTCGTTATTGCCTCAATTTGGGTGCTAATTTCAGAGGATATTATATAAAGCAAATAGCTGTGGCTTAGCCTAAAATATATATCATAAGTTGCTTTGAAAGTTTACTGGGGGATATTTAAAACATATTTATGAGCCTGAATGCGGCAACTATTTATAGCTTTTTCATGATTTTTGAGATCACGCGCATCTTGCAGCGACTTCTCTTTTTATTTTGATTTTTTAAAGTCTGCTTCTTCGTCAATGGATCGACTTTATCGGGAGGGGGAGCTGGGAACACGCTCGATGGAGTTGGGCTATTCTATGGCGCTGAAAGACAAACACCGGCCAACGATGGCCATTAGTTTAAGGTCTGTGCTACAACAACGGCAACAACTCGACGGGGTAAATGAGAAAAATCAACAGAGTAGGGAACTCAATAAAATGCCCGCTCATGAAAATGGAGGGGAGGCCGAGACGGAGGCTGTGCTGCGAGCTGGCTAATGGAGAAATGTATCTGGCGGATAGACAAGTGAATCGAATGGATCGCCATGTAGTTGTCGCACCCGTGACGAATGTCTGGCTACCTATATCCCAGGGTTTGGTCATTCATTAAAGGTGCCGCTCGATTTCATTAAGAATCCGTTCGGAGGAGTACGCGGAAATGCAGGCCAACCTACCGATAGACACGATCAACCCTTTCGCTGGGAGCGTCCTTGCCCTAAATATTCACCGCACGGCATTGTAGCCGCTTTATGGCCAATCCTTTCTGCTTGTGTGTTTGCAAACAATTCGATTTTATGGCCGCCTAAGCGAATTTCCCCGCCTCAATTAGGCTGAGGTTGTAAACTCATAAAGCAAACACGCGAGAGTGCGAACGCCGAGCAGGCAGCCGGCAAAAAAAAAAAAGGAGGAAAAAAGGAAAACATAACGGAGGGTAAATGGGGCAGGACAGCCTCGGTTTGGTTTGCACAGGATGCGCACGCAAATATCCTTTTTGGGCGCAATTAGCCGTCGGGAAAATCCCAGTGCCGATATCATCGAACCCAGAGCACACGCACACCCAGCGATCGAGTTCGTGTCCGAAGTCTTTCGTTCGCCATTCTTGGCTTTCCGCCCATAGGTTCGCCCCTTTCTAGTCTGCTCTGTTTGCTCAAAACCAGAGATCCGATGCCGGAGACCGGAGACCGGAGACCTGAGATCGTAGACCCAAAACCCAGACACATTTACATAATGCTCGTTTTCTGCTGTTTTGCGCCGCGCTTAAGTATGTTTGCCCGGCCCGATCTCTCTCTCACTGTTTGCTCTTGACCATCTTCACCATCTTGGCCATCTCTTTGCCATCTTGGCCTGTTTGCCGCTCGTCTACTTCTCGCCCAGGATTCCTGATTTCCTGGAATCAAGCACAGCTTTTGAGCTTGAAAATGGCGTGAGTCAGCAAACAAGACTTGGGAAAGCCAAATGAAGACCACTTTAAGCCAATGTTGACTTGGCTACAAGAATAAACTGTTGCAATAAGTTGCATAATTTCACAAGCTTCTTGGTTTTCACTTTACAGATTTAGGTGCAGAAATTTGTATATGGCAAAGGAAGGCCTGATGGTCATATTTCTTATAGGTTTTAGTGCAAATTTCTAGTTTAAAAATGTATAAATGATCACAAGATATTAACTTATTCTAAGAGCTAGAAGTATCACAAAAATCCGACGGCAAGATCTACCAGAGATCTTTTAAAGCCCAGACCTTGGACTGTTGCAAAAAGTCTGCTCCTTCTCCGAGCAGGTCGCCACTACTTGGGACTTTATAATCCAGGTCGTTTAATGGGCAGAAGAAGAAACCTTTGGCGGAGCACCTACCTATTTAGTTTGTGAAGTTAAATTTATATTTAAACATTAACAAAGTGTATCAACTAATACAGTAGCCTTATTCTGCGATTATGTGAGGCAACGAAGCCATCTGGGTCTGGATTGGAAGAGAAGAACCGGGACCAGGTTTTCCTACTCTCTTTAAATAATTCAAGATGCTGGGGACTTGGCGCCACAAGAGTTTGGTGACCACCAGTACGGTGGCCAGTAGGCCGGTAAATGCCCAGCCAACTCGTCCAGACCTTAGCAGTTTTTCCTCCGCCTTGTACAAGTACATATAAAAATTTGTCAATTTAGATGTTGGGTGTGCCCAGAACTTCAGTGGTGGAATCTCTGACCAAAGGCGCAGACGCATTATCTCGCTCAAGGTGAACACATCCTGCTTGCTGTCCAACTTGCGGAACTCTCCGTCTAGCACATGGTATAGTGTTAATGGCTCAAAGGCAGACATCCGTACTCGCAAGGGGGTATCTGTGGAGAGATCCCCAAAACCCAGGCTTACACTGCTCGTGATAGGCATGCGGTGAAGAACACCCTTGAGATTTAAGCAATCCGATTCGCGCTTTGAGCACAGCACCAACAGCCACTCGCCGCTATTGACTTGGTTCACATTGTCCTCATCGATTGCGGTAAGGGCTCGGTCTCCTTCAATGAAAAGCACCAGAAGAAAATTTAAGAAAAATGTTATATAACGAAAAAACATGTTTTAAAACGATCTCTTTTAGTTGGTTGATTTACGGATATTTTAGAGAGTTATAAGAAAATTATGGAAACAGGACAATAACACAAGAAAATGAAGAATCTTTGAGATGTTTAAGAGACAATTAATTTTACGAATGACAGAAAAACAAAAGAAAACAATGTGTAGAATATAAAATAATTTCAAAGATTTAAAATGGATAACTAAGCCAAAAATGCATTTATTTCAATTCGGAAAACTGTTCTGAATTAGTTTTTATAAGGTTAACAAATCCTTATACTATGTTTAAAATTTTAAGAAATCAAAATTTTTGGCAATTTTTGAGATATTTGACCCCTTATCAAATTTTGAAAAAAATGCGGAAAAATTTTTTTCTTCCGGGCATGTCTAGAAATACTCGCCTGTTGATGCTGATCAGGAATATATATGATTTATGGGGTCGGAAATGACTTCTTCACTGTTTCACTAGCTTCTGGCCGAAGTTATAATACCCTTTAAGGGTATATAATAATAAAATATATAATTATTAATCAAATAAATACCTCAATACCTTAAAATTAAAATCATTATTTAGTTAATAATAAAATACATTACAAATAATAATATAAATACCCCAAAAGCTTACCAGTTAAATCACTATTTAGTTAAAATTGTTCATCACAATTCCATAAATAAAAATTTGGCAAAATGGAATTAATAATCCTTCTTATCTATAAGTACAGTTGGCACCATCGAACGCTGACAGGACATTAGCATAAGATGGCTATCAAGGCAACTCGAGAGCTGCTTCTGTTCTCGTACTCTCCTGTCTGAGTGTAAATAATTACCCGCAACAGGAATAATAACTGGTGGGCTGCGGAGGGGGAGTGGATGTGGGCTCCTCGAAGGAGGAACCGGTGGGAGGACCTGCTCTAATGACCACAATAAATTATTTTCATTTAGGGGCATTTAGCATAGAGAAAAAGCCGAGTGGCTGGTAAAGAAATAATTTATAGCTGTTGAAAACTTAACATGTTCATTTGGCCAACATGTGTGTCTGTGTGTGTGTTGGGAAATTGTTGGGGTATGTGTCAGTGTGTGTGGGCCCAATAATAATGGCGCTTGTTAAGGCTTATGAGTAAATGTTTGTGTGTGTGCGTGCGTGGGACAGCAAATGAAAGGACCTTGCCAAGCATTTGCCTGGGCATCCCACATCCCACACACAACACACAAAACCCCTCCCCAAACACCAAGGACAAGCCCCAACTATTTGGTATGTATTTCATGTGTGTGTGTGTGTGTGTGTGTGTGTGTGCGGTGTGTGGATACAATTGTTGCTGTTTCATATGGTCTCTGGCTGTGGCTGCTGCTGCTGCTGCCACCGACAGAAAAATTACAGTTGCATACACATTTGCCTGTGTTAAATTGTCCCACAACCAATACAAAGTGACCTTTTCATTTATTTTTATGATGCCCCAGCCTCCCCACAATGCCCCACAATGCCCATTTTCCCGCCCCATCAGCACATGTTACAGAGCCCCGGTCTCGGCCATAAAAAATAGTTCGCCCAATCCAACTTTCCTGCGGCAACAAATGTTGGTTACTTCGGCCGAAAGAGGATTCCTGGTTACTGGATAAAATGTATTTTGTTTTCTGTTATTTTTCTCTTTTTTTTTTTGGGGATTTTGAATTTGTTTATTCGAGTCTGGGCCTAATGGAAGGGAAATCTGCAGATGCCCATTCGGTTGCCATGTAATATTATATCTGTATCTGATGAAGGCTTTTTTTTTGATGGTGTTTATTGTGTGGTGTGGCATTTTTTCATTACCCTTTATATATGATATATCTAAAGCTTACCTTCCTGCTGTTATGATCTGCTTAGCTTAAACATTTTAATTGGCTTCTTGAGGAGTATTTTCCCGTGTGGCTGCCCGACTTAAACTTGAGCTTCAAACTTTTGTGGATATCTTTAGTAGGAAAAAGTTTCATATTTGCTGAGGAAGTTTGAAGAACTTGGTTCAAGTTTTAAATAGTTTCGTTGACATTGAACCATAAATTATATATTTTGGGTTATAAAAAGCCAATTTAAGTGAATTTAACTTAAACTAACTATTTAATTCCTTTAATATAAGTAGAATTTTTTGTATTCCCCTATTGATGTTTTGTAATCTATTTTTTTGTGACTGCCTGGGGCTTATCAATCTTGTGGCTCTTATGCTCTTCTGTATACCCTTGGCTTTTGGCTTCTTCTCGCTGCCAAGTTTGCTAAAGCTCTCGAAGTTGATTCTGCACTTCATTGGGAAACAAAACAAAATGTTGCAATTTAAGCTTTTACCCAGACTCTTCAGTTGGCGAACGAGTGCAGTGCACTTGGCCTGCAGGGGTGATGATACACGAAAATTGAATATACAGTACACTGAGCGAAAGGAGAAGCAATAAATAAAGAATATATTTGAATAAGAAAGCAGGAAATGAAGAAATATTATGCAGAGTTTAAGAAGATTTCTATCTTTTGATTAAAAACTATTTATAATAATTATAAAAAACTATATTTCCTTATTCTGGGTAGATTTTTCTCTAGTGCTCTCGGTTCCAGCTCGTTATCGAAGGACACGAGTCCCGGAATATATCTGTTCACTGGCCTGGGGGCTGTTCGAGTGGCCCATCATTTATATGTTGCTTTTCCTGCCTTTGACTCAATCATCTGCTCGTTTGGAGGCAGCCGGAGCTCCATAATTTCCATTAGAAGCGCCCTGGGCCTGAACTATACAGAGTCCAGTCAAAGGCAGCTTCCGAACCAAATGCCTCCCAGTTTTGACCGCTTTGGCAGCCAACAATTCCGGCTATGCCAAACTGCAGTTTTAGCTGTTCGTTCAGTTCGTTTGTTTCGGTTTGGGTTTGGGTTTGGGTTACGGTTTGGGTTTACTGTGTTTTCCCAACAAACTCACACAAAGAGAAACCCAAAAACTTTCGCCTGCATAAATTTGATTTATTAATAAATTATACACTTCTCTCCGCAAAAATGAAATTCAATTCTATTTCCGTTTATTTACTTGCAGGTGAGTTCGGGCAGCGAGGCCAGCTGGAATCCGTGCTCTGAAATCTACGCAAAATTCAATTGCCAGTGTATGTATCTGGGCACTTACACATGTTTTCCGGTAAATTGATGTTTAAATCTAAAGCGAATTGGAGTGCCTCTGTTTGTGAAACAAACCATTGTAAATATATATGTATATATATGTATATATGTTTTTATAATTCCAACTAGCCTAAAAGCAGGTCATCGGAAAACAATTTTATTTTCACGAGCCACCTGCAGAAAAGTATGCAATGGCAAAGGAATATATGTATATATTCGTGTAGGCTCTTAAGCCGATTTACAAGGTGACGCTCGGTGGGACGTCTGCTATTTCGTTGTTTACTATTTTCTGGTAATTTTAAAATATTTTTCCATACTTTAACATCGTTTATAGGTGCTATATTTTGAATCTATAAGTTTTCTTAAGATCAAATTGTATGATTTTGTTAAAAGCAACCCATTATTGATAGTTTTTTGATAACTCTTAATTAATATATTTGTTTAATTTAATTTTATTACTTCGTACGTATATAATTACAGTTTAAATTTATTTAAAAACACGTTAAAAACTTGCAAGAATTTCTACTAGTTATTACCAACAGAACCACTTAAATTTATAAAACCCCTTTCATTCCCTGACCACTAACTCACTCTCAGTTGAAAGCAAAAAAGAAAGTCCTAACCATTATGTAGTTCGTAGGGAATTTCAGTCGTTATATCGTCTGCCAATCACTGAATTTAATGTCGATATTCAGATGGAGGTAGTGACAAGGCAGACACGGCTCAAAAGTCGAGCCATTGAGGGTTGGGGAGATGGCTCCAGGGAAGAAGGCAGCAAAATTTGAATAGGCCTCCGACTGTGAGGGTGCTGGGTGCCAGACAATATTTGCATAGCCAGAAGGAGGAGCTGGTGGAGAAAGTGCCGGAGAAAGTGCAGATGATTGCACTCACACATCGAGTTGACACTATTGGAAATACATTGCGTTTGCCTTGCTCTCGGGAGTCAAATGAGTTTTGCATAAACAAACATTGTCGACCAGTAGTAGTCCCTTGGTACCTTTTGGTAAATCAATTGGGGAAGGTATGGTCCAGGGTCTGGAACAGGAGATACCTTAGATATATGGTCAATCAAAAGTAATTTAGTATTCCTAAAGTTCTAATAATTCTGATATTATTTATATTACATTTATACTGAGGTTCTCTAAAAAATATCAATATTTTATAGTATTTATTATCTTTGAGGAATATATAGAGTTTAATAGGAGTTTTATAGGTTTTAAATTTCTGCCTTTCCGTGATTCCAAAGCAGGTAAAGCACACTATTACCTGCATTCTGCAATTACCGGGCATACAAATATTCAGCCAGGAGTGCAGGAGAACATAAAAAAAAAAAAAATCAGCTCAATGCTCTAGCTGGCAATGCATAATTAAGGCAAACAAGAAAAATGAGCAAGCCCTCGCCAGCCATTTCAGATTATTTTTTTTATGTGCCGTTTGCCACATTTTGCAGACTTCCTGCAGCAGCCGAGTTTGCTTCCGTTTTTCAAATTAAAATACGTTTAGCTTGGAGTACACGTACTCATTTATCATTTTATTATGGCCAAGGCAACAAGGATGGCATAAGGCGGAGAGGAGTTTTTCTCCATTCTGACCGTTTTGTTTTCTTGCGCACTCTCGAATATTACGTGCCGGCCAACGGGGCGCATGAGTAATGCGAGCACATTGTGCACACTAGCCTCGATTTTGGAATTGAAGTTTTGCCCTGTTGTCTGCCGACCTGTGTGTGTTGTGTTTGTGTTCCATGTTACGAGTTTTCTTATTACAGCAACCGTTCTGCAATGCGAATTTCGTTCAGCAGATTTCCATTAATGGTCACTAGCCACCTTCACTCCCATCCTTTGTTTTCAGCAGCAAATATGAGCAGGAAAAACTCTGGACAATGATAGCGAGAACGTACAGCAGCAATCAGGAGCTGCACCCAGGAGAAGTTTCTGGGTTTCTTTGAGTTATAAACAAGGAAAATATTATAAAAAGAAATTATTAGGTTGCCCAAGGAGGTTCGGTTCACTTGAAAACAAGACTGGGAAAGTTAAATACAATGAGTTTTCAGAATAAACAAAGGAAAGCTTGCAGTTAAATGTTTATATTGACTTTTAGTTGCATTAAGTTTGTGTTTAAATTATTTTAATTGAATTGAATATTCTAAAAATATATACAAATATTCTCGCAGTGTTGAGAACAACTAAATTCTGTTGCAATTTCATTTCGCTTGTCCTGCATCGGGCTCCCTCTTTTCTCAGGACTTGGTTTGTTTCACATTTATATTCATTTGTTTTCCGTTTTATTTACCCAGCTCAACCGCAGCAACAAACAACAGCTCGGCGTCCGGGTGTGTGCATGTGTATTTTAGGTGTATGTATAATTTCCACAGAAAGCCGAGGGGAAAATACCCGCATTAGAAATTTTTGGGGGGGAAGAAGCGACGCGAACCAAATTCATTCCCCAAGTTATCGCCGAATATATATATTTTTGTGGGGCTGCTGGCTAAAAAAAGAAGTTGAAACCCCAAACACGATGACCAAGTTTGTGGCCTCCAACTAATTAATTGGGTATTTGTTTGGCTTTCCTGGTCTGGGAATTGGGGCAATATATTTAAAGATATTCCTCTGAGGTCCCCCAAGGATCAGCTGGGGTGTTATCGCTTGGCTAGAATTTTAATTACATATTTTCCAGTTTGCTAGGAGTTGGTATTTCCGTTGAGGAAATGTTTATCCTTTTTTGATTTTACTATTTCCTTATATTTTTGGAAAACAAGAAACACATTGCCTTTAATTGAATTGTTTATTTCCCCAGCAAAAACTTTAATGATACTTTTACTCTTACTTCCAATTTTTCCAACTTTTTCCCCATTTATTTACCTTTAAGAGATCGAACACTTGCCAACTCACATTTCCACTCCAAACAAAGTTATTTGGGGAACTTCTTAAGCACCATCAAATACTGCATCCTTGTTCATTACTTCCCTCAACTTTCAAATGAGAAACTTTCGAGGGACAAAACCCGGACAGGCAGCAAAACTGTGCTTAAGATTTCCGCATCTGCCTTAGACAAGCGAAAGTATTGCTAATTGCAGTTTGTCCACAGGGAAGAAGCAACAAGCTGTCCAGAGGCACAATCCACCTCCTCCTCCTCCTCCTGGTATGGACAGTCCACCAAAAGCTCGACCACTGAAAAGTTGGATAAGTTACCGCTATAATGTGGCTAAAGTAGTAGTAGTCGGAGGCTGAAGGATCTCGCGTCGTTTTGGTGCAGGGTATTTAGATATTATAAGAGGTATAATGAGTTGGTAGAGGCTTTGTCGGGGGATATTAAATTGGGTAAATATATTTATAAAAATATTTTTTGGCATTGTTTTATTAAAAAGGAACTAAAAAAAGGTACTTTAAACTATATTTTTATGTATTTTATATTTATTTATTCACTTTCCAATCTAAACTAGGTCTGAAAACCATTAAAATTAGTATCAGGTATCTCCTAGTCCCTCGATTTTTTTTTTTTTTTTTTTTTGGGGAAAGGAAAACTCAGGGAAAAGTAGGAAAAGCAGCGGAATGGCAACAAAGAGTGCCGCCAGTAGCCGCCGGCTCCGGGGGAAAAAGAGCGTGCTTTGCCGTAAAAATGCTGTCGCTGTCCGGACTTTAGAGCATGAAAGGCGGACAGGGGTTTGGTTACGGTTACGGATCCGGGTCCGGGTCCGGGTCCGAGTCCGGGTCGCTTTAACCTTGCGGCTCCGCCTGTTCCGCCCGCTGTTGCTACTTTTTGTGACATTTTCGCAGAAGGTTTTTGCATTCGTGCAACTTTTTGTGCAGCTCTGCGTTTTATGGTGGCAACACAACACACAGATAGAAAAGGGGGCTGACGGGGGCTAAGGGGGCGTGTCAGCTGGCTGCCTTAAAGTTTGCGTGCCCGTTAATTTTGTTTGCGCTCGCGAAGAGTCTGAAAATTTATTCTAAGCTCTCGCCCGCTCTAATTTCTGTGGCCGGTACCGTGACTGGCGTGAGAACAGTGGAATTAGCTCTATTATTTAAATAAAATACGGAAAATATAATAATAATAAAATAAAATAGAGTGAATCAAAGTCTTTAAAATGTTTAGTGATTTATATTTTAACAGTTTTCCCAAAAAACAATGAACTGAACTTTTAATTAGTCCGAATAAAATCAGTTTTTACTGCTAGCTAAAAATTTTCTACTTAACAAAAGCAGTAATTTCATTTCTTTAGAGTAAATTTTTATTCCCCTTTGACTTTATAGTTTTTCCGCTAAAAACTTATTGGCTTAAAGTCACGGTGCATGGCTGAAATCGTGCGTGCGGGAAAGTTTCCCTCGACGCGTCGAAAAGTACGCAAATTATTAGGAAAGTTTTTCACATTTTTCACTGCTCCTCGGCTGGCAGGACTGAGTTGCTCACATTTGACAATTGCCCAATCCTCGTTGGTTGCCACATCTTGGGGCGACACGGTGTAAGTGGCAGGAGGACCTAAGTGCGCACAAAAATAGGTTAAATTATTAATGTGCCTCACTAGCCAGTGGTGCCTTGTGGCCCCCCAGGACACACACAGTCACAGGCTGGCCAAAGGCAGCAAACGTCAGGTTTGGGGGGACATCCTTCTGGTTCTAGATTCTGCACTGGAAAATTAAATAGTAAGGTATTGTTTAAGGTTTCGAGAAATATACAGTAACAAATTAGTAAACTTTTTCCTACTTTAAAATCAAATTAAACTGATCAAAGAGCTTGAGTTTGTCTTTAAATGTTAATTACTCTCGATATTTACTTCAGAAAAAAGGTCAAAAATCGTGCTTGGAAGTTTAAACTTGTTGATTTAAGCCTTCACTCCATTTCGCTTAGTGTGCCTTTCACGTTGCGACAATTTAATGTCCTGCTCTTGACATTCGGCCGGACCCGAGCCCGGACCCTGGCCTGCCCATCCGATTTAGGTGTGTCCGGCAGGGTGGTGACCCCTTCTTCGGCTTCCTTGTGGGGGAGGGCCTTGCAATTTGTCAGCTTTCCCCACTCGACCTCGCCATCGTCCTCTGTCCTGTGTTGCGGAAATTATTATTTTGTTTAATGATTTGTGCTTAGTTTCGTAATTGAGACTGGAAAAGGGATGCTGCAGGAGCAGAAGAGGTGCGGGAGAGATGGCTATGGACTGCTCTGCTCTTGACCCACAATGGAAAATGGGAAAAAATGAGAAAGTGGAAAACTATCGGGACGAAAAAAACCTTGCTGCTGTTGTTGTTCGACAAAACTCATTCCAGCGTGAAACGGCAAGCGAAGGGAAAAGATGAAAAATTTCTATTTATAAATTTTGTTTGGCATCGAAAATATTTTGAAACTGTCGCTCGGTCAGAAAGTTCATTGTCAATTGATTTCCCAGCCAAGCGGATCGAGAAAATATAAAACCGAAGGACCTCTAAAGTATTTCTCCGTTATTAATCGAAGGTATTTGGTTGCAGACCCGATGGGGAATTTGCTGACAGGAATTTTGTTGGCAAACTATAATCAAGTGGGAAGGGATTGTTGAAGGGAAATGTACAAATTGTATTTTGCATGGCATTTGGCAATGGCTGAGAACATTCCATTCATAAAGGCTGCCTTTAAGAAGGGAAGTATTAAGTCTAGCTGCATATTCCTGAAATATTAATTGGTGTAATTAAATTCTGTATGATTTCTCTCCTTCGTTGTGACTTATCTCTCTTAGAAATAAATTCTAATGAAACCTCATATTTGCTTCCATTAAATCATAGACCAACTTATGCTTAGTTATTTATTATAATTCCTTTTAGCATTGGTAATAAATTTAAATTATTGCCGCCTGGATTTATTCAATTCGCTTTCCGTTGCAAATTGATTTCTAACATTACCGGCAATTATTGACATTTAATAAATACAAATGCACGCAACTTTGATTGGGAAAGAGCCTTCAATTGAAATTGCCGATCATTGAGGCATTAAGTTGAAACGCATTTGGTCGAATAATTTAATTAAAAATTAAATGCAGCCATAAGCAACATTCAGAATCGTGCTGGCAAAAACCTTCGCTGTGGTTAAAGCCCATAGGAAAAAAAATAAGAGAAGAACAAGGGACTCAATTGAAATGCGCCCAATGCATAATTATTTTGTGTGGGCAGGCGTTGAAATCCATTTATCAGCGAACTATTATACGGCGAAATTCCATATTTTATGAAACAATATCCGATAGCCATGCATCTGTAGCTGGCAAATTAAATGTGGTTTCCAATTAAAACCGGAATGAATGTGACAGACAATTGCTGCCGGAACCAACGGCAAGTCGGAAAGGTTTTCCACAGAAGCGATTCGGGAAGCTGATTGAAAATGCCCTTTTTTTCGTCGAATGAGTCAGGAAGGAAAACATTTCGGCTCATATATATAATTATCAATTTATATTTGTCATTAAGATCCCTTGTAAAGGTGGGTGGAGGAATTAATCATTCAAAGGAGAGCTTTTCTGCATGGCGGATGATAGGCGGCTGTTTGGTTTTGCGTTGAACTCACCGCTTGACTGGCTGGCTGGCAGTAACCGCAGGATAAATAGTTGTGGCCGCGAGACCGAGTTGCCATTGCCAGTGCTGCGATGGGGTTAATGAGCTGGTTTCATATGGGGTTAAATAAAGCAAAAATATAACATAATTGTGGTAAGGATATATAACCAATTATTACAGAGAGTTGGTTGGTATTTATTATAATAAAACAAGAAAGGAAACTAACTTAGGGAAGCCGAAATCGCATATTAAAGCTATCATAACTTAGCCAAAAATGCATTAATTAGAATTCAGTAAGCATTTCTATGCTAGTTTTTAGTATGTTTAAAGCTCTGCATACTATATTTAAAATATAACAATTTTAAACCTATCTAAAAACGGAAATTATACTTAAATTTTATAAACTCAAAACTAGCTACAAAAGACAGCATATAAAAAATTCGTCAGCACTAGTGTGTTGGCTGCTCAAAGCCTGTTTACTCACTTAAGGTAACTTTCTTCGATCCGCCGCTTTGTCTGCGCATACCAAATGAAGCGGAAGAACTTCACGTGCCGCCATACAAATTGAAAATCAATGCCAGGAAGCTCAGAATCCAAGATGGCCTGGCCTGCCTCCTGGGTACTTCAACCCATTGAAGCCGCCGCCGCCGGGCGGCTGACCCATAAATCGCCGCTCGAGTTCTGAAGTGGCCATCAAGGCCTTTTTCTGGGCTCGCCATCTCCAATTGGTCGGCAATATTCACCAAACAACAGACCATCGTAGTTGTTGTTGGGGCCTGAAATGGCAGGATAATAAGAATGGTATCGGCCGCACCATTCCATACTCCACAGACAGCTTTGCGCAATGCCAGGATATTCCGGGCGAATGCTCAGCACTCGAGTGGAATCTTTGACTGGAGAATCCTTGACCCATGGAGAGCTTAAGTGGTAAACGTATGACTATGTAAGACCAATGCGTTAATGTATGTCACTTTGGCACTGCAATGTATTAATATGAATATTGATTTTCTTGGGTTAATTATGAAGAAATTATATATAGTCTCAAGGGAATTATAAGTGATACTGTAAAGTGTATTTATATTCTTTTATCTGATTTTCTTACATGTGGAAATAGTTTATATTTGTTGTTCACATATTTAATAAATTGAATTCATTTAATAAAATATTCCTTGTATTTATTATACAATTTAGTTTACAAATTAGCTCTTTGGCTTAACCTGTACACTCCACTGTGCTCTGCTTGACTACTTGACCGTTATGAATTGACTTTCCTCAATGGGCTTCCCAGCATTGCATTTGCCGTAGAGTGCAGATAATGAAATTTAAATTTTTTTTCCTCCCCAACCCCCAGTCGTCCTCTTACTTTCCCTTGCCGAGTCCTGTGGCTTCCTTGCTCGCCGCATTTAAGAGGCGTGTGCGGTGTGGCAATGCCTTGGCCTGCGTTTGCATAGCTTTGCATAATAGTTTTTACAGCTGCTTGAAAGGCATTGCCAGCCACGCGTTGGGGGTGAAAGGTAAAGGAAAGCTGCACTTAAAAATTGGGGAAAAATATGAACCTTAGGTCATAAAAAGAAACATATTTTAGGTGACTTAGTTTACAAAACAACATTAGGTCTTTAAGTCTTCTAAATACCTCTTTAAAACCCCAAAAGGTATGAAATTACTTTGGGATATTTTCTCACCGTGTGGTTACACGTTCCTTTTGGCTTCGCTATGTAAGCGGATTGATCCCTGCCCCCGGCGGACCGCGCTTCCTTATTCTGTTTTCACTGTAATCATGTTTGCAGCGCGTATAGTATGTATGTATGTATATATGCGGGTGGTTGGTGTGTAGAGGTGTATGTGTATTTACCGTAATTCAGCTTACAGCTTCAGCCCAGGTGAGTGTTGCATAAATTTGCAAACATTTTGCAAGTCAGCATCAACCCGCCAGCTGTCAGCAGTGGTGTCTCAAAAAGGGAGGCGAAAATATTTTTTTGTTTCCTGAAAAATAAGGGAAATTAATTATAGATATTTAAATAATAAAGATTGTTATGTACAAACTTTTAAAATGATTTAATTATTTTAAAATCACCATCTTTGGCATATTTTTAATGCCTTAAAAAATCCCTAAAAATATTTCCTGATCCCTTCCCTGACTCTGAGGCAGTGGGCTTTCTTCCGTAACCATACTTGCCGCCTCCATCCTCATAGTCATCAGCATAACGTTCATCGCCATCACCATCACCATCAGCATCATCAGCATCAGCAGTTGCATTGCGGGAAAGGCAACAAACAACGCGAGAGAGTCGCTGGTTGCCTGCCGGGGAATTGATTTTCCCCCTTTAACGATGTGGCACGCAGTGCGAGTCCCCTACCTACCTTTGGCAATATCCTCGTTTTGCTGTTGTGCATGTGCAACATCAACAGGGACAACAATGCGCACAACTTTACCTTAGGGCAGAGACATTGAAAGTCATTTTTCACGTCCTGTTTTGTGAACTCAAACAGCACACGGAACAGGGAAAGACTTTATGATTGGCATGGTTGTAATAAAATAGAAATAAGAGCTATTGTCAAAAGGGGAGAATACAATGGTCCAAAATACTTAAGAAAAATATGGGATTTAAAGAAAAAGTGTGTATAATATTTTACAATTATTTGACAGCTTTTAAACTAACAATTTAAATTATATTTATAATATTTGTCAATCAATAAAGAATACACAAAATTATATTACTTCAACCACTGTATCTCCTCTTAAAAAAAAAACTTTTAAACTCAAGTAACTCCCCTATCAGGTCACCGGTTTTCCATAAAAACTAGTTTTATGCGCACCTCAACTTTTACTTTCTACTGGGCTGGATTTTCCGCGAGGGAATCCTGAACACACAAGTTATTGAAAATATGACTTCCAATTCAATTGCCGACCACGTAACGACGTTGCTCTGAAGTCAATGAAATTGAAAAAGCATGTTAACCCGCTGCCAGGGAGAAACAAATAACAAATGTAAACGCTCAGACTTGTTTTCTTGTCGCAGTCACAAGATACAGATCCGCCTCATCAATCAATGTGCCTTGGACGAGTTGGAGTTAGGGTGGGAGTCCTTGGAAGAAGGATTGCATCTGCTGGATGCAGACATTTCTCCAGCATATCCCCTCGCAATTAGTGTGCCCACCCAGGACCAACCTGAAGGAAAAGTGAGCAAATTTATGTGAAAATGCAAGTGATTCGATTTTTCATGTCCTGACGGTCCAACTAGGTCCATGCAGGACTCACTTTGATTGTCGTTCTTGACGTTGATTTGATGAATTATTGATTTGTTTGATTAATCGTTGGGTCGTCTGCTGTGTAGTCCTAAAGGATGCTAATCCGGAGAACCTTGTGCACAGAGGGAAAATATATCTGTAAAGAAAATTTAGCTCCTTTAAATATATAAAATAAATATATTTCTAGATGGAAAAAATTCAAAAAAAAAAATTAAAGTTCATAGCATAAGGAGTAAATTATTTCAGGAGCTTTGGAACTTCATTTGCCAGATTAACTTTATAGTTTTCTATATGCTGAAAGTATTTTCTACTCCCAGGACACTCTTCTTAATGCAACTGAAAATATTTCAAGTGAAAATCCTTTCTCTCCTCTCGTGTTTCCCAGTTTAAGTCGGCTGAGTGCCAACGCTTTAGTAGATCCAACTTTAATGGAGCCCCAGACAGTTGGCCAATTATGCGAACAATCGACTGTTAAATGCAGTTTTATTTATTTCAAAGAGATTAAAACTGCTGCACTGGACCCCTGGTCCTTAAGCGCTCCCTTAGCTTCCTTCGCACATTAAAGACCCTTGGCACTGACACGCCCCCAAAGATAAATGGGAGTAGTAGGGTGTAGTGGGTGGCGGAAAAAAGTGATGAAGAAAACCGGC